ATTATTACTATACTTATAATAATAATCTTATATATTCTATATTTTAATTAACTTAAATTTTTTAATAACTAATTATTTTTTAATATTAAGCTTTAAAAATTAATAACGTTAAATTTAAATTAAGTTTATAAGATAAGAATCTTTATTTATAAATAGAGAGTTATTAGATATAACGCTTCGATAATTATTATTTCTATTAATAATATTATTAGAATTTTTATCGATATTAAAATTAATATTATAATCGCTTAATTATATAATAGATATATTTTAATAAAAGTTATTTACTAAGTTAGAGATATCGCTAATTAATCGTAATAAGACGTTTTTATTTTATAAATTAATAGAATTAATTTTATAAATTAATAGAATTAATTTACGAGTTATTTATTATAATTAAATTAAATAACTTTATATAAATGAAATTATTAGAATTATAAAATAATAAGATTTCTTTTAATAAAATTATATAATAGTTATATAATTCTAAGATTTAAATATATAATTAATAGAATAAATAGATTAATTATTAAATAAACTAATAATTAAAAAAGAAAGAAAGAAAAAGAAAACTTATAAGTATTTAAGACTTTATTAAATATATTAGATACTCGCTTTAGCTATATAGCTTATAGTCTAATAAATAATATAAGCGAGTCTATTAATTCGCTTCGAGTACTTTTACTCTTATAAAAGATAATATATTATTAATACGCTTTTTATTAATAAAATTAAAATTAGAAATTAATAAATTTTTAATATAAACGCTATAAATAAAAAATAAAAATAAAAATTATATATATTAAGATTTTTAATTCTTAATAATTAAATAATAACGAAAAAAATAAATAAGATATTAAAAATTATTAAAAAAATTTAAATTTAAATTTAAATTTAAATAGTAGATATTAATCGAAAAGATATAGTATAATATATAATATTAATCTACTATATTATACTCTAATATAATATAAAATATTAATATTTATATAATCTTATATCTAATATAATTATTAAGAATAATCTTTAATAAGATCTCGATAAGTATATATTCTATTAATATATATAATAAAGATATAGAATATAATATAGTCTATTAATAGATATATACGTAGTATTAAATTATTAATATCTTAATAAGAAATTTATAATAATATCTATTAAGAAGAAGAAAAAGTAATATTCTCGCTATATTTATTAGAGATAATAAAGATATATTATATATAATAGTTTTATTTCTTTAACTCTTTCTCTACTATAATAGAATCGAAAGTATATTTAATATATTAATTAATAGATATATATTATACGATATAACTAATATAATATAACTATTAAATAAAATTATAAATAGACGTATTCTATAATAATAGTTATTAGAGATTATAGAATATAACGTAATTAATAGAGCTATATTTAATATACGATAGATATAATAGTAGCTAATAATCGATAGAAAGTCGTAGCTTTATAAAAGCTACTATATCGATAACTTAGTAAAGAGATTAAGGCTCGACGTAGTTTATAGAACTATAGTTATAAAGTTTATATAGATACTAGACTAAAACGAGATAAGTATCTAAAAGAGATTAAAGATACTATACTTAATAGAAGTAATATTCTCTATAGATTTCTTCGATAATAGATATTAGTACTATAATATATATAAAGAAAGATATTAATAAAGTTCGTATAGGTGCTAGATAAAGGCGAGATAAGCGAATATAATAAGAAGACTACCCTGATTAAAACTAGAATATTACTATTATTATTAAGAACGATCTTTAACGAGATCTCGATAAGTATATATTCTATTAATATATATAATAAAGATATAGAATATAATATAATCTACTAGTAGATATATACGTAGTATTAAGTTACTAGTATCTTAATAAGAAATTCGTAATAATAATATAAGATCTTAATAAAATATATTACGATATAATATATCTATAATATTATACTATAAAATAATATATATATGAGATATCTCGTTAAGATTTCTATATTTAGAAGTATAAGTAGCTATTCTAGTTATTATTCTAATTAATTATAGCTAATACTATTATAACTAATACTATTATAACTAATACTATTATAGCTAATACTATTATAATTAATACTATTATAACTAATACTATTATAGCTAATATTATTATAATTAATATTATTATAACTAATACTATTATAACTAATACTATTATAACTAGTATTATTATAGCTAATACTATTATAGCTAATATTATTATAACTAATATTATTATAACTAATACTATTATAGCTAATACTATTATAGCTAATACTACTATAGCTAATACTATTATAACTAATACTATTATAACTATTATTATTATAACTATTACTATTATAACTATTACTATTATAGCTATTATATAATAATAGATTATTTAAATAATAAATAGTAATAGTTATAGTAGTAATAGCTATTAAAATATTAGATATATAATATATAGAACGAACGAATTAATTCTTTAAAATCTCTTCGAGATTAGATTTTAAATATAGTATAAAATTAAATAACTAAAGAATACGATAACTAAAATACGCGAGAGCTATATTTCGATAGTAGCTATAGTAGTAATAGTTATAATAATAAGTAATAGTTATAATAATAATAGCTATAATAGTAGTAGTTATAGTAGTATTAGCTATAATAGTAATAGTTATAATAGTAATAGCTATAATAGTAATAGTTATAATAGTAATAGTTATAATAGTATATCGAATAAGAATAGATACGATTAGTCGTTAACTAGAATAATAATTAGAATAGCTACTTTATACTTCTAAATATAGAAATCTTAACGAGATATCTTATATATATACTATTTTATAATATAATATTATAGATATATTATATCGTAATATATCTCGCTAAGATTTCGAATTTATATTAGAAAAATGAAATAATATTTAACTCTATTTATATTATATTCGAATACGATATAATATTACTTAATATAAAATATTTTATAAGATATATTATATCTTTTCGACTAGTAATAGTAGATAAGAATATAATTAAATAAAATAAGAAAGTAAAATAAAATAATAATATAAAAAATAAATCTTTAAAATAACGATCTTTAAGAACTAATAACGAAGATTTTTTTTATAAATATATTTATTTAAATCTAATAAGTAATATAAATATAGCTTATTTATATTTAATAGTAATTATAATAATTATAAAAAATAAAAAAAAAAAAAAAAAAAAAATTCTTATATAGTTTTTAAAAGTTATTTTATTATTAAGAATATTTTAGAATATATTTATATTAATATTAATAAGAAAGATAATTAAAATTAAAGAGTTATAAGAAAAATAATTAAAATCTTTTATTTATTATAAATATACGCTAAATAAATATTTTATAGTAAATTTCTATATAAAAGTTATTCTTTAATATTAAATTATAATTATAAAATTAATAATATAATAAAATATATCTTAAAATCTCGCTTTAAATTAAGGCGAGATCGAGATTTCGAGAAAACTTAAAATTTTAATTCGAAACCCTATCTCGATCTTAACTCTCTTTAAAATCTTATTAAGATTTCTCGCTTTATTACGTAGCGTAAGTAAGATAGTTTTAAATTTTATTAAAATTATTATTACTCGACTATCTAAGCTTATATAAAATAATATTTTTAATAGAGTAAATAAGTTTTTAATAAGCGATATTTAAATTCTCTATCTTTAAGTATTTATAGAATTAAATTTAATAATTCTTTTTTTATTTAAAAGTCTATATTACGTTTACTTTATAATTTAAAAAAAGAATTAAAAAAATCTAATAGAAAATAAAAATATTATTTTAAAATTAAATAATATATACTTATTTTTTAATTAGAGTTATCGAGTAAACTTTAATAAGCGATATTTAATAAGCGATATTTAAGATTCTTATTCTTTAATAATTATGAGATTAAATTTTAGAAATTTTTACGTTATTAAAGAGCGTAATCTTCGCTCTATAATATAAAAAAATAATCTTAAAATTTTAATAGAAAATAGTAAAGTTATTAAAGGATTAAAAGTAGAGTAAGAGATTTTAATAATTACGAACGCTAATTTATTTACTCGTAATAAATTAATCGATCTAATTAAAAAGCTTAGTAACTTTAAATTTATAATTAATTATATCTATAAATTTAAGAATTTCTAACTTAGCTCTATTTTATTCTTTTATATATATTAATATATTAATATTAAAAATTAAGATTTTTATTTTTATTTAAATTATTAGATTTACGAGAAGAGTTTCTTTAATAAAAGCTTTCGAAAAGCTTTTAAAAAATTCTCGAAGGGTTAAAGAGATTTTAGAAAGTCTTTCTCTAAGTATATTAACTATTTTTCTTAATTCTTAGAGTTAAATTTTTTTAAAAAAAAAAATTTTAAATTCTTTAAAGCTTTTTAAAAATCTTTTAAAAGTTTCTATCGAAGAGATTATTAAATTAAAATTAAAATTAATTAGATATTATTAAAATAATTAAACTTTAAATTTACTTTAATGGTTTTTTTGATATAAACTTCTAAAGAGCTTTTAAAGAGCTTTCGAAGAATTCGAGGGGTTTTAGAGGGTCTCTCCAAGAATCATTTAGTTAAAAACCAATACTCGGCAAGCTTTTCACTACTGGGAAGCCCGCGCCCCAGCACCTATTAGTTTGATGGGGGACTCTCGGAGAGGGACTATCCGAACATAAGTTGATAGCGGTCGGGGATACCAAATTTTCTTCAGGCAATACGGATAGTCAATGCCCAGATTTTCATTTAACGTTGGAGAATAGGTCTCCTTATACCCCGAGACATAGTCGATACTACTAGAACAGCCGGAACATGACGGAAAACCTGTCAGAAGAAAACTTTGAGTTACAGTAGACCGCAGCGATGTTGTAGTAGTCTCTTCGGGAGTTGGACTGAGTTCCCAGCGGCCCTATCAGCCTAGATCTCTCACAGCGCACATTGCGTCCCATTTTGGGTACAGTAAACCATCTGCACTGGGCCGGCCCCAACTCCTCTCAGCACCATCCTCTCCCTCATCTCGCCCAACCTGGGGCTGGCCTCAACCTGGCTCCTATTCATGCCTTGCGCATCTTTGGCTCCACTCCACAGAACCTCTCCTGCCGCACATGCTCTCGGCCAGATCATGCTGTCCAGGATGACAGGGTCGGTTTGTTCACTCCACATGTGAATCTCACCGCCCAAAACGAGATGGGTAGAATTCGGCGGAATGTTGTAGAGAGGGTCATAGGAGTATATGAGGCGCCAATTCTTGGTTGGCGAGCAGTAATCCGTGAAAGGGTAGTATTCTTGGAAAGATGCGGGGTAGAAATCGAGGAATTGGCCTTTGCCGCAGTCGAGGTACTAAGATAAATCCAGCAGTGAGACTTGAGCTTGACTGTATGGAAGTAGATAGGGGTACCCAGTAATTGTAGTTTCCAAACAATGCTTTATGTCCCATGGCTACTGTGCGTGCGAGAGAATCATCGCTCATCCAAGTCTGAACCACGACATCAGATCCGAGCGTCAAATTCCACTGAAGAAGTTGCTCTTCCCAAACCATCGGTGTCAAAGCTGCAGCTCGTACATGTTCATGATTGAAATCGATGAGTTTCTGCAATAAAGGCTGAATTACGGATGATTTGTTCGACCGCACGCCCTCGTCAAGCAAATACACGTTCGCGTTGACCTCGTCGCCGCCGGTGTGATGATATGCAGTGTATGGAGACAACCGAGGCAGTAGATCAGACCATAAGGTGCCAAGGAACTCGTATACCGCGGAGGAGTTGAGCTTCAGTTGCCCTGTAGGCGGTTCCGCAGAGTAGGTCGCCCAGTCGGGCTGCACATTGAAAGCTGCAATAAGGTCGGGGTACGCTAATGCGATGGACGACGTGTGTCCTGGCATATCTGTCTCGATTGATACTTGTATCCCACGGTACGCACCGTACTCTTGTATCCCAGCCAAAACGGCCGGGCTGTAGGAAAGACCGTTCATATATGCACTATCCTTCGCCAGCTCAGGCAGGGCCGGTATCTCAAGAGGCCACGATTGGGAGTCGCTGGCGTGTAGATGAAGACGGTTGAATTTATTCCACGCTAGAGCGTCAATAGTCCGCATAATGTCAGAGGGAGCGTAGTAAGCTCGAGAAACATCCAAGTTAAGGCCTCGGTGGGCGAACCTGGGAGCATCCGTAATGCTTACTGGCGCATTTGGGATATAGATTCCTCCGCTGCTAGATTGATAGAATAGCTGGGTTAGGGTCTCGAGCGCGTGGAGGATTCCCAAACTTGTCAAGGAAGTGATAGTGATTTGGCCATCTTGAGTGATGGCCATATTGTAGGATTCGTCCAGTTCCCCATCTAAAGCCTTGAAGACATTGGTCGGATCTGATGCATTCTGCACCAAAGCTATTTCGCTTATGTATGACTTAAGGGCATTCGCGGGGGGTTCGAAGTTAGAGTTGCGCGGGTGGAATTTCCAAGGTATGAATTTATCGTTGAATAGGCGATATTTGGTGCGGGCAATGGCAGCATCAACAACCAACTTGGTGCTCAATGCGGAGGCGGGCTGACTCTCATTTGTAGTCTGACTACCGTAGGTGATATTTTTCGTCTGGGTAGGGAGGAGTCATCAGCATTGAAAGCCTGGAGATTAACAAGTTGAGTGAACCATTACTGTGTTGTTGATTGTCTCATATGTGAATTGCACGTTTTCTGCAATCCATAGCGGCTGGGTGCCAGATGAGTACTGAGAGGGTAAAGGCCACACGGATATGCCTATTGTGGCAGTGGCGTAAAGAGACCCAACCAGCAAAAGGAACATGGGCGGGCCTGTCTTTTTGAAGTAACTTTGCATAGCTATGTAGTGATTGCGCAAGCCAATAGATGGACAAACGAGGAACAGTGTTGGGAATGGCGGCGCCTATGAATGACCTTTTTCTGCAAGCGAAGATATTGCGTAAGAAGCAAAGACTGCTCTCGGAGAATGCCTGATTATCAGAGAATGTAGACTCATGAGTTTGGAGGCCCTGGAGTAGTCGTGCGACCTTGTATTAATCTTCGTGGCAGAACACTTACAAAAAGGACACCAATCGATAAGCGTCGATCGTGACCAATATCACATGGGTACCCTGTGGATCAGTGGGGCTATTCGTGCCGGCTTGCCGAGAAGACAGACGTTTGGGTCCAATGAGCCCAGTATGTATGTATCTTTATGTTCACGTTAAGCCTCAGATTATTGATATCTTTTCGCCAGTCTTTCATAGTTTGATCTTAAGTTTTCGTGCAAGAGGTGTTTCACTTCCCTCGAAGCTAGCGGCAACCTTGTAGCGCAACATACAATGATATTTTCTGTACAAAGGTATGTGAGTGGTAGAAGGAGTGACATCCATAAGTTCCATAGCGCCAAGACGCTAGTATCCTTCCCCAACAGCTTCAGAGCTATGAGCCGATCGCGAACATCTGGTTTTTTTGACAATGAAGCTCATAAAGAAGCCCAAAGATTTCCACCATGCCATATTTACGAACACACTTGCCTATTTTGATCGCTCTGCGGAACTCATCCCGGCACTTTTCATGAGCAGAAGATGCTAGGTCCTGGGAGGTACTTTCGATTTTGTTGAATCCGACTGCGAGTTAGAAGCGCTAGCAGCGGCATCTCCAGCCGAATCTGTGATCCTACCGAGGCTCAGAGGACAAGCTCTGGTTACATGCCTCATATTATGAGCTATCATCATTCACACTCTTTTCAACCTACAGATCATTCACTCCCTTTAGCAAAATTGCATCCACCTTTGTACAGATACTTCCCAACTCTTACGAAATACCATGAAGCTAGGCGGACTCCCTTCGATACCTTCTCTCCTCCTGCCACCAATGATGGTCAACGGTCTGTGGCCGAGCCAGCCATTCAACAAGAGTTGCTGCTCATGAATGGACTATCTTGGTCACCAGCATCCAAAGCCTACAAGATCCGAGGAGATAGCTGCATATCGGACGCAGATGAAGTCAATCATCTCCCAACATTCATGCCATCGTATGTATTCCTGCTGGCTTTCTGTATCATCATATCGGCTATTACGACCAATTGAAACTTTCTGGATCGATCAATTATAACGGGTGAACCTGGGAGCATAGACAAAGATTGCGGAAGCGTAAGACAGCTCATTGGGGAACTTACGGTGCTGACGGACAAGCTGCCAGAGCCCTCTATTGGGTGCGCTGCTAGACGGTAGACTTAATGTCTTGTGTGAATTGGAGAAAACGAATCGACATGAGGTGAGGGCGGAGAAACAATATTTCACTTCCACCCCGAAAACCATTGCTGATCATGTTTGAATTTCCCGTGCACGACGCATCGAATCTTTGGTTTTGGAAACCTTGGTACAATCTACTCTCATGATGTATACATTGCGTGCGCCAGAGAATCTGCAGTCAACCTCACCGATCCTTCCGCAAATGGCCAATTGTTGTCTTCGTAGAACAGCCTGAACGTACACATCCTAACTTGGTCATTTTTGGATCCCGAATCCCAGACTGTTGTGTACTTCATCAATCCCAGAAGCGCGATCTCGACTTCTTCGTATGTTAAAGCCTCATTATCGGTGCCTACAAACTCGAACTTGAGCATCTTCTCAGGCTGAAGTGCGTGCCCAGGAGCCCGCGAATTCGAAGCGACTGTCAGGGAGAGGATCTTCTGGATCAGCCTGAACCATCACTTTCAGCGCTTGAACATTCTGGGTTGCGACATTGACTGCAGCTCGCCAATTTCTTGTGCTCACGCCTGGGTTGTTGTGACTGGCACGACCATATATATATATGACTTTGTAGGGGACGTCTCTGTATTGGAACAACGTAGGTATGCTGAATAGAGCGTTAATATAGAAGCCTACAGTTGTGGAAGCTGATACCTGAATTGAAGTGTACCTTAAGAGGGTCCTGTTATGGGCTGCTAAATGGGGAAGGTCCGGGATTTCAGCGGTAGGAAACCATGAGGCACTTGAAGGCGCCAAGCAACGTGTCGCATGAAGAGCTGTCAGAGCGTAGGAAAGGTAGATCATGGTCAATGTCGCGAGCGATAAAAGTGTCCTAGTGGACAGCTCAGGGAGTATCTCAACAAGTACGACGTAAGCTGATAGCCTAGTGCCGCAAGAAGTTTGCGCAGACTACGGACAAGTCTTGAACACTAACAGTAGTCAAGTAATCTATACTGACATGATAGAACCACGGCCGTCGCTTGCAGGCGTTGTGACAAGATATGCGATGAAGCGACATGCGAACAGCCCCATAAGCGCGTGTTCCAACATAAGGCATCTTAGGATTGAGCAAGAGTCTTCGAACACTCGCCTAGTAAATCTCAGACTACCTATTACACCCGGCAGCAAAATGAAGCAGTTGAGTGCTATGATGATGTTGTTGTTAGGCATTGTAATGGATCCACCACTGTCTTGACCGCTGCCTTTGCTTTTTAGCTGCAGAATAGAAAAGCGGAGGAAATATGACCGCATTTAAGCAAAAGCGCAGATTACAAGCCGTCACAGAGAGAGTCTAATCGTAGTGGATGGTACCCTTCCTCTTTAGATCAACAAGTCGCCTGCTAGAGCAAGTATCTTACAGGCGCGGAACGGTCAAAGAGCTAGGTGCGAGTAAAGAACGTAGAGAGCCGCAGCAGTATAATAAGGACCTTTTGGAACGGGGCCTGCTCACGATCACGCGAAGATGACAGCACGAGTTACATCCTACCTCGCTATAGGATTATTCTTCCACATATCTGCCACAGCCGCAGCACCAGCACTTAGTCCGTCATTCTTGGCTGCGCCCATTATTCCAAGCTTGAGCCTGACCAGTCCTCTCTCAAGCAGCATAAATGTCACGAAGCAAGTCACATTGCCTGATAGACTCACATCTTAAGTGAAGCCCCAACATGCAATAACGTTCTACTAATACCTTCTTAGATTTCCACCAGGACCCCCTCCCAATCCCTTCTATTATGCCATCCCAGACTCAGACGCGACCCTCGAGCTGTCTCCGTTAGGCCTGATACGCGGTCGGGACGAAAACGTGGTAGAACAGGTCCTAAACAAAGCCACCCAAGCCAGCTTAGATCCATATCGACCTCTGGTAGCAATGTCCGAGGACGGGTACCAATTGCAGGATGAAGGCTTTCTTTTAGGAGTGACGCCATCCGCAGAGATACCTGGAGAAGAGCATTTAACGTGGGGTAGATGGACTGATGCGCTTGCGGGTATACATGGCTATGTAGAGGCGTATCCTGGGTACGACCTCACTTTTGATATCTGGGTGACGCCAGAAGTTGGACAGAGCAAGGGGTACGTGGTTGGTACTGGTTTTGCCATAACACGAAGACGATGAGAGAAAGAAAGATAAGGAAAGTAGAAATGAGATGTACGGTATCTTCGTACATAGTATGGACAGCAAAGTAGATAGCCTCGTCCCAATTCGCGTACCTCTTAGTTCTTTGGGCTTACATCCTTTAACCATTTCACTCAACTGGACCGGCCGGATCAATAGACTCGAATTCTAGCAGCCTAAAGGTCGGTGGCCCAGCGATATGAAAGCGAAGTTCGGCTTTGAGGACCGTAATCATGTACCTTTCGGTTTGAGGCCCTTTTGGACTTGGTTTTGGCTGCATATATGGTCAGAAGGTTCCTCATTGGCTAAAAGTGCGAATGGGCCCAGGTGGCTACTCAGAAGCGTCATTGATAGCAATGCATGCAGCAAATCTTGAACGATTACAGATTATGATTGGACCATTGCCGGTAGGAACAGACCTTGATTTCATAGCTTCCAAACATTTTGCTAAATTCAACGGCAACTACTTGAAGAACAGCGCTATCCATCTGGAGGGCTTGCAATACTGTAGTCGACGGCGCTTGGAGCGCTACTTTTGCCAAGTTGCTCGCAAGTTCGGCCATGATGGTGACATAGAGCCTCGGTGTGGAGTGCCCAAGAATATGACTCCGTGGGTCATTTGATAGATCCGCTGTTGCTCCGGCCGAAATTTTGCTCCAGGGATAGACGCTGTGCCTGGATTTTCAAGTACTGATCTCAGTCACTTCCACGAGTACGAAACACCCCTGCGTTGTGACCCATCTCTTTTACAAAAATCCCGCCAGAGCTATATTCCATACGAAAACGGTGGGCCTAGATGAGTCCTGGACATGTATGCCATGAGAACACCAACGAAAATGTACTAGCGATAGGTTCTGAGCATGCAGCATAATGTTGTTCTGGCTAACGGCATGAAAAGTAGCAAGCACATCGGAGGAATACGCGAAGGTGAGGAGTCTGGCATGCCGCATATCAGCAGCCAATAGGTCTTTAGGCAAGCAAACGCTTTCCATTGACCGGTGCCTTATCACGTTTAGAGATTGCAAATCCGACACTCGACTTGGAACTCAGCGATGAGCTGAGAGACTGAATACAGACAGGGGAGGGTCGACAAGGCACTGTCTCGGTGCTGAACTGGCTTGCTTTCCAGCCGGGCAAGAAGGAGCAGTACCTGAAGTATAGCAAGACATTCGCACAGTCGGCATGGCGAAGCTCGTAGGCAAATTGGTACCAAACAGCTGCTCTGACGGATGTAGCGAGTGGGAAGAGGTGTGTATGCTAAGCTTTCAAGTCGTCGTGAGCAATAGGCTGACTAAATCCACTCGTACAGCTTGCTCAGGCTCACTACCCTAGTCGTGACCACTTTGCAGACATGATCGCCAGCGAGGATTATCAACAAGCGAACAAGACGTCGAGGCTACCAAATCTCATGAACACTTGCATCTTATACACAGGTGAACTAGATTTCGGAAGCATAGAGGGTAAGTCGAGGCTCTGACAGCTATAGTCTAGTCTTCAGTATCCAGCGCAGAATGCTGCATAAACGTAGTCGGGGAACCGCGCGGCGCTTACATTGTGCATATCTTTTGTCTCAAAATCTTCGAAGCGATACTCTCGAACAAACGCCAACCAAGCCACTTCTCAAGCAATCCTGCCTTCATCACGATAATCATCGATTCTTCTAAAAATCTCCTCAATATCTTCCCAGATCCTCTCTCGATTCTGTAATCCTTTCAGAGCTTCCCAGTTCACCTTGACCTCATAGAATACCCGGCACCAATTCGTCCCATCTTTCGGCAATACCATCGCCTCCTTCAATCCCTCATTCCCACACACCGCATATGACATACCTGTTTCTCTCGGGTTCTCAATTGCCCAAGTCTCCACGAGTTCAGGCATCTCCTGTTGAATGACACTACGAGCGGCAAGCCACTGCCTCTCCAATTCTTCTTTTCTCTTTGTCTCAGCAGAGAGCGCTGAAACAGTAGATGTTGCCCAGAAGGACGGCAAAGTGGTGTCCCAGACTTCCCACAGCCAAGGCATGTGCTCTTTCAACAGCGGATACCAACTCTCAATAGATAGGAACCTTGCGCAACCTGCAAGGCGCAATGCAGCGACTTCTACAGGACTCAACAGCTCTAGTATGGCATCTGCGATCTCGCGAGGGAACCTAGAGAATGGATCTTCCGAGCCTGGCCTTCCTTTCGCATGGTCTGTGGCAAATGCACTGCTTTCCTTCACAGCTAAGCGTAATACACCCGCCAGCCCCGGCACGACGACCGGATTTGCAGCAAGCCATTCATCCCCCGGCCGATGATGCCACTCTTCCTGGCCACATTCTTTCACAGTTTGGTGATGAGGAAAGGAGGCGTTGGTTTCGTATCCGGATTCCAGTTTGCGCCAACCTATAAGACCGACAACATCGATGCTAGCTGTGCGGGTGCGGGATACGCGTGTAAATATTTCAAAGCAGGTTGGGTGGAATGGCATGGCTGTATCAGACTCGTCGGCCTGTGGAGATTGGTGGCCCCGGGTCAGTTTGGGCGCGCATCGGCTTCGGTGAAGAAAGAACTTACCTCGTCATTGTTCCATTCTAACTTCCAGAACACCACATCCGCGTATAGATCTTTGGCACCATGACGCGGAGGTGTCATTGTGGGCCCGCCAATGTCGCGAGACGGCATTTGGCCGCAGAGACCTGACAGGAAGTATTTGCCATTCAACTCAAACTCCTGATCATCGGGCTCCGAAGTCCATTCTGGGGTCTTCACCACAAGACATTGCAGCGTAGTACAACCTCGCATCTCTTCAGCGTTGATGCTGAAGCCACAGTAGCCGCTGGAGTGTTTACAGCGTGGTCCAGCCAGATGTTCGAGCTTCTGGCAATCATTCCAATCTGTCCAATCTGTTGATTCGAAACTACTGCTATCAGAAGTGCTATCGATTTCGGCCACCGGAGACGGGAGATGAGAGCCATCAAAATTTAGCATGCTCTGCTGATGCTCCGTGCCACTCTTAGACTCATCATCCATCTCATTTGTGAGAGAAGAATCGCCCTTTTGGTGCTTTTTCGCGCACTTCTCAGATGCGGTACTGAGCTGGGTTGTAAAGGGTTCTGGCGATTCACTCGCGGAGGCGTCTGCTTCTCCCGCATCCAGCTCTTCCAGAGAGGAGACCTCCGAGGTGTATTCCAGAGGTTCGTTATCTTCTTCGGACTCGTACATGTAATCGTCGTCATCATCTTCATATTTTAGACGAAATTCGTCGCTGGCTCTTCTATCCTTGGGATTTGACACGACCTCTCTGTCGGAGTCTTGACACCCTGTAGACGGATCACACCGTCGGCCCTTGAAATAGTCTTTCCTGACGAAGTTCTCCTCAACTCGGCTCCCGTTCCAGTCCGCAGGAAGCGCCGCTGGTTCCCCACAACCTGGACTCCACCCAGCGTGGTAGGGTTCGTCTGGCCGTCGGACCCGGCCAATGTTAAAACTAACACCGCATAACTTGCATGGTACCTAATCCGACGCATTTAGCATCGTGCAATTCCTTGGGTACAAATAGCGGCCGATTAGGCTGACCTCTGAGTAACCTGGGGTGGCACATTACCATGCTGTAAAAGTGACATTAAGGATGCGTGGGATGACGTGACTTACCCATCTCGACAACTGTTCAGACTTAAGCAGTATCAAACTCAACGTCAATAAGCAAGACTATTGGTGCTCATTCACTATTATTTTCAGTGTTTCGTGCCGAAGAAACCATCATCGCCTTGGCCGAAATCCGGGAAATGAAAGGGTCAAAAAGATGAAATTCCCAGCTTGTACAGGAACTTGCTGAGTCAGCAAATCGGTCAAACGTTTTCCCGGGTCAGATATCGCGCTGCAAGCCCTGGAGGCCTTTGTTACCACTATCAATCTGTACGCTGTATTTCCGGATTCAAATGTGAATAGTTACAGAAAGAACTCTGTTTTGATTCGGAAACAAGGACCGATTTTAGAGTTGGTCGTGAGGCTTGTGTATGTTAGGCCTGTATATTTGTCCCCTGAGGTTCCGTAAGCCTAGGAGCAAATTGCGTCAATCAGATTGTCGCTTGCAAGATAAAAAGTGGAGGAGCAGAAGGTGTAGGATGCTGGTGACTTTATCCCACCGTGGCACCTGAGTAATGACCATTATGGAAGCGGATTGATGCAGGGTCGCAGGCGTGAAGAGTATCATGGCGAATGGCATGCACTGTCGTACCGCTGGTATAGAGTGGGTATCTTGCGAAACGAGAGCAGCATGGGAGCGCTGTATTTTTGATCCTGGACACCAGCGGCTACTTAGCTGCCGGAGTAGACATCCACCAGGCTGGCAAGGAGATATCAATTGTCAAACAAAGTGGCATTTAGGAAGGCTGTGAGTTCAAATCCACGAAGGTGGCGAAAACACGCCTCTTCTTGTCTGCAACCGTCGCAGCATACTCGATGGTATTCATAATGTGCGGATGGGCGAAATAGAGGAAGATGAATGATACGAATAGTCTTAGGAGTTGGGTTTGGATAGGATGCGGGGGCATGGGAGAAAGGTGGGCATTCACCTACTTACAAGGCCTGCCGACATCGATCTTCTCACCGATGCTAGCGGTCTAATTATGGTGATTTTTTAGGAAGGTAATAGTACACCAACACTCTCACATGCATTAGCGAACTTTGGTGTATACGGCTAATGTTACGGCTTAGCAATGGTTACATGCGACGCGGGCCCTTATTCTACTACTATTGCACTACCTCCGACCCATTTATGACGTACCCTAAGCACCACGTCGTCGCTCTGAAGGATCACTTCAAAATCAATGAAGTGGGAGGAATTCATCTGAACTTGAAGTCTCTCACAATCGGATGAACAGGGCTGGCGCAACCCCTCACCAAAATTAGGTGGGGCCGAAAGCTTAACGTGTAGATCGTGCGCGGGAGGCTTTTTTAGTTTGACGGGGGACTATCGGAGGGGGACTGTCCGAAGATAAGTTGTCTCGACTTCACGTCAAACTTGGGTATCAACCCGCAACAATGTGTGGTCGTAACTCGTCTGGTACAAAAAAAGCGTGGAACAGCGCAAAAATCCCATCGCTGATGATGCTTCGGTCGGAATGTTGCGGATCTGAGCCTTTGAATGCTACTATTACTGGCATCTACCTTGAGGCATCTGCCTTAAATTTCCCGCACCATCAAAACTTTTGGACTTCATCCCAGCATATCAGGGCGGAAACAGTTGAAGCCCAGTCTCCTTTTTCACCTGCGCCAGGCCGAAGGCTACACTTGTTCACTTTCTCCAGGTATCCCTCTTGCATCGGCGTCAAGATGTCGCCCGCTGCTCCGACATAGAATTGTGCTCCAAGACCCCGCTGTCCAAACCAAGACGCTTTAGGTCCGCCCTCGACTTCGAATGATTTGATAACGGTGTAGATGTGGTAAATGTAATCATAATCGCTCGAGTCCGCTGGAGTGTCGAGGCTGTTTGGGGGCAACGCGTGCTGTGAGTAGGGCGCATCTGCTGCATAGATGTATGTGCGTCCAGAAAATTACGTTAGCTGAACAAAAGATCCGAGTTAAGGCTCTGTCATACCATACTAGCTCCCAAAACAATCCACCTCGGTCCCATTCAGCAGTTTCATGTTTCCCAAGATTGGTTGACCAGCATCGTTGAGCTGGAATCCTTTCTGTGGTGGGTACACGTAGTCTCCATCTTCGCCAGTCCAGGGCCTGAGAAAGTCTCCTAGAGTCTGACCGCTAAAGCGGTCATAGTCGGACACGGAACTGAGTTATGGCAAATGTATGAAACTCCCGAACTCCCAATGTCGTTCGTGCCTGTGCAGTTACAAGTGTAGAATGCATTCCAGAGAGATAGCTGGGGAGAGCCGAGCTCGTTATTCAAAATCGAGGTTAAAAGAGCGGCATTGAGGACCTTATCTCTTACTTAAAAAGCCCCACAGTGTTAGTACTTACGATACTTACACAAATGGGATACTGCGGGCGCATTCTGAGGAGTTTTCCGTGTCACAAGATTTGGATAACACAAGCTAGGAGAATTGATTGCACCGCTATCCGCGAAAATCGGCTCGTTCCTCTTCTCCGCGGGGAAAGACGCTTACCATGCAGCGCTGTGTCGGGAGGTTCATAAGAGTCCACCCGAGACGATATATTCCGTACTACACCTGGTGCGAGGAAACGGAATGGGTTGGTATCAACTCCGAGGGGTAAGAGCAAGCTCCGCTCAACAATTGCCCGTTCCGTCCGATATCTTTCCTAATGCAGCATCACTGGAGCATCTGCATTTTTGACCCTATGAGCAAAATAGCCATGGCTTCGCTCTAGTGGACCAGTGGTGTATGAATGCCTATCGCGTCAATACTTCTGAAACGCCTATTTTATGTATCACTCGAGTTGATACGCTAATCTATTAGGTCTCGGTGAGTGGATTATCCAGATTCAAAGGTAGGATGCGGATCATGCGGCTTTCAAGGTTGTCGGGCCGCACGTACGCATGAATCATGTGGTTCGTTTGGCTGTCTTATATCTTGCAGCTGCCCCTCCTGAAGCGTGCACAAACATCATTAACTCAGCCGGGGCGGCCGCAACCACGTTCTGACGTCCCATAATCAAAGGAATTGGAATTGCAGCTTTCGCGTGACTAAAACTTATCATTCCGCGCAGAAGCGCGGCAGGTAAATCTGACTCCACTCAATGAAGTTACCTGTCTCCGCTCTCACGTCCCGATCCTTCAACGCCTGAACCCTCTTCATACGATCGCGCATTCGACAGCCGGCATGTGTCTCCCAAGATCCGCGGTCCATGTCCCTGCCCGCGCCGCTGTTAATTTCAGAGGCAGACTTCGTTTTGTCGGAGCATGGAACCTAGTAAAGCTCTTGTTCAAGTCTGGGGGTGAAGGTTCCATCCCGCGTCGACGATCGAGCATCCCACGAGAGCCAAGCTGAGCTGGGGGAGGTTAGATGTGCTTGAGACAATGTGACAGCGCCAGGCGAGTCGACAGTCATGACTTTGCCCTGGCTGTTTGGTGACGACCTCTGAAAAAGGTTCGAGCGTATGCAGATATGTGATGTGAGGTGTGAAGGAATCCATACGTTTGATAGGAGACTAGGCTGAGAAGTGCTGGAGATGATCCGCCTACAAAATGTTCCTTTTGTCTCAGCATCTTAAAGATCTACGAGCGTCAGACGATTGGGAACATCTATTCGTTTATCAGGAAGCACAGCGCTGTGTCTCGTGACGAGAAAGAGCTATCGCACTTGCAACCAAGTGCCGCCGGGCTTACTTGTTCAAGATGACCAACTTTGCTGGGGACACGAGAAGCTCATTCTGGTTCTGCGACTCACAGAGCCCATCCTCTACGTAACAATCGTTCTGATAGACTTACTCTCTTTCGTCGGGAACGGAACACACAAGTCAAATGCGATGTCCACATCTCGCTCTCTAGTCGTCTCGAAGAGAGCTATATTTGCCCTCTCCTGCTTGGCCGCTCTATTGGAGAGATCATGTTCTACAGATGCCTGCAGAATGACGGGTGCGCAAATCCCACGACTGCAAGCCCCGCTCCACGGGACTGAGCGTCGAGCAGGAAGAGGCGCTGTTCTTGGAGATTGAGAGACGAGGAGCTTTTGACCGGGTTTGTTGCTTCTATTGGGCATATCTGCAGGGCAACAATCGTGAGAGGTGGTAGCTGCATCGCGAGAGGCATGGTCAGGTTTGGAACCCTAGTGAAAAGGACAAGGTCTAGCTTTCCTGGTAAAACGTGAGTACTACGACTGCAGAGTCCGGTCGTAGAGGGATTTAATGCGTGTTTGTCTGCTGCTATGTTCAATCCTTCCTGAATGTTTTTGCTTGCGTTTCGACCAGAAATCATAGTACAGCCAGCGAGGATGTTCAACGTGCATACTACCATCAACCTGGCACAACTTACCCATCGAGATATGTAAAGCACTGTGACTTTCTCGCACTCGGATAACAGACATGCAGCGAATGAAAATACTCGACACATCTTCGATCTGATAACGTCAATATATCACTTATCTGACAGTCATCGGAGAGGATTAGTACGCTCAGTTGGCGGTGGTGTTCTTGATATCGATGGCGCTATCGAGGACTTATATCTTAACGTTATGGGAATTACAGAGCAGGGATTCAGATTGCAATTTCATCTTTTGGGTATCATTATTAGCTGGTGACGAGAATTCTGCTACTCTCCAGCCGCATATCACCATCTGGATGTTCTTTCGCAAAAATGAAAGCTAAGCCGCAACCGGAGGCCTTAATATTCGCCACGATGTTGCTCCGCCCACACAACATTCATAGTCTCATCTCTGACACGACTACCATGTTCCGTTCGCTTACTCCAATTCCGAGCGTTCTGATCCTTGATACTGTCATTGAAATCCACAGGATCATTTCCCTGACTAGGTGGATTAACACCTGTGTTGCTAGGTGTGCCCGGCTCGCCAAAGTCCCATTTTCCAGAAGTGGTAATATCGGTCGCTATTCTGACTTCCCTGCGATCTGCGTCTGGTTTCGATAGAAGCGGTTGGGTATGACTTGTTTGGGCTCTTGGCGGAGGGGGAGATGTTGGGGGACTTGGAGATCTCGGTACGCCGAGCCGTGGAGAAGAGCCACTTGATGATGCAGATGAGTTGGTCGAGGAGCCAGGGCGTGTTACTGGTTGTCCGTCTCGCTCTTGATAGGATTGCCTAGCATGCTCTTCAAGCTGCTCTGTAGCGAGGATACAGGCCTTAGTGGCCACTCTCGCGTTGACAGAGCTTTGTTCTCGTCCTTGGATATGATATGCAATGTTGCTGGATGCTATGATGGCGCCTTTTACGGTACTTCTCTCGTTGCGAAGCTGAGATTTGAGCAATTTCCTACAGATCCTGTTAATAGTGTCCCTTTTCACCTCTCGAACTCCAAAAGAGTACATTTCTGCTTACACTTGGTGTCGAAGCTCACTAATATGTGCCTTGTCCTTCTTCTGTATCTTTGCCGCCGCGAGTTGTTCAATTTCGATCCTCAAATGAATCATAGTGATATACAAAGTAATAGTCGATTTTGACGATTCCAGCTTTGACCTCAACAGCAAGAGGTCCGTCCTCTGGAACAACCATCTCAACCGCGCAACCGCCTTTGCAATCAGATTGGCATTTCCTGGGTCGCGAAGTGGTCCGATATCTTCTAGAAACTTTTCGAATTCCCTCACATTCTCGTCCGCCTGACGGACGAGGTCCTTACAAATCTTCAAGACATCGAGTACTTCAGACACTAAAGGTATCAAACGTTGAATTGTAGCCCAGAGAGAACGCAGGAGTGTCGAAAACATGCTCATCTCCTTCGCAACGGCATTGACCTCCCTTCCCGCATGCGCTAGCGTTCTGGCGCAACACCTGAGCTTGTGACTGACTGTGTAAAGCGCGCCTGCAACTGCGATGATAGACGCTGCAACGGAGAGCGGATCCATTTTATTTTCATACCGTTCCTAAGTGACCGAAATTATGATGATGCTCAATCGCAGCGTTACGTCCCTCCTCAGGTCAGAAGGTGGGGCAACAAGGCTGAGATGTTCACAGCTCGCTCGTTCCTGGTTCGCCAATGCAGGTCGACGTTCTTGTCACGTCAGGGTCTATAAGGTTGTGCGATTGAATGATACCCAGAGCATCAATGAGCATGCAATTGTTCGATTTCAGCGTCAGATATTCGAACTAGCTCTCGTGCATTGCCTACCCTCTTGAACAGTCATCATCTATATCAAACAAACTTTTTCGCCTCACAGCATGTCCTGAAACCTTTTCGGTCAATACATCTTGAACCCTGGACCCCCAAGATTTTTTGAGATCCTGGGAATCTGACCTTCAGAGCAGGCCCAAAAAACTTCCGATAGCGTTTAGCGCGATGAAGCTCCAGCACCGTGCCCCGAGCCGTGAGCCATTGACAGATAAAGACCGAAAAGCAGGTTTGTTTCGGCTTGACGGACATGTACTCGAACTCTTTCAAGTTGTGAACAAGACTGTAGATCCACCATGCCTTGCTAGGCAACCGGTTTTCGACTCTCTGAAGGCCTGTTTTTCGCGCGCTCGCCCAACCAGTGCAATGTGCGAAGCGATTCCTCATCTGCACCGCAAGGAAACGGTAACATGCGCTTGTCCGCAGCTGCGTAGCTGCTTCTTGAGTACTTCACCCATGCCTTCGATTGAGCTCTAGAACTAGAAATCTCCACCAGCGATTGGAATTCATGTCGTTATTCGATTTTGGAGGATGAGTGTGTCTCTCTCACACAGACAGTCAATAGTCTTTGCTTTCATACCCACAGCAGATTCGTCACGAATTCCTGGGAACGGACGGACTATACTCCACAAGAGCGAAAACTGCCGACTCTATCAATTCAACCGCTTTCCACCTCCAACATCATTAGCTTCTGTGACAACAATCATACCGTCGTCGAAATCACGCCTGGCAATTCTATCCTAATCCTCTGCAACTCCTTTCTATATGGCGGCGAAGTGACCCCCTCGGGCTCTGTCAGTGCGCTATACTACAATTTTACAGGCAATGTGCAAAAGGGATGGGGTGCCCAAGCAGACTTCCTCCTGTGGGCGCCATCTACGTTGCGATTCCGATTGATCTTTTTGGCAGCCGGTATTCTCCGTCTGTCAATCCCTCGCATAAGAGTACCTTACATTCACGCCACTTTCGTTGCATATGCTTCTTTGCTGCACATGCTGTTCTCGTACGCGAAATGACGGCCGACTCGATCACGTAGAAGACGCAATCTGTGCCATCATACCCTACGTGAGAAGCACGAATTCCATGGAGGTCGCTCATGAGAGTGCGCAGAATGTGTTAGATGCCGCTGGCGCTGTCATGCAAATATGTATAAAACGAAACCGCCATGGGGAGGTAGATAGTTTGGGTATACCTTCTGGCACTGTCAGGTAGTAGGAAGCTGACGCAATGCTAGGTAGGGATAATATGCTAAAAGAGACGTGTTCCGGGCGCGAAATGGTGTGGTGGTGGTGTGGTGCACTACGAGTATGCCCGCTAGTGTTCCACAGAGTGTGATGTAGTACGAGGTCGGTATCACAGCACGTGGTGTAGTGTCCCCTCGAGGAGGGTAACATTCAAAGCTCAAGGCTGATCAATGGACCGCAAACGAGGACTAGTTTTTGTACTCTCGTCTCATAGCAACGAGTGCTTGAAAATTTGCTTCATAGACATCTGGGCCATGGAAAATCCGAAAGGTGATACTCGACACTGGAGGAGAAGCCTCTGAGAAACCTTTACCCAATTGACGGCAAGTTGCGCTGGCGGTGTTTACTCCATTCATGTAAAATTGTGTGACTGAGTTGACGCTCTTCCTTCTCGTTGCATCATTGTACCGACATTGTTTCAAGCCACTCGGCCGGACCTTGATGAAATTCAATGATGAAATCCTTGAAAACTTGTAGATTCATGAAACGAACACATAGAAACTTATGGCAGTGTCTCAGACTGTAGGAAACAGAATACTAGGTCGCCCTTTCGAGTCGTGAGGGCTTCAATAGACACCATGATTTGTTTGGTACCACATTCAGGGGAAGGGGGCTAGGCTTGGCATTGCTCGGGTGATCTTTTATGATGACTAAGTACAATTGCGTACGCGCGTCGCCGATCTTCATTTCCGACCATCCGCCACTCATCAGGCTAAAGACTTTATCCTTATCCTATGACTGCTATCAGATACTTCTCATTTTGCATCATTTTGCATCATCTTTATTACCTATTCATAAGACTTCATACATGTTATACTACTGTAGATGTTTTCCTCGCCTGACATCCTGCATCCGAAGCATGCCTCTATCTACCTTAGCCAGATAAAGGCTCAATGCCACACAGCTGCCGAACACGTCAGCCTCCCACGTTCCGGCCCGATGGTGGGGCCCCTTTTATGCATCTCCTCCACGACTAGGATTCTTAGGAGTTAGGATGGTGCTAAAAGGGAAATTAATCATTGTTTAGTACAGTACTACAGTACTACTACTACTACAGTACTACTACCAATGGCGGTACTCGCATAGTCTAGTCAAGCTATTTTACAGCCCGCGGGAGATCCGAGCGAGAAAAGAAAATCAGGAAGCGTGAACCGGGGATTCAAGAAGCACGCGGCCATGCCCATCCAACCAAACGAACTGCAACACACCGCTTTCAAACATTTACGTCGGCTGAGTCCTACGCTGTGCACAGCGTGAAAATACCAATCAATCCCTTTTTGGGGGGGATGTCATCCGGGACAGCTTTTTGCCCAAAACTTCGGCCCCCATCGCTCAACGAAATCCCGGGTGGAGAGGCGGACAAACGCAATGGTCATCGTGCAAGTATGCATCCGTGAAAGAACCCAATTTCGTCATGTTGTGTCAACACAAAATATATTTACTCAACAAGGATCCGTCTCCAGTGGTTCTCACGGCTAGGATGAAGCGTGAGACGAGAAGTACTCGAGAAAGGCTCAGCTGAGACTCTCTTGCCCCTCCAGAGGAGGTAGGAAGACCAGCCCGAAGACACTCGATACACTGCCTCAAGATATGTTTCACGTCGCGAGTCTTTATGCGCACACGCCACACCACTTCGGTTGATGGAACAAAGAAATCGTCCCGTTTGCTTTCCCACCATCGCATCGAGATGATGCTGACAAGAGCTGTGAGGCGGTGATGATGTGGACCCATTCTTCAAAAATGACTCGCCGCATCCCGTTGGTGGAAATTTGGGAAGTTGGGAAGCGGTAAAAGGAACAAAGTCTATCCTCTCGCCGAACTCGCGCTAGGTCAACCAACATACGGTAATAATAATCCCAAATCTTACATTCCTTAGTACTAAAAAGATCAACATGCCCACCTCTCCCGCGCTCTTTTTTTCCCCTCTGCTTCTTCTTCGAATCTTCTTCCTCCCTCTTGCATTGTTGAATTGCAAACCCACATTCATTGTTACCGACTTACCAACATTCACTCCTTTACAATTGCAATCAACTCGTGAGGCTAGCCCTCCGCTTAGCTCATTTCCGAATTCAGCTCCCAGCCACCGCTTTCAGCAAATCCATCAGAATCAGCAAATCCGTCAAAGCCAACAAACAAATCAAAATGCGATCCGTATACTCGACCCTCCTTTTCCTCGCGGCCGCCACCCCATTGCTCGCCAACGAAAAGTCCGACTGCCTGGCTCAAGCATCCCCCACCAATGGAGTCATCTACTGGACCGGCCTTGAAGTACCTCTCGACAAGGCCGATAGCTACGGCAACATAATGCCCGGCAGCAACAGCACCACCAAAGGCTGCATGCAGATAGGACAATGGGACGGACAGATTCGCATAGGCAAGCAACCCCACCCGGTAAAAGACACCAGAACCATTCTCGAAACGAACCCCGTCGGCCAATGGGCCAGCTACGACGTCAGCTACATCCCCGGCTTCTCCTACGCCCTCGCCTGCCTAGACACTGTTCAACAGACGCTCACCGGCGACAACACGGACCTCTTCGACGTGGCGGGCGCCTCGTGCGAAGACAAGAACGGATACACTTGCGTCGGCCCCGTGGGTGCATGGGGAGTTCGCGCTAGCGAAATGAGCGAAACCTCCTGCTGGAACTGCAACCCGCCCAACGCATTCTTCGCGCCTGTAGCAGGCGCAGCATATGTCTTCCCCGACGACAACGGGTCCGTCATCGCCGCCAGCTCTAATGCCATCCACTGCTGCGTCGGTAAGCATTGCCCATGGAAGAACCCCAAGGCCGGCACGACCAAACAGGGTACCTGCAGCTGCAACTCCGGCGCCGACAAGCGTGATGCGACGCCCGAGACCAAGCCCAACACCAAGCGACATCTCCACAGCCATGGCAAACACAAGGTTCGAGGCCTCGGTGAGATTGTCTAAGCAAATCTTGCGGCGCGATTGCTGGCCGTCTGCCGCTGTCGCCTTTCCATTCTGTATAATTGCATTTTAAGAATCTCGAGAGGACCCATCCCATCTTCAAAGATGTGGATTCATCATGGATTGGATATCTGGGCAAGGGTGTAGAGGCATCACGTGTCTCTTGGTGCATGAGCGAGGCTGACTACCAACGCCCAATGTAAAAAATCGGCCACATCAACACTCATCGCCTACGGTCGCTAACATTGTGGATATTTCAAATCATACCAATCAATCAATCTAGATGAGCAATTTCCTAGTGTACGAAATCAAACCTATCTCTATCAGACACCAACATCGTCCACGAACGTCCCCGCGCTCTCTAATTTGCCAACCTCGTATCCGTGCCCCCCATCACCCCCCCATGCCATCGCACCTCATCAAACTCGTAACCTCCACCACCTCCTTCCCCCCCTCACACCTTCACAAAAACCCCTTCCCACCGCGCGCATCCAACCATCGCTCTCCCAACGCAACCACGGCTGCAGTCCACACAAAGTTGTTTCGTTCCATCTAGCTCCCACCCCACCCCGACAACAAAAATCGAGCAAAACAACGCGAGCCTCCTGAAACCGGGTCTCCTGATCTTGGCACCGTTTGGCGCGCCGAGATCCAACTTACTGGAGTAACAATCAATCAATCTGCGCCATTGCTGGCGGCTATCCGTTACGACTGTTGTCTATTGTTGTTGTTGAAGGGTATGAATGGAAGGAAAGACGGTGCCTTGCGTCGTGCGTACGGAGATCAGTTACGAGGGGTAGAGAGCCTGCGATGCTTTCCGGGTCGACGGCCCAGGATACGATAGCGGCGTGTCTAAGAAGCCCGAGACCGAGTGCAGGCGGCCTTTACTCGTATTGGAGTAGAGAGAGAGAAAGGCAAAGGAGTAGTCTGCCATCCCACACATATGTACATTTTATTTTTCCACCTGTGCCATGTCAAGCAAGGAATCGCATCAGGCGTATCAGAGATTCAAATGGTTCGTTTATCATCACGGCGTGAGTCAAGCACAGTACTCTACAGTGTGGCAAAGCCTTTTCCTGCCCACAATTTCCTTTGAACTCTTCGCCGAAATCTCCCCCCCCCACCCAACCCTCATACGATCCTCAACCCGACATAAATCCCCAACGACCCCGCCACATCCCACCACCCCTGATCATAAACCCCCGCGTAGCCCCTCCTCGAAACCCTATGCATGAGCGCCGCGAAGTCGCGCACGAATTCCCAACTGATGGCCTCGGTCGCGCCGTCGTGAACGACGAAGCTGAGCTGGAAGGGGCCCCAGCGGACGACGAGGTCGGGCTGCGGGGGCGGGAGGTTGGGCATCCAGGAGGTGATGCAGCGGACGTGGATGTCGGCGTAGAAGTCGGACAGGAGGGCGGCGGCGGTGGCGGTGGGGATGAGCATGGTGAGGTGGGCGGTGCGTTCGAGGTAGAGGCCGTGGAGGGAGAAGGGGGGGCGGCGCTTTTGGAGGGCTGGGTCGGTGGTGGTGAGGGCGGAGGTGGTGGAGATTGGGGTGGCGGTGCATGGGGTGAGGAGGCTGGAGAGGAGGAGGATCAGGGTGGTTAGCCCGTGCAGTGGACATAGGATGCGCATCGTTGCGGATGATTTGGAGACGCCGGCTTCGATGGCTGTTCTCTATCGTTTATTTCAAAATATACAAACGGTCGTCATCCTCCGGCTCTCCGAAATGCTTTTCCCTTTGCGCTCAGCCCTGCAGACTGTTTCCAGAAGACGGATAAGCAGTGCTCTTCTATGCCTGGCCAAAAGTGCGCAGAAGGCTCGGGCATTGTTGCTTCTCGATCTGATCGCAGAGCAGGTGTCAACCTCCTTCCGCGCTTGCAAGAATCGCTCGTGCGTGTGCTAATTAAGGATTAAAACCACTTTTGCCATTTGCGCTCGTGCGTCCCCGCAGCATTTGTATGCAGGTGCGCACGGGGACTAGCTATTTGCCGCATTTCAGTCTCCATACACGAAACTGTTGAGGTAGTATGATGAAGAAGTCATCTCTTCCGAGGGGCAGCATAGTGATCGTGTTACAATGTCTTGCGTAAAGGAGTGACGAGCTTTGAGTTGACGTGGCGCTTTAAAGAAGAGAATGATCATTGTAAGAAGCGACATCGATCTGAGGGGCTCTGAAGAAGCGATTGATGCAGCACTGTCAGGTTTTGTCCCAGGGTGCTAAAGCGTTTGCAACAGTACTGACGATGGGGACGAATCATGGATGGGACTCATCCAAGCCAAAACACAGAGCAACTTTTGTAGCTAAGTCATTCTCAAATCGGTCCGTTACTTCGTGAATGTTTCACACCTTTCAAGCATCCTCCAGACCCTGATAAAGAGGCACGCCCCATCCACCACTGGGATTGTTGAACCTCTTCTGGTACTTCTTCCCTAGCCTCTCAATCGTAGTATAATCCTCCTCTTCCAGCTTGCACTTCGCCGACCCAAAGTTTTCCTTGATTCTGTCCGCATGCTGGCTCTTGGGTATGACACTACAGCCCCTGTCCATGCCCCAAGCCAAAGCCACCTGTGCATTTGTACATCCACGCTCTTTGGCAATCTCCGTGATGTCCTCATTCACCAGCAGCGATGGCGGCGTATCCTTGCTTTCACCGGGTGAGCCGTATATAGGGTTTAAGTTTGCGAGGGGGGAGTAGGCGGTGACGTCGATGCCGTTATCTTTGTGCCATTGTACGAAGTCAACTTGCTGGAGATACGGATGGAGCTCGAATTGGTGGACGGCGGGCTTAATGGTCGTTTGTTCGAGGAGCTGGTGCAGTTGGTGGGGAGAGAAGTTGGAGACTCCGATGTGTCGGACTTTGCGGGTGTCAAGAAGCTTTTCCATGGCCATCCAGGTCTGCATGAGTTAGTCTCAGCACTGTGTGTGGAGGCTTGCGAGGGCGCTGGGACCCACGTCAACGTAGTCAATGTAGTTCTTTCCGTCAGAAGACGCCACAGGCCAGTGCATTAGGTAGAGGTCGAGATATTCCAGGCCCAAGTCGCTCAGCGTATTGTCGAGGCCTTGCTCAACCTGATCAGTCTGGTGGCTACACCAGTACAACGCGTCAGAGTCGGTGTATGCTAGGAAGCCACGCAGTAGACTTTGGGAGCGTACTGATCATTCCACAACTTGGATGTAATCCAGACACTGGATCGATCCAGCCCCATCGTTTCCAATCCATCTTTGATACCATTGCCCACCTCTTTCTCGTTGCCGTAAATTGCTGCACAGTCCAAATGTCTGTATCCAGTCTGAAGTGCAATAGAGACTGCCTCTGAGGCATTGGATTTGTCGAGGTTCCATGTTCCGAAGCCCAGTAAGGGGATGGAAGCGATAGAGGGAGGATTGCTGGGGCTGAATGGAATTTGCTCCTGGGCACGGGACAGCCCGAACAGCGCCAGCGCAAGAGAGGAGAGCTTCGCAATGGATACCATTGCCATGATCATTTGTTCAAGGTCCGTCAACTGAAAAAGAGTTGATGGAGCTGTATTCGTAGATGCTGGACTCCATTATAGCAATGAGATTGATACATCTCCGCATTTTGGTGATGTCATCTTCATGCGGGTCTAGGTACAGCGCCGGCCATCCGCAACGGAGGACTTGCACAATATTATCTCGTAGTCCTCAAGCCGGCTACATTTGTAAACGGCTGTCAGGAATCAAATGGTTGCAAAGCTCGAATAAGTGGATGATGAATTAAGAGGACTTGGCCAAGGAGCACCCCAGGCAACGCCGAACGCCTACCACCAGCCCTTAATCCCCTCCAAGTCTCAGGCTTTCTCTCGGCCTCTCTCACCGTACCTGAGGGTACTGTCAGCGAAAGCTCCATGACAAGTATCAAGCGTGTTGGGTTCTATCGTGGATGGCGTCATTTTCGCTACACCAGATCGTAGCAAGGATGCACGCCCTTTCAGCGCTATGTACCGAAGGCCTACAAAGTGCAGGATAAGCAAAAGAAGCGAATGTCTGTCAGAAAGTTGAAATATGCAGGATGGCACATACAGCCGATGGAGCTACACTCGCCTCACCGGATTGCACGGAGGATGTATGTTCGTGCAAGGCTACACGCAATGGGCGCCCAAGATCACGAGGCGCAATGCAAGAGCTGGCACCTGGGACCCTCGCAATGAGAATACATACTCAATGACCGCCTGACCAGGTCAAGCTATTTCTCCGAGGATACTCCCGCTCAAATACGGCACGATCAATGGACCTTCCCCTCTTTCCGCTCTCCAGAAATTCGAGCAACGAATCGTCTCATTATCTACCAACCACGCCCAGTTGGTCACGAATGCCTGCGATATCTCCCACGCTGCACAACACAACATCAGCTATGCCGCGATTAGAGGGAAAGAAATACTACATACCGAGTGCATTCCACGGCTGAGAGCCCCAAATCGTGAAGGAGCCACGATGCATCTCATAGCAGAGCCGATCCTCCTGCTCATCGGTCATGACAGAAAGAAGGACATTATCCCTCAGCGATGGAGGAGTAATCATATCGAGGTATGGATGATGCGGCGTCGACAATTGCAGTGGCGTTGGGCTAAGATCATCCGGCGCAAATCCTGGATACGGATTCGATGTTGTCCATGGCGAGAGGGCATAGTCATCTGCGAGGAGAACTGGGTCTATGGCCAGCAAATTTGCATTCTGGAAGAAAGCTCGAAGCACAGAGTATTCCATGAGGCTGATGTAACGATGCTCGGCAAGCCCGGGGGTTGCGAAAATCCCTTGAATCGTCTTGTCAACATCATCTTGAAAAGGTGGAGAGTTGCTGGACGATGCGACCCAGCGTTCTTTCAGGACTTGGCTTGGCGTATCTGTCGTATCTCTCCAAAGGCTTTCGCTCTCGCTCCTGGTAGCCGCCTCCTCCGAGATTGCCGCTATTTCACATGTCTCTTTTGAGTGTTTAGGCCCATGCCTTTTCTTTGTCTTGTCCTTGGGTCCATGCGTTCCTGATTGGAGAGTCAACTACAAACTGGGGGAAAAACAAAACGTCATGCGACGAAACATACGGCTCTTCCTCTTCGCTAGCCTGTCCTGTATCCTCTTCCTAAGTGCCTTGTCTTCTACTTTAGTCCAATCATCTTTCTCGCTTTTGCTGTACTTTAGTCTGACCTGCAGATCCGTCGTTCCATTTGCGTCTCCATTTCCCGGAATGGTGGTCATAGTCGCTATGGCTTTTGCAAGAAGAATTACGGTAAGTGGGCAAGCCACAATGCTCTTAGAGATGTCAGAGATGTCAGAAATTAGCGTCCACCCCTGCCAAGACTCCCAGACCGAGTCCAAACAAAGCACCAGACATACGTACATACGTTCTCGTGTTGGCAGATGCTATGACTTTCTGACATTGGTATCTACTTTGATACGTCCGACTCTGATTTTTTGATAATAGCCTTGCTCATAGTGGGGGGTTTCGAGATTTCTGCCGCCTATTGGTAGAATATATAGCCTCTACATTACCCTGGGATGCTCACATTACCTTGTCATCAATTTCCACCGTGCCAGCATCTGAAATCTATCAAGATTGGTTGTACTTCATTCCTTACGCTTCCTTATATCAACATGTCTTCTGAGAAGTCCAGTTCATACCATGCTCGAGACTTTCCCAATCTATGCGGCTACGTTGCTATTGTCACGGGAGTTGCGCCGTTCTTTTAGGAGCCCTCAAGCATAGTCCCTAACGACAAGTGCTCACCCTTAAAACTGCAGGTAATTCAGGGATCGGATACAAAACCGCACTCCAGCTCGCTCTCCATGGCGCCCGAGTCTACATAGCCGGCCGCTCGCCCGACAGAGTTGAAAAGGCCATAGACCAGATGAAAGCATCCAGCGCGAAGCCACTCGACCTTCATATGCTCGAGATGGATCTGCAAAGCCAGGGGAGCGTGAGGGCAGGGGCAGAAGCTTTCAGAAGCAAGAGACGCGACTGGATCTTTTGATCAATAATGCTGGCGTACGCAAACTTTGACTCCTGTCAAGGCCTTCCTCGGGTCACAAGATGTCCGAGCCTGCTGACAACCTCGCCTAATGCAGATTATGGCAGTCCCCTTCCAACTCACGACCGACGGCTTCGAAAGACAATGGCAAACCAATCACCTTGCCCCCTTCTTGCTTACCAAAACACTGCTCCCGATCCTCGGGTCCACGGCCGCCTCTAGCAGTCCCAAGAACCGTGTCCGCATCATCAACGTCGCATGTGACGCAGCGCTGCTACCACCTGCTCCCAAGCTACTGGACCTGGCACGTCCAAACCTGGAATAGGATTCCCGTGCGATGAACGGATGGTACGTCACGCATCTCTCTCAACACCCAAAAATCAGGAAGAAATCAAGTGCCCAGACCATGCCATCACCCCTCTAACTCTTCACCAGGAAACGTTACGGCCACTCCAAAATCGCCTCCATCACCCACGCGCGCGCCCTACACGACCGCCTTGCCGGCAAGGGCATATCGGTCCACCCCGGCATCGTGGCGACGAACTTGCAGAGCGCGGACCCCAACCTCTTCGGCAATTTCGTGCGGCATATGGTACGCTGGTACGTAAACCCTTGCCTGCCTTTCCTTTCCCGACTCGTTTCCTACACCACAGCCGCCAGAAGCTCTGGGGGGAACAAACCATTCTCTCCGTCATCGTTATCATCAACCTTTATGTCTCTTCCTAGACCCAACCCATCTCATATCTCGGCGTGAATAAAGAAAAGAAGAACGGAAGAAAGCTGACTCGGGAACCCGCGTCTAGGGGTCTCATGCCGGGCACGCTCTCCGTAGCCGACGGGGCGACGTCGACGCTGTTCTGCGCTACCGGTGAGGAGGTGGGGGATATGTTGCGCCGTTCGGGAAGCTGGACAAGAGGGCCGATCGGTGGAATCAGGATGAGGGGCTTGTGGAGGAGCTGTGGGTGGAGAGCGAGAGGATGATCAAGGGGGCTGGGTTCTGATAGTGTGTGAAGTATTATAGTAAGCGGCATGCATCGTTTGAGGAATAGCGAGATTGTTTCAAGTGCCTCGTTGTTGTACCATTACATTAAACAGACCCAACACTACCTACGACATACACTAACCACATGCGATCCAAAACGCATAATATCCCCTCCCTCCATCCCCGCCCCCCTAATCCTCCCTCACCACCTAACCCATCGACGACCCCCTCTTCACCTCCTCCACCCACTCCACTGCAAATGCTCCTCCACCTTCTCCCTCGCCCCCTCATCGCTACAATGACTAACCAGCTGCCTCATCCCCACCTCCCCCTCCCCATCACTCCCACTCCTCAACAGATAACTCTCGTTCCACGCCCTGGGCGCTCTCCAACTGCTCCTCGGCAGCGGGGCCCGCGGCGCACCCCCGGCCCGGGGCGTGCCGTCCGGCGACGGGCGCAGGTAGAGGCTCCACGTGCGGGCCAGCTTGGGCGAGACGTGGTTGACGAAGGCGGCGGTGGCGGGCATGCAGCCGCAGAGGATGGCGGAGGCGAGTTCGCCGGCGGACCAGAGGGCCGGGGGTTGGAGGTAGTACGTCTTGTCCGGGTTGCCGGTGTGGAAGGAGACGACGAAGCGCATGATGGAGGCGATGCAGGTGCTGGTGCGCGGGCGAATTCATGTTAGCTGGCTGGCTGGCTGGCTGCATGTGCTCGCGACGTGTTCCTACAGGATCAGGACGTGGGGTGGGAGAGGAGGGGTGCGTACAATAAGCCGACGGCAAAGATGGCCAAGACGCCGATTTTGCGCCTGGTTGGGAGTTTGAGTTTTGAGATGCGGTAGAGTGGGAGGAGGAGGATTGAGAAGTCGGAGACGACGTTGATCGCGGAAGCGGCGATGAAGGCGGCTTGCAGGTTGACACAGCCGCCTTTGAGGGTGGGATTCCAGATGCGAGCGCGGGGTACGCATTGGAAGATGCTGGCGAAGAGGTAGGGGAAGTAGAAAGCGAGGTTGGCCCAGATGAGGATGTGGATGAGATGGTGGGTTTTGCCGGTGCCGGCTGTGTCGAAGAGGCGGCGATACATGAGGAGGATGGAAAGTTTGGCGAGGAAGATGGCAGGGCTGTAGAGGATTTCGGTTGTGTTTGCTAGCTAAAGTGGCTCTTGAGTACGGCTTCGCAGCATGTAATGTGCATCACGAGAGTGGCGAAAATTTACCTTTGCGAATTCTAAAACACGACCCAATGGTACATCCCATTGATGGACTCCGCCGCCATACTCGGCGGTGAAGTACATAGATGTACAGTACCCCACCAGGAATGCCCACGCCGTCGCGGAGGCATCTATGAAGGGTAAGCTACTCGCATAATTGATTTGCCATTCTAGATCTGTACGTACAGTCCGCCCATCCATGCGACTTGAGAATGAAGAACACTGTGCACAGTCTTATCCAGACGAATGGTGTGCTCACAGCCAAACAAATTGGCAATGTGATGTACACCCAGCGAACTTGGGAGGGTGGATCCGTGAGGTTGGGGATCACTCCGGGTGGAGGTTGCAAGCCTGGCCCTTGGAGCAGAGCCTCTGCTGCCGCTGCCATTGCTTGCGCTGTAGCATTGGAACTTTGCGCCATGGTGATTCCGCGCACGATATTGCAGCGCCTGTAGGTGACAGGCGGGTCGGTAAGTGACCGTGGTTGGGCCAGTCATTCTTATAAGCGATTTGAAGGGCCAAGCCGGTCTCGTGCGGCGTATTCAGATCTCAGACGGTAGAGGACCTGCATGGCGTGTTGTGGAGAACGGTTAGTCCCCGATGCAGACATGTGTTAAAAAAAACACCATCCAATGAAAAGCATTCGACGCTGGCCTGTGCGCTGCATATGTGGAGCAAGCGTTCAAGCATTTCCAGTCGAAATACCAAGCCTCGAAAATGCATGAGGCTCATGGACTCCTAAGAGCTTGGATGTGTCTTCTGACTTGCATCCTGCATGCGAGATGCAAGCTATGGAACTAGGGCGATCGTTTTAGAAGTTAGATGAGGCGTAGAACATCGCGATAGGTCGAACGGGCTTGAGCTTCTGTCAAGAAACGGCCAAGCGTTCTTGACCCGGGGTGCTTCAGTCTCTGCGTGCATCCGTGGCCAGGTTACCGGTGTCATGATGCCGAGCTGTAGACGGCTGACATGCAAGGGCCCTGTTCATGCCGTCCGTCTTGTTTCAAGGACACGGCCGAATAAGACCGTACCACCGTCGACTCAGCGGGTAAGGTGTACGTCATGAAATGACAGATTCGAACGTCTTTGGCGCAGATGTAGGCGCTCCAATCACCTGCACTCATTGCGTATGGATGGCTTAGCGGTGCTTCTTCTAGAATCGAAAGATTAGTGCAACCTCGAAGATTCTTGTCAGAAAGGAACGCACGTAAAAAAGCAGAGTCGATCACTCGGTAACGAGTCAGTCTGACAATAGGAGCATGCAAGTCAATGCCACGGAACGACTGGAAAAGGATTGCTTCGACAGTGATGATGAGCACATGCGAATAAAAGCTGTGCTCTTGTATGATTCGGTCTTCTGGAAATACGAGTCAGATGCGCAGCTGTTGACATTAATCTGTTCGCAGAATATTTGATTCATCGTGTTCAACAAGAGACTTGCTGAACCGATCTATTTCTCCAGTGACTCCGCCAGAACACACAGCCAGCTTGTACCTTTGCACATGTCGCGATAGACCACATCGTACGCTCTCTTATACACATCGAGAGAATCACCTTCAGAGGTCGAGCGCAAACGATAGTACCAAAGAGAGGATATTTTACCAAAGCCAGAAAATGTGGAAAATACGCGAAGCACGACGGACTGCGTGCTTCCTCTTTCCTCTTCTCCAGGGCGAAAGTAGACGCAGGCAGGCGCCTCAGCGCTATTTCCCAATCAGATTCAGCGGATGGATACGATGAAGACTATTGATCACCAAGCTTATACGAGCATGAATGAAGGTGGAAAGGTGAGGACGGGAAGAGCAAGCATCTCCGAAGAAGGCCTTGCCAGCTACCGTACTCTACCTCTACGTATGTAACAATCTTTTTCAGATCTAAGATGGAAAGAAAAGCCGAGAGATCATCCGCTAATAGTGCCAAGCCTCACTAGTCGCCCGGCTAGATCAGCCTCCAAGATACCTTTAAGGTACATACGGTAAGTACCTAAGGTAGCCTGGAGGACATTTACCCCGCAATCGAATTTTTCCTTTTTTTTCTCCTTTGAAACCGGAAGCCTCGGTCATTTATTATTATTATTGTTTCCATTTTGTTATTATTTCCAAGGAATTGGAGCAAGGATCAAAACCAGATTTCTATACGGGATACTTGGATGGCTGGGAAATCAATATTGTGTCTCCCAGCTCAATCCTGGTTGCTGTATCTCCCATTTCCCAATGTTCATGCTTCCCAGTAAAATATTCCAACCGCTTTGACGCTTATATCCACCAGTCCTAGAACCCGGTAGCACCATCACCGTTAGAGGAATCCTGCTTCCCCCTTACTATGACATTATTATTGAACCATTTAGGAAGGTGTGAGGCCTTTGTGATCTACTCTGCAGCCATATTCTGCACGCATCTGCAACTCCCCGAATTTCTTTCTCTTCGGCCGTTGGTAGCGAGCGTTATCGGACGTTTTTTGTCATCGTCTACAGGCCTTACACCAATACAAGCCTTATCTCAGCACCTACTCCATGACTAACCCATCAAGTCATCTTTTTCAACCTTGCCATGCAGCTAAAGCCCACCCACTGAGACTCGAATGCTTCAACCGGATTTCTACCTGCTCCTTTAGTAATTGGCATCGGCGACAACATGTGAACGGTCCGGATTGCTCGTCCAGAACCGAGAAACCAGGATGAAACCAGGATGATTCTGGAAGGTATCTATGCATCTCCCCTCACACCGCTGCAAATCCCTCGTGGTAAGGCTGCCTTGATGGAGACCTGCATGAGAATATGTGAGGGGCAATGCACCTCTCAATGCACACCTACGTCTGGGGAGCTTTAAAGAGCTCACAGTCTCTCCGAGTCTCCTCCTTTTCTTCCCTCACAAGTCTGCTTCTCTCTAGGCTCTGTTCTTACACACAGCTCTTTCCTCAAACCTTGGACAGCTATTCAAGCAGTCAGCCAAGATGCGGGGACTCTTTTCAGCTCTCGCAGTGTGCGCCCTGATCCTCGACGTCTCTGCCGCCGTAAAGCACTCACATCTTCGCGACGTATCGCGCAGAGGCCAAGAAAAGGCCAAGAAGGCGGTGCGTGAGGCTACATATGAGAAATTGAGCGCACGTCAAACAAACACTTCCACGCCTGCCACTTCTCAATTCCTCACCAGCACTACAGCCAGTCAGTCCATGTCCTTTCGTCACAACTGACACATGACTCACAATTTCGCAGAGTACAAGGTCGACTCGCTGCCCGATGTCAACTTTGACATTGGTGAGATGTACTCCGGATTGATCCCAATCGATGAGAAGAACGCCTCTAGAGCGCTGTTCTTCATGTTCAATCCAACCATTGGAAAACCCGTCGACGAAATTACCATTTGGTTGAATGGTGGACCCGGTTGCAGTTCCCTGGAGGGCTTTTTCCAAGAAAACGGCAGGTTCTTGTGGCAGCCGGGAACATTTGCGCCTGTGGAGAACCCATAGTATGATGTGTTCATCCTTTACACTCACGGATGGGACTAACATGGTCTAGCTCATGGGTGAACTTGACAAACATGCTATGGTATGTCTTACCGTCGCTTGAACCGATGTATTAGCGCAATGACTAACGTGGGATTTAGGGTTGAGCAACCCGTCGGCACAGGCTTTTCAATTGGCGAAGTCACCGCCACGACCGAGGAGGAGATTGCCCAAGACTTTATCAAGTTCTTCAAGAACTGGGAGAAGACCTTTGGGATCAAGAACTACAAGATATACGTGACTGGCGAAAGCTATGCGGGCCGCTACGTTCCATACATTTCTGCAGCGATGTTGGACCAGAAGGACAAGGAGTACTATGACCTCTCGGGTGAGTCGCCCTCCGCGGCCCATAGCAGTCTCCTACTTTGATCTCACGCGCGTCTACAGGAGCTCTAGTCTACGACCCTTGCATCGGCCAATTCGACTACACACAGGAGGAGGTCGCTGCCGTACCCTTCGTCATGGAGAACCAAGCCCTCTTTCAGTTCAATGCCTCGTTCCTCGCCCAACTCGAAAGTCTCGACAAGTCCTGCGGATACGCCGACCTCCGAGAAAAGTACCTCACATTCCCACCTCCCGGAAACCAGCCACCCGTATTCTTCAACACCACCAGCGAAGCCAACTGCGATGTTTTCGACATGATCGATGATGCCGCCTTGACAAACAACCCCTGCTTCGACATCTACGAAGTCAACCAGCAATGCCCCCTCCTCTGGGACGTCCTCTCCTTCCCCACCCAACTCGTCTACACCCCCGAAGGCGCTTCCACCTACTTCAATCGCTCGGACGTCAAAGCCGCCATCCACGCGCCCGCGTACGTTGACTGGGCCGAATGCGCCGTCAACCCCGTCATCGTTGGTGGTGCCGAAGTCAACGGCTACTACACCGGCGGTCCCGAAAGCGAAGGCGACCTCTCGGCCGATCCAATCCAGCACGTCCTCCCCCAGGTGATCGAAGCCACGAATCGCGTGCTCGTCGCGAATGGAGACTTCGACATGATCATCATCACGAACGGCACCCTCATGTCCATTCAGAACATGACCTGGAATGGCAAGCTGGGCTTCCAAAGCCAGCCAGCTACACCAATCGTCATCACGGAGCCGGATTTGCAATACGAGGCTGTGTTCGCGGCAAATGGGGCCGCGGGCCTTGATGGGCCACAGGGAACAATGGGTGTGCAGCATTACGAGCGTGGGTTGATGTGGGCGGAGACCTTTTTGAGTGGGCATATGCAGCCAGAGTTCCAGCCGAGAGTGACGTATCGGCATCTGGAATGGGTGTTGGGAAGGATAAATGCGCTTTGAGACTTGTTTCGGTGGCCGATGTAGATACATCCGAATATGAAGATAAAAGCCAACTGCTGTAGATAGAAATACCTTCTCACCTGAAGTCAGATGATTCCTCTTGACTTTGTGTTTTTCGACCTCTTTTTCTGTCTTACAACATCCCCAATCTACCTGTGAACAACCCTCCCAAAAAAAATCAAAAGAGTGCACGGAGAGACGATGACCTCATAAGGCAACCAACCCGACTTCTATCCGCTACTGCAACCAAACACCCTACAAAAAAGCCCCCAAGCCTTCCCCTCCCAAGTCTCCAACAAAGCACCCTCCGCCAAACTCAGACCTAATAACCAGACACAATACTCCCATTTCGTCTGCAGAAGGAGTACATAACGCACCACTGAAAAAATATTACTCCCCAACACACGAGCAAGGAAAATCCACACCCAACCTACCATCCGAACGGCCGACGCGACGCACCCATCGACCTAAAGCCCGCTCTGGAGTGGGCAGTCGATGAATCCATACCTGGCACCGACGTGGCCGGGTTTCGATCCCTGCTTGAGCGCATCAGCTACAGATTCATACGCTCACGCCTTCCCATCCGATCCTCTATTTTCAATGCGGGGCTCCTCACCACTGGCAGCGCTTTCCACCGTAGAGCCCAGAAATGCCGAACGGCCGCACCGACGACCGGATCTCCGTTACGCGGCGCCGTCCCGTTTCCTCAGGAAGAAAGCATCCAAGTCGGCCGTAGGGTCGAGTGACGGATTGCGGATGTTGGTCAAGGGTGAGAGACACATCAATCGCCTGGGTTCCAATAGTAGGCGCCGCAAACACTATGTATTCCCATCGTACCCAGCGCCGCAGCTGGCGATGTTCCAATTCGGGTCGGATGCGTTCGTCATGACGGCATCGATGTGGGTATCGATGGCACGGGCAATGACCTGTTCATTAGCCTGCAGACACATACGTGTTGAGCGCCGGCAGGAAGTGATCCGACTAGGCCAGAGCTGTCGGCAACGGGGTGACGGAGAAGTAGCCCGAGGCCGTGAAGGCCAGGAAGGTCGTCGGAGATCGCCGAGGTCACGTTGTTTGTTTTGCAAATAGGTGGTGACGGTGCCCATGACGTTTGAGATCTGATCGAGATGTGTGATTTTGGGAGTCGGGAGTGCCCGAGGGGGAAGAGAGATTTGCCGACGGCGATGGCCTGCTGGGCGCCGTTGAGCACGGTGTCGATGTGCTGGGGAAGCGATCGGGTCTGGAGAGCTTGGTGAAAGATTCACTCCCACTCCCACTGAGATTGCAAGAACCACTGAGCATTTGTGCGATTCCGGTGCTGAAATCAATGCGTCCGACAGCATTGGGGAGACTCCCCAACATACTGCCGCTGGACGTGGAGACTTGGTTGTTATGAAAATCCTATGCGATTGGGGTGCAAATCTTGAATTTGCCATAGAAGAATATAACCTTCTTGATATGGGTGCCCCTTTACCACCGGTAGAGTCTAATACTTTTGCTCACTAGGCCCAAGATTCACGTTGCACAGACTCGGCGATCTGGAGCTGTCAAAATACGTCAATACTCTTTTTGTCCAGATTTCGCCGATAGGAAGCACCTGCTAACAGACATCACGGACATGCCAAGCACGCCAAGCTTCACGCAAGCAATTCATCAGTACTATCCATCAACGGATCCCTCAGACCCTGAGAAGGCTGACGAGGATTCGTCCACACTCTATTGATCGGCGCTTCCCATGTCCAAAGAGACCCCCTATAGTTTTCTGCCACCATTGTCTCGGGGATTCCATCCATCTGAGAAGCTCCCGAGGTATCTCCAGCAGTCGTTGCGAACTCGAACGTCTCTTCAGGCCAACTCAGCTCAGTCTCCTCGGGGTTAGCGGTCACATCTTTCCTCTCAGGTGGCCAGTTTGTTTCCGCCGGGAAGGGGAAACTGGCGCGTTTGATGCTCAGGGAGAGCCCAACTACTGATGGCGGGTTTTGAGTAGGCTGATCAAGGCGTATGGCAGTCCAGGCAGTGAGACCGCGTGGTGCATGAAGGCAGCTATTTGGGATATCGTGTTGTTGGGCTGCAAGGTCGAATGTCATTGACCACGCATCTGTTCCGAGTGGAATAGTAGCACTACTACATTTGTGAAAGTCTGGGTTCTGGATTACCCACTGCGCGGCACCGATAGTAATGATGACGCTACTACCGGCATCTGGCTTTCCGAAAGCCTTGGTCTTGCCTGCAAACTTGATAGTGAGGACGCAGGCATCATATTCGCTGAGTAGGACATTGAGCGGTGTCAAGAATATTGCGCTACGATCCACCCTTCCGGTAGCATTCCTCAAGTAAACATCTTTCGAGTCGAAATGGTGACGACTAAATACAGCTTGATATCTCCCACCAGTTCGTAATTCTTTATTCGTCCCAAGATCGCCAGGACATAAGTTCGTGGCATCCTTGATCAGTGGGCTGTCTCTTGGCTTTCCCGTCAGCGTACGCAGGAATTTTGGATGAATCCTATAGAAATTGTTGTTGGGTTCTTGTTTCTCTAGGAGGGCGTTGACTTCAGCAGCGATAATGTAATTCCTAGAGTGTTTGGCAAACTCATCCGCCCAACATTCTACGGCAAATGCATCACTTTCAAAAACAGCGTCTTGAGTCGAAGAGGTATGGCCAACGACTAAGCCAGTGTTGGCATGGAAAACTGGACCACCTGAATTACCTTCGGAGACAGATCAGTAGGAACTCAGAGAAAGATTTTATAGACTTGCCTTCGAATTGATCCATGTCCGTTGTATATGTTCCATAGCCAGCAATGACGTGCGAGAAAGGATCGCCATCGTTGCCCACAAGCGAATGCCGCAGCACGTGGCCCCTTCCAGAGACTTTTAACTGCGTGCCCAAAGGGCTGCCGATGTTGTAGACTGGACTGCCAAAGCTCGGAGGTTTCGTTGATAGCCTTGCTTTCTTTAGGAGAGATAGCTGATTTGGTGTCCCTCTCAACTTAAGAACTGCAGAGTCCCATCTTCGCGCCCAACGAGCAGTCTCGACCGGGTCTGTTGGGGCGGGGGCAGGTCCGTGTGTGTCACAGAGTACAACTCTTTCGATATTAAAGACCTGTGAGTCTGTAAATGTCTTCTTACTCACGACATCGCCAAGCCAATTGAAAACCACTCTCAGCTCGTCCAATTGACTGTCAAGTAAGGCCTTGTCCAAGCAATGCCCCGCCGTTCCCACATACCCATGACCAAGATGATAAGCTGAGCAGAATCTTGGACCGATGATGTACTGACCGGCTGGTGCAAAGCGGCTGACGAACTCAGTCGTACCGCTCGGCCACTCTAAAGCATCTATTTTGCCGGATAGAGCTTCGGCTTCAGACCCGACATAGGCTGTAGCTGGATTTGTAGCACTATTACAGAAACAGTGCCTCAAAAACTCCTTGTCGTATTGCACGCAATCTGCGAGGTTGTTTCGCCATATCGAGTTCAAGTCGGTTTGTTTGCGAGAAGGGTCGTACACCCAAGAGTGCCCCACTTGAGTCCAGCCAAATTCGGGCTTCAGGACCGTAATGATACAGGTAGCTTTCACGTTGCTGAATCAAGTCAGTCGTGGAGTAAATGGGAATACAGTCTTCAGGCTGATTTCTGCTTAGAAGAGGCAGGATAAGCAATGAGGACTCACTTCTCAACATTAGCAAGCCCGGTTCCAGAGATCGCCGCGTCAGCCTCAATCCTGTGATCAAACTCAAGCGTGTGTGGGTCATCGAAAGACCTATCGGTGACGTCCCAATCATTGTAGCGCTCAACCAGAGGCATGAGGAGAGCAAGTAGCCCCTATTAAAGTATATTTAAGCCAATAGCAGACACTTCGGTCTCTGCGATGTTCGTTTTGGGAGAAAGGAAGACGCTGTAGCGCAGAGCTGATGATTTAGTCAACCAATCTATGGTCGCTGCACCGTTCCCTCTCGGAACCTGATACGCCGTGAAGGTGGTTACAACGATTGTGGGAAGCAAGGTGAACAGATGCACCGATGAAAAGGTATCATGCCGCATTATCACCACGTAGTTCGCACGCAAAATCCTGGGCGCCAAGACTCCTGGCCCAAGATCTCGAATAGCGACCTGCCTGAAGGGCTGCCTGGACAATACATGAGATCTGCTTCGGAAGTCCGCTTAACCTGAGCTCACTCTCGGGTCCATTGTCACTATCAGGCGCGACTGAGGTAAATTTCTGAAAATACATCTATGCGCTCCTAGAAAATAGTTTTAGGGTCCTCGGTTACAGGTACTAGTACAGGGTCGCCTTCCGACGGTAGGGTTAGGGCTGCTACTAGCGCTGTCCGATTCTGCCACGTGCCTTTTGTTAACAAACTCCCTCGTGGATTAATCATTCACTCTCAATCTATCCATCATCCATTTGCGGGTATTGTATCGCTCCACAGCACCGTGGGCTCTACGCAACATAACAAGGGTTGTGCTTGATACGCGTTCTTTACTCGTCTTGAGCACGCCGGGCCTCACCCGTTTCATCGACTAACAGGACCTTAAGGCGCTCCAAGGTTCGCCATGGCCTCTCGTGCAACAGATCGAGTAACTACTCCGCCGATGCCTGCCGAGTTCCTCCAGCAGCTCTGTAGGAACCTCGATCAGCCTAATCTCAAGAGATGTCGCCTTGTCTGCAAAAACTTCAGCTACGCTGCTGAGAATTCCCTGTTTCGCCAGGTTCTGTTGAAGCGCAAACTTGTGAAGGCCATGTGTTATAGCGGGATAATGCTCTGGAATGACCATCTCTGCATGGACTTCAAGAGTTGGTCCAAGTATTTCGTTGGGCAAGGTTTTCACTTACGTGATAAGACCACGATAAGTAAATTTGCGAAGAGTCTCACATCGGGAGAAGTTGAGATGCACTTTCAAAAAATTTGCGCTCACCATCACAGCGAACAGCTTATGCGGAAATTTGACATCGAGACTCAAGATGTGACTAGCGATCTCGCCAAGCTACCACAACTTGAAGAGGTTCGCTTCGCCCGCGGCGAAGATTTGCTTCACTGAGTGATGGGCTAGTCTATGATCAACTGAGCTCCATCGCGCGAGAGACTTTGGTAGAGCCCAGTCGGTTGGTGGATGTGAATTCCACGCAGGACAATTCACTGCCCTATTGACAGCCGCTCATACAGTCCAGAAACCGTTAAAAACGGTCAAAGCGCTTGGTATCCCTTGGAGTGTTTTACAGCAGTCCAAAGAAGTGGCAGATGTCATGGCTACAGCCACAAAAGCTTTTCAGTATCTTGCAGTCGAGATAAAATCTAACCAAGACAAGGAGAATGAAGGAGCAAATCTCGCAAAAATGATTTCGAGCTCTCCATCCCTCCATACATTCGAGATATCCTTTAACTTCCTACCATTCCAAGATATAGAATAAACCATGAAACTGTCCGAGCGTTTTGAAGCTGGAGGTCACTGGCCGAGTCTTAAGCAGCTCAAGCTCCGGGCCTTGCAGGCAACGGATATCAGCCTGATAAAGTTATTGACGACTCATGCCACGACTTTACGATCTCTGGAGCTTGCTCATATCGGCCTCGAACACTATCAACTGGACGGAAAGGAATGTCATGGCTCCTGGGTCGAGATTATTTTAATCCTGCAAAGTCACCTGTGTCTCCAAACCGTTCGTCTAGACGGTAACCTAAGCAACGGATGGAATGAAGCATGGTCAGCAGTCGACCCCAATAAATCAGACGATTGGCGTCTTGTGGGCGAGCGTCCGGAAGAAGTTCCATGTCTCAAGCATCGTGTTGAACGATATGTTGTGGAGGGCGGCACCTGTCCACTTCCTCTGCCACATCATGCTGAAGAATCAGGCGGCTGGGAATGCATAGATTCTGGTGAAGATTCGTCTTGGAGGTTTTGTTCGTAGCTCTTGCGATGAGCAGTGACCACGCCAGAGAGATATTGTAATCCCATGGATTGGCGCCTTCCGTGCAAAGTGGCTTGACAGAACTTCAAAAATGGTATACTTTGCAACGTATTGACTTTTGAACAACGCCGTTACAATAAACTCTGGCTGCAAACGGTTAAGAATGCCCAAGAAGAGCAAACGCGATACTAAACAATATTTGTAGGTGTTTCCGCTGTTGAGTTGCGGTGGATTGCAAACAGAGACTTTTTGATGTTCGGTTGGAACGCCTGAATTTTACACCCTGCCGATCTATGTAAGAGCAATCATCATGCCAGAGATATGGCACAACCAGTGCATCCGTCACTCTGCTGGTAAGGTATGCATGCCTTGTAACAGTATTTCGACAGAAGGCCCACCGTCGTCGGCTGCGTCTGTACACGGAGAATGCAAAATGGTGAAATTTCTTTTCCATTCATACAGTCTTGAGCCGCATTTCTCTACACAACCATCAATACTACGGTAGTGAAGGTGTCTGTTTTTTCGAAACGTACAAATATTGTGAGTCTCCTTTCACTTCCGCGTTCAGGTTTTCGACCAAACTCAGGCTTGTTTCTGTCTTTTGAAAGTATCCATCTCTGTAATCCGATGACTTTTCCTCCTAAGGTAATCGCTCTTTGAGACTCAAGCTCCCACCGCCAATAATTGTCAACAATAACAGCCTAAGCAGCGAAATGGCCACCTTCCTCTTTTCTAACCCAACATTTCCGAAACTCACAAATCCCGTTCTCCATTCACCAAGCCCCCTTTCATCAAACACCTCGCCAAACCTCACTCCATCCCTGCATCACCATCATCTCCTGCTTCGACGAGCTCGCCGAACTACGAAAGTTCTTTTTGTTCAGACAAGGGATGCTTTGACAATCAGCGATGCCGGTACTTGTTCGGGGAGTCTCTACCCGTGTACCGCAGTTGATCGCGGACAAGGCGCCCAAAAATCCCGAATAGACGTCTGGATTAGTCCAGGTTTCCTCCATGTAAACTGGACGGACCATCGAGCGCATCAATTGTTAATGGAGGTGACCTGCGACGGACACGCGCGGCTCCCTGCCGTAAGAGTGGGAGTAGGGTGGCTTCCATCATTACAGTTGCACGTGCTGGTAGCCTGCTCGCCATCTTTTCCCATTTCGATGTGGTTGACACTGTACATGATTGAATCATTAGCTCATGGTTCTTCTTCAATTGAATTGTCCCTCCGTTCTTGATAGGAAAGAATTTGGAGACATACATCAGAATACATATATAGATAGGCCCAAGACTTATGGGTCTCGGGGGAGCTGTGGGAGCCGGATCAGTTGAAGGAGGCCGTGTAGAGGACGGTGGTGTGGGTGATGAGTACCCTGCGGTAACGATAGGAGTCCAGCCCGAGGACGGCATTGTGGTGTAGCTGCAGTCGCTCACTATGGTGCCGCTAACAGTATTGACAAGCATAGGCGCCTTGATGCCGTCGCAAAAGCAATAGTTCTCTGTGCCGGGCGCATAACCCTGTTCATCGGACAGATACTCAGCGCATGGTGAGAGGCCACCTTGCCCAGGAATCACGACGGGAGCGCTACTGGAGACCATTGCTGAGGTGCTGTTGGCTAGTGTAGAGGTCGTGAAGCCTGATACTCCGCCACCGAGGACTGACAGGAGAATGTCGCCCACAAAGCCCAGCACGACTTCGGCAGCGCCATTGTCAATGCTGTATCCGGACGGTAGGGCCTGTGGTATATTGGTGTCGCATGGAGGGTCCGTCATAATCCCTGATGACACTGCACTTGACGAAACGCTTGATGAAACGCTCGACAAAATGGCTGATGAGCTGAGTATAGAACTTTCTACCGAAATACTTGGCGTTCTTGAGCTCTGCTGCGTCTTTTGTGCTTGTGATTCACTCTGAGTCGTTTCCTCCTCTTCCTCTTCCTCTTCCTCTTCTTCCTCTTGGGCCATTTCAGCGACATTAGCTATGACTTCTTCTATATCAGTCAACGCTGGGCCTGGATTGGTTTTATCGATACCCTCGATGCCAAGCTTGATCTTATCCAAACCGCTGCTTATACATCCCACCAATTCAAGCAGGCCCGTAAGGCCGCCTCCTGTGCAAGCCGAGTCGTAGGAGGGTGGGTTGTCGCCACCTATCTGTCTGAGAAAATTGTCCCACTTTGATTCTACTGCTTGAATTTTGAGGACATATGACGAGCTAGAGGCCGAGTTGGTTACAATGTTTGACAAGGTCTGGGCTTCTTGCGAAATACCGAGTATCAGTCCTCCCAGGGAAATTCCAGCCGCACTTGCGACCGAACCAGTCGGTTCGACCGTTATGATCGGCATGGAGATGGTTGGGCCTGATGTAATAGAAGCGGGCATCAATGATGCTATACTTGAAGAAGCAACAGTCATTGGAGAAACCGTTTTTGATAATCCAAGGGCTGTGATTGCTGTGGCTAAACTTGAACTCAACAATCGAGTCGATGGAGAGCCAAGGACAAATAATGTACCGTTCGAGGACAGAGAAGTTACTCCAGTTGCAGATGCAGCTAGTCCAGTGCTTTTGTTGCTTTGGACGAAGGTATCTGAGCCTGTGGGTGACACATTGGTTCCTGCACGTGAACCGGAGCCTGCGACTGAAGCGACTCTGGATGACTGCAATGCTGAACTGGCGGTCACATTTTCATTCGGTGCGATGGATGATGCCGAGCTTGCCGTGTTATTATGCAAGGTTAAACCTGTGGAGACTAGCCAATGAATAACAGAATTGCTATGATTCGAGCCTGTAGGAGTGGACGTTGCTGGCACAGAGATCTTGCTATGTTGGCTCAAAATTGTAGGGAACGAACCCAGCGCTGACGAAGCAGACATTGACCCCGATCCAATGCTGGTTAATTGAGACCCTGGGCTGCCTGAGCCACTGCTGCTGCCGTTCACGCCGCTCATGACAGAATTAGAAAATGCAGTAGTGTTGGCGGAAGCGACAATACTGGTAAAACTTGCAGTCGCATATCCGGTCAGAACCTCGACGCCATGAATGAAAAGATCTTTGGCGGGATCTGCTGAGACAGTTTGCCCATCAATGAAGACTGCAGCAGAGCCAGGAGCTATTGTGGTGCTATCGAGAATGTATTCTGCCGGATTGACGATAAATTGTGCAGATGCGATGGTGATGGTCACGTCTTGGGCGAGGACTACCTTGGCCATGGACATTACGATGAGGGCCAATTTCACCAATGAACGAAAACTTGAAGCATCCTCAAGAATGAAATGGGCTGACTTCGAAAGAGGCATGACGGATGAAAGTAGAAAAGATGAAGCAAGACGGTGGTGTGCTTTAATCGATAGCTATGAAAGAAAGGCCTAACCATTAGTAACAAACTCACGTCCAACGAAGATCATGTCGCCTTGTATTTCCGACATCTGCCATCGCTATTCATCTCACTTCAAGGCCAGGTGAAGGAACTCGCATATCAGACGGGCAAATCTTACCACATTGATTGTTTAAAATTAGTCTAGGTTTCAGAACGCGGGCCATTGGCGGTCGTTCAACCAAAATCTACCTTTCCTTGCTATCGTTGTTGTTTCATAGGTCAGAGGGGCAGTCGTAATATGAAACCCTGGAACCTGGACCAGTCTGCTTGTTCAAAACCCTTCTTTACATAATAATAGGGAGTTTCAGACCACTTTTTTTAAGCGTGGATTTTTCAGGTCGTGGGAATTTCAGCGATTTGCCACCAATGTTGGTGGCAAATCGCTCATTTTCCTATGACCTAAAAAATCCACGCCATCCATCAATGCTACCCTGAGGTAGCATTGGTGAAGAAAATCGGCCTCTTTGATAGATTTCTCGTATCGATATTCTCTATCTCTTAGCAAATCTATCCAATTAGAAGACCTTTCTTCTTACTACTACTACTATTACCTCTTATTGCTATTACCTTCTATATATGTTTATCTTTCCTACCATCCTTTCTACAGTCCTTTCTATTACGCCGTTGTAGACCTCTTTGCCTCCCTCTTAACATAAGGAAGAGATTGAATAGCTTACGTCTATGTACTTTCTTTTCCGATAAACGAGGTATAATCGTATAAGAAATTAGGGTAGGAAGGATTAGGTACGAGGAAGATTATACGGTTTTCTCGGAGTGGGGGTGTTTAGACCAATCCATTTTGTCATAGCTGAAAGTCTGAATATTCCACGATTCCACAGCAAAAAAAAAAGTGGTCTGAAACTCCCTAATCGTATGGGATACACGCTACACTTAAGCGTGTATCCCATACGATATTTTGTCTGATGTGATAGATTCGCTCGTCTAGTAGTGTTCAGTTCGTTCGGCACAACAATCCACGGCCAAGAGGCCACTCTTGAATGATGGCTTCCTGGACCGACGTCATATTCACTGTATCTCTATTTTATTTCACTTCCCTTCTCCAGTTACAAGATCTCACTCACGTCTTTCAATGAAAGTCTTTCCCTCAGTAATAGGCCAGGTGCCGTTGCGATTTCTCGTTGTCCTGACACTTCTCTCTTCCATATCGGCTCAAATCACTTGGACCCAGTTTTCCAAAAGCTTCCGCCTCTACCCTGCGACTGGCCGAGGGGGTTGCGACAGGAACGCCCCTAATGGAGTAGACATGAAGGATTATGTGCTCACCTCCCTCAATGACGCTTGGACAGCTTCGAACACGGTCTCAGAGGATCTCCCAACATCTTCTTTTTCATTCAAGAGAGATATCAGAGGACTGCTTTTCCTGCTTTTTGGGATTACCTGGACCACCCACTACGAACCCAATCCCGATGATGGCTCAGACACGAAGTACAACTCTATTCTGGGTAGATTTGGAAAGCCGTATGATGTCCGTTTCTCGTGTCGCTGATGATTGCAGATACTTTTACTAGCATCAACAAACTAAAGACCGATCCCGACATTTATGGATTAGCGCGATTCAGATGTCTAGAAGACTACGCTACCTACTATCAACATATGCCCGGTAACGACGGGCTAGAAAATAAAACAGCTGCGTTAGCTGCTGAGCACTACAATGTCAGAAGTATGTACCTTAAATTCCTACCGAATCAGTTTGGAAGATAGTTTAACGAACCCAGTACTGACAGCAACACTCACCAGTGTCCAACGGAAACTACTTCCCTGGTCTGATGTACATTAACAACGAGGCGATAACATCATTCCAAGATTCATCCCAAGCCTTCTACCCCACTGGGGAAGGAAACCCTCCCGACGGCGGGTGTGGCATGGTGGGTCGATACCCGGCGATGGCCTTCACCCTCGCTGGCGGCGCCATGAAAGCCACCTATGGGATTACACTCTGTCCCAGCTATTTCACCACGCCCACCACATCAAGTCTCGGCTCGCCCGCCGCCAATGGAGGAACAGCGGAGATCGATAGATTCAAGGAGACGGGAGGAATGATCGCACTGCACGAATTCGTGCACTTGGTTACACTCAACGGTAAGGAGCCTCGGTCAGTGCCCTCTGAAGGCACACTCTACTGATTTCAGCCACATAGACGTCGGAGATCAACTTGCCGCCTACCCACCCGACGGCGTGACCTGGACGAACCGGAACTGGGCAAGTTGGGTCTTGAACACGGCAGTATCGTCGTATGGGTACACACCTGCCGCCTATCTTGGCCTCGCTATGCCCGCTTTGGCAATGAAAAATGCAGATAATTACGCGATACTCGCGACGTGCATGCAATATGACGATCTAGACTGTCTGGGGACGTTTCAAAATGACATTATCTCGAAACGAGAACTACCGTTTCAAGTGTCTTCACGCACGGTGGAGAAAATCAGATCTGGGGAATTGGATCTTAAAAAGGATGATATACCCACTGATGTGTCTGAAGCTTCGAAGATCTCTACCAGAGTGAAGTAGGGGGGGCTGGCAGCTTGGAACCGCCGCATTCGGTTGGACAGAGCGGGAAGCGCCCTAGTCGCTTTCAGTTGTTCTGAAACGTCTTGTGGTTTTCAGTATTCTTGTATACATATTCACACCTTTCGATCTCTCATTAGAGTAGGATCAGGAATGGAAGCGACTTGTGCTTCTGTCGAGGCGGCTGCTGCGAGCCTTGGCAGCACGAGACTGGGCGCTGGAATTGTACAAGCGCTTTTGCCGGTTTCCACTTTCCAATTCCCATCAACCAACATGCTGTTTCTTGAGACAATGCCATATGGCAACAATGGCGGTGCTGGATCATGCTCACGAATTCAGAAGACTCTTGGTAGCCTTTCGGTTCCTGTCTGAGAAGCCAAAGCCGTCGCAGTTGGCGGGCGTCTTTGGCCAGGACGGCTTAGAGAGTTCTTTACCGAACACAGTGCCTTCACAGCCTTCCAAGACCACAAAGATGTAACAACCAATACCTCTCATAGCTCTGTCTGCCGAGCCTCTACATCTCAATTGTAAGCATATGCTTTGGTCACGTCTCAACGTCATGCGACGTGTTTAGAGAGATCACAACAGCGCTGCCGAACCACATCTATTTCCCGAGATCCTTCTAGTTCGTAGCTGGGTAAGTGATTGCAGAATCCGACAGAACTTTGAGCACCCCAGATTAAGCAAGCAAGTCAGGGCAATATCGTACAGTGGAAAAATGTGCGGACCGCTAGAGCAGTGCATAGAGTATGAATATTGGCGTGAGCATGGCATCGGACACGATTTGGGGCCCAGGACAAGAAATTTGTGAAGACTATCAAAAGGCAAAATCGGAAACGGCTACGACTCTGTCACTAACGATTCTGTGACCACCTGCGCGCTAAAACTTTCCTGCAAAAGAATGGCATCGAAGGCCCAGATCCCATAAGCGCTTGCAAGAAACTACCCTCAAAATGATCGATCGCCAAGCCTACTGGCCAAACCAAACCTCAAGCATCTGAAATTGAAAGATCTCACTGCCGGCCAAGCCGAGATTGAAGAGCTATTCTCAGCTCATTCATCTTCGTTACGCTCTAATGGATGGTTCCATTGGCTAATATCTGCAATAGGCGATATTGGAGAGGAAATTCTTCCATGATTTGACACCAACAGCATACCCGAACTTTGCTTGCCCATTTCAATTTATCAATTTATCAAATCAGTGCTTTCCAGTTTGCAATCTTGCCACGGTGGCAGGATGACAAGCCCTTGCCGTTTCTCCCTTCCGACACCGTCTCGCCTCTTCACCCTCATACATCCTATTCTTTCGCCCGTGCCGCGGATTTGTGCACCACTTGGCGCTTCATGATCTCTTCCGATCCATTTCTGAGTGACCGACCCCTTTCACTCATCATCGCCGCAGCTGAGCAGATGATTTTGCCTTCCTGGTTCTGGCTTAGGCCAAGAACCAGAAGTCAATGCAAGCCTTCGGTCCAGTAGCGTTGAACAACGAGCGTTAAGGATGATCCCGCGCAAATAGCTGCCGAGCGTAAAGAGCTGACGATTGGTACATGGCACGGGCTCATACACCGCACTGAGCCAGCCAGATTGGGTCATCTGGCGTCTCCACCGCGCCCAAATACCTCCTTGTCTTCACGCGGCACGTCTCATCATTCCCCTCACTCCTCGCAAGAATCGTAATCTCGGTATCGCAACAATCACACCCAGTCAAAATCTCCCGTCCCAACGACCTTTTGACGAAGCCATAGATGGCATTGACAATATCAGAATCATTGATCCGTTTATGCGGACAAAGCCAGATGCCATCCGCATTCAAGAACTGCTGAAGCTCTGCTGCAGTTTCCACCTGGGCCCTGACACCATCGAGCCATCCCAGATCCCATTGGAAGGAAAGCATGATACCCGGAGCGCGTGCAGGTTCCTTGCCAACATGGGAGGCATAAGTGCCGAAGCCTCGTAATGAGCTAGGAGATGATACGCAGACGTGTTTGGGATCCACAGCGGCAAGGTCGAATTGGCTACGGGGCTCATGACAACCCAGTGTTAACGCGTCAATGATCTCGCCGTTGTTCTTAATCGCGGTAGAACTGATTGTGTTCTTCAGATCCTCAAACGATAGCGCCTCGTGTGGACAGATTTGGAGGCAAGGGCCTGCAAATGGTGGAGGAAGGATATCTTTTTCGTCCTGAAAGTGGGTCTTTGCCTCTGGCGAATCAGTGTATGGAGGTGGCACGTCTTCAACGGCGGATGTTGCCCAGTCGCCGAAGACGCCGTTGATCGTATGAAACGAGTTTGCCTTTTCTTGCTCTGTCGATTGCTGGTAGAAGAGAGAGCGCATCTTTTTGAAGAATTGAGAAGCCATGTTGGATGAGTTTGGAATAGGGAGGCAACTGGAGGACATTTGCAGTGGGAGTACGGACTGAGCAACTTTTACACGACCAGAAATTAATCCCCAGCAGAGAGATATACGAAGACAAACTACTCGTTCTGTGTACGCGTAAAAACGATCACCAACAAGGGACGGGACACATCTCTGGGACAGAGGGGCTCAAGTGCAATATTGCGCAAATTGCGTATCCATACTTTTCAGCGAGGCACGACATGAGGCAAGATAATTGATGATATAAGGCATGCGCTCTTAACCCGTGATACCAACATGATGCAGCTGAAGCCAATCATTCATTGACCAGGCAGAAAGAGAGAGATTGCAGCTCAACTTCAACAGTTGACCCAGAGGGTCGAGGCCGCGAATACTTTCCTCCAAGCTCGCCAAGGCTGACAGATGACTAAGCCATCCAATCGGATCTGGCATCAAATCTCATTCCCCCGTTTTCTCCGCTTTCTCCAACAATCTCGAACCAACCAACGCAACCACAGCCTCAAAGTCAAGCTTATGCCTGCAACTCATTCAACAAGCTTCCAGCCAACCAGCTCTCATCTTGACCAAGTGCCCGTTTCATCAGCTCGCACCCGACCTTCACAATCTCCTTTGTCTCCGTCTCCGTCCCCCAGCTGACCCGCGTGGGCCAGAACGCAAGGTGAACGCCCATGTGAATGGCGACACGCTTGAGGAACCTATTGTCCAGTTCTCCAGTCCACCGATACCCTTCTAGAAACGTCGTGCGCAATCCCTTGCCTCCTCGAAAACGATCCAGCAAATGCGCTTCCGCTGCGAACTGTCCCACGTCCGTGGCTCCGCACCCTCTGCGCACCATCTCCCAATCTACAATACTCAACCTCCCTTGATCGTTGATGAGGACATTGCCGGGCCAGAAGTCTCCGTGGCATACACACTCGTCGTCAGTCTGGAGGAGAGAGCCATACTGGGCATCGATCTGCTCAGCAAGAGAAGGGTCTTGATCATACTTTTGCAGGGCGACGGCAAGATGGGTATACGCGAAACGATACATGGACTTGGCTGCCTGGTTGTCGCCGATCGCCGTATGTTTGGTCCGTTGATGTAATCCTGCGAGCCATCGACCCAGCGCTTTGCCGAAGGTGGGGGTGTCAAGCGTGGGGTCTGCATAGGCTTCCTTCAACGTGCGCGCACCGCCATCTTCGATCATGAGGACATGGCTAAGGGAGTCGTATTGGTATACCTCTGGCACAGCGACCACAGAGCTCGGACTGAGCAGCGGCGGCACAGACGTCATAGCCCTGTGCTCGAAGTCCATGCGATCGACTGAGAAGGACAGACCTGGCGCTGTCTTGAGGTACGGTTCTGCATGCTTGATAATGATTCTTTTCCCAGATCTCTCAAGCAAGCGCCACACGAAATTCGCGGTGCCACCTGCGAGCAGCTGCAAAGATGTCAAATCGATCTTGGCATTGCCAAGCTTGCCTAGGTAAGCCTTCAGCTGCTCTGTGTTCGTGATTTCTGTCATTGGGTCTGCTGTTTAGCAATTCTCTTTGTTTTAACCAAGATCTCGATTCTTTTACTGGGAAATGCATCAAGTTCCAGCGTCCGTCTGCGCGTTCTTGTACATGGAGGATGTTTCCTTCTGCTGCACCTGTGAGTCACAATGCCAAGACCTTCGTGGATGTAACCTTTTAGCTCACACTCCTGTTTGCGAAGGTACCAATCTTCTCCATGTAGCAAGATGGGTAAGAGATGTAAATCACACCGCCCGCGAAGCCCTGACAGGATTGACTCATCGTTCATTGATGCCTCCAAATGCATCTTCATCTCAGCGTTATTAAGTGTCATGTTCATACGTCTTACTCGTAGTTTATCCAAGTCACCGCGTGGACATACATTTGGATGTCCGTATTGCCTACTGGTGACTTTCGACAATCTAACCAATTTGACCTGAATTTATGACTCGTCGTTAAGACTTCGAGGCTAGCGACGGTTTGCGTACACTTTCATCCATCTTATCCCATTCGTGACAGTCACAAAGTAACATCACGGGCCAAGAATTCGACGGCCAATAATCGACAGGTCTCGTGCTGCGTCGAGCCTATGCCGGTCTCCTTATCAAAGTCGCTTAAAGCGCAAGGAGGGAAGCCTTGATAAGCGCCAGCAACGGCTCATTGTTTGGTTGGTTCCATCTTCTGCGAGATAAGCTCGCAGGTGGATGTCGGCAAACCCCAAAGTGTAATGAGTCTAAGCTCTGGGCCGCCGCGCAAGGCCATCTGGCTTCGGAGCTTAACCCAGCTTCATTGATTGAGCGATCGTTCCTGCGTCCTTGGTCGCACGCCCTAGCTTTGGTCGGCCCCGGCCAGCGGATAAGATACGATGTTCCTTGGAGCGTCTCGTCATCAGAAACGCTTGCGCAATCAAAACTTTGCCTTATCTTCAACGGCTGACATTCAATGCTGAGGCCAACGATCCATCACGTCTCATCCGGTATCACCTGATCTTTACCGGTTGTGTGTATATGCACGAGGGAAGGGAAGTCTCCTAAGACCTTTGGTTTCTCACTCGAGCAATGACCAAATGTAGTATGGTCAGTAAGCTGCATCGTCTCATCTTGCGCATGATGGCGGCTGAGAGTCTAGGCGTTGCGCTCAGACCTCTTTTACCCCGGACTCTCCAGCGTCTGTATGCGCAATGACTTCAAGTCGCGTGCTTAATTCTCCCCAGATATAGCAGAAACCATATCAATTGTACTTTGAGGGTTTTGATAAGAGACGATCATCGTCTTGAAACCCGTTGACGCCCGCGTCTCCTTCGCGATGCCAAAGCTGCGCATATGTGTAGCACTCAAAAGGTAAAGAACTCGCGTGCCATCTTTGCATTCTCATTTGTTAAGTTTCTACTGAATGTTGTTCCTGAAGATGCGGCTTTTGCCTGCGTTTTGCTTCGTCGAGTTCATCTTTCTCTACAGCCTCGCGGACGCGCTAGCTTTGCCTCTCCTCAATGCTACGACCACGGCACCACCTCCTTCTACCAAGGTCAACATCACAGTGTTCGTATAGCCCAATCTTAGATTCTTCACATTCAGCAGTACTTTCACATATATTAACACAGAAATACTCGCTAATGTTGTCTCTAGTGACGAAGGACACCACTACCCAATCCCTGGCACGCCGCTGACCCTCCACCTTACACTTTTTCCTACCAGAATCCCCCTCCCCGCCGAGAATACCCTTCACTGCCTCCACAACTTTGCCAAAGTCCTCGCATCGGAGCCTCAGTCAGACTTCCTAGACCGCAGGCGCGAACAGACGGCATACAATGTGGAAGCTATCATAGCACCCGTGAACTGTCCAGGATGTGGACTCACCTATGGAGAATCGACCAAGGTATTGGCCGGGCTGTGGTATTATACCAGCAGGGAGAAGCTTTTGTACGTGCAGCGCTACGGAGTTTTTGAGAGCAGGACTGGGAGGATGGTGGCGTGGGGAAAGTTGCTGACGGCGCCACCAGCGCCTGGGCCTGGGCCTGGGATGTTAGGGGGGATGGAGATGATTTCGACGTTACCTTCGGGGTTGGCAGAGACGAGTTGAGTGGGCGGATGCTCGGCTCCGAATCTATGGGCTTGATGGTGAATGTTGAAGGTCTGACACGCCCAACCGCTTACTTCGACAACAGCAAGATATAGCAGACGGTGAGCGCCGATGCCGATGTTGTTTACGCAAGCGCTAGGATATGCGATATTTCGGTGCTTGAGAATACAAATTTCTCGGGCATGCCGACCCAAAGACGCATCGAACCTTCGCTTACGTGACCGTATATTAACAGGCTTAGCAACCTCTTTTCGTTTACATCTAGGCAATCACTTTCCCTGACCTGTCGAGATGTGCCGGCTCGCCACTTTCCGCTGAAAAAGACGTCGCGCGAGATTTGGAAATCCAGGTGGTTTTGAGGCTGGGAGGCGTCTTCGTTCGAAGTTCAACATCAATTTGTCTGAGAAGGCACTCAAGAAAATTCTCTCGAGTGCCGAAAGGATGCTCGGAATTTCAATTACTGCAGTACCGGATCCATGATCTGTTGGCCACTGTGCCGCGTACTGGTCTCCCGAGGATCTGAACCCTGCACAAGCAACGTGCTCGGCGTTGTGAGGCTTTACCACCGTTGGCGTGACGCGCCGAATCATGAATATATCCTCGCAGTCAAACGCTATCAAGCTCCTGCATCGCCAGGGATCTAAGCCGCAGGCTGAAGATATTTGGTCGAGCGACACCCTTTCAACGATATTGCCTCGCGCTGTTGTCGTCTCGAACATTGTTTCTCTTTCTTCACGACATTCTTCGCTTTACCGCTTTGTTTCTTGACAGATTTCGGTAGTTTTGTCATTTGTTCCAGAGTTGGTTTTTTTTCAGATACTTCAAACATGCTTCATCTGCTCTCATTATGCCTCCTCGCCTGGCTCGCACACACTTCCCCAGCGCCGCCTGCCATCACGCCTTCGCCCAAGTCCTTGCCTGAGCTTCTCAAACAGGCAAATAACGTCTGCGGATCGTGGATTGATATCAGCTCTACCAGTATGCTTCCTATCCCTCGTACATACGCTCGGAACGTATACTAACCTAAACAAACACACGACATCAACTGCAATACGACCGTACAATGTATGATCGCGATGACCCTGACACCGCAAAACATGTACTGCTCCAATTTTGGATCGCCAGTAACGACTGCATTCGATTACGACGATTGGCCAGTCGATGGCTGCGGCGTAGGTCAATTATGCTGGTAGCTATCCCCCAACCTTCGGCCCCGCCAGCATTCATAGGATCGAGAGACAATCGCTGATCGTGCTCAGTCCCTCTACCGCGCCCTATAAAACGCGATACGACTACGACGAAACAAACGTATCCGCAGTCCAGATAGTCTGCGGCGTCGGAACCGCAACCCTCATCAACGCCTACGACGCGCTCTTCACCTTAGAGCAAACCGAAGCCCAGACCTTCGGCGGTGTCAACACGGCCGCAGTATCGGATCTTCAACCCGCAATCACTGTATCGGCGGTCACAGTGACACAGCCCGCCTCGTCCGGATTGACCACCACACCTCCCCCATCAAGCACCAGCAGCGGCTCCGGCTCAGCACCTGCGGCCACGACCAGTGACGCGGCAAGTGATGGTGGAGGGTTAGCGGTAGGTGCGGAGATAGGGTCGATTGTTGGGGCGATATGCGGGGCGATTGCATCGGGGGTGTCGATATTCTTCGGACGGAGAGGACTGGAGAAACGGCACGAGAATACGGAAAAGAAGCTGGCGGCGAAGGAGGAGGAGGAGGCGGAGAAGGCAGCGCAGGAACAGCCTATGATATCGTCACCTAGCCATTGGATTCGACCGGGACGTTCACTCATTTGATTGGCTTTGCTGATCATTAAATTGCTACTGGCGTATTCAGGTCGCTAGTGGGGTATATGTTGCGGAATACTCGGCTAGGTACGAGCATTGTTCCATGAGATGAGTGATACGACACTATGAATGACCGTACTGCCCACGGCTAAACATATCTATGAATGAGATGCAACATGTCAGGCGGGCTATCAGAATAAGTGGCAGTTCCGCCAAGAAGGGCAACGAGAACATTAAAGCCTAAGTCAATAATGAAAGGATTTGTAAACTTACCTCTGCTTTGTAGGAATATAGGTAATACTAATCGTAGCAACTTTGTAATTGAAATAATCTTCTTGAAACCTCTTCTTGTCCAAGACTGCCACTTATTCTGATGGTCGCCTGCATGTGTGGCGCAGAGACCTGCTTAGTCACTCATTTCTTGGCATGGCTTGGCAGTCCGCAGCTTCGCCTGAATTTTGGCGGGGCGGAGGGCGCAGAGCAATCTTCAACCATCTCTGCTTATCCATCCAGTAAAATATCTATGCATACAGGATCAACAGAATTTGCGATGAATTGAATTTTGCCAATTGACTTCCCCACAAGGTGCCATCATGGATCCAATTTCAGCGGCCGCCTCTATTATTGGCCTGCTTGGGGCTGCAGCCAAAGTCTCCGACGTCCTCCTCAAATTCATCGGAAGTGTGAAAGGAGCACCCAAACTAGCACAAAATGTTCTGATGGAGATTTCCGATGTCAGTGCTTGTCTAAACCAATTGCAAAGATATCTGCAGGGGGCTCTCTCAACTTCCAATTCGCAAGAGCAGCTTCTTATGGTAGAGCAACTGGTCGTTACTTTGTCCAATTGCGTCTTGATCTTTTCGGAACTTGAGGAGGCGGTAGACTCTTTGAAGCCAGCAGAACCCATGCAATCTTGGAGACTGGCTCAATGGCTTTTCAAGGAACAGGCTATATGTGCACTCATGGTCCGAATGCAGCAGTCTAAGCTATCTTTGAGCCTGATGCTGACAACTCTGACGTGGTAAGAACACATGATATGAAGCGATGCATGGCGATGCTGACCTTTCGACGTCAGCACCTCTATTGGGCAAGCTCAATCATCTGCGGGTCAGCTTACGACTCTGATCCAGCAGGTCTTAGAGAGCAACCTCGAGATGTCTCAACGGATGGCAAATCTAGAGATGCGGACTTTTGGACTTTCTCGAAGCGCGGCTCCAACCTTGGCAGCCCTGAATACAAGCAGGGACGATGACAGCATCAAAACCATGAGAGCCGCAAACGACGTCCAAGAAAAGGTACTCGGCGAACATTTCGAGACTATTGAAGAGACCAATCAAAAGGCCGACAAAGAGTCAACCAATGATCAAGGGCCCACTTTTAGCTTCACTTTTGATCAAGACCTGAACAGTTCTCGTCCTTACACGCGAGCTATGAAGAGGAACTCCGTGTGGTCCACAGCTCCATCTACGGTCCATACAATGAGCTGGTCCTGCCTGTCCGGCTTGAGCCTCGCGGACGTGTCCGAAATCTCAGTCATAGGCTTACCGATATCACCACAAGAGTTGTGGAATGGTCATCATTATATCCTCGCAAATTCTGACATGAATGACGTTCCAGAAAAGCCTTTAGCACCAAACAGAGACGACCTAGCTTACAGACCAGATGAAAGCTTTTATGAGGACGAGTCAGAACCTCTGGAGACTCGCAAAGGACTCTTTCCCTACGATAACGCGCAGTCAGTGGGCGGCAGCTTGGATTTGCGTTCAGTTGATGGACAGGGCAGGAAGATTCCTATTGCTGCTGGTGGAAGGCTTCTGGAACCTAAAAAGATTATCCTACTAGGTGCGGTTCCAATCAGCTTACGTTGGACCTAGAATAGGACTGACAGGAGATTTGTCCCAGGAGCAACGATGGCTGGAAAGACTACAACATATCACCGTCTACAAATGACACATGGCAATGACTTCACTGACTCAGACCGTCGAAGAGCGCGAGAGTCCGTTATACATGGCCTTGTTGACGTCTTCAAGAAAGCAAGGGGGCAGTACCAAGATCCAATATCGATTGAAGACATTGAGGTCTGTTCTCGGATGAATATCCCCATCATCTGCAAAGCTTAGAAGAGTTGCATTGACACAACCAGCAATTCGAGACTTTGGCATACGCTACACGAGACCAGACACTCAACGGGATCTGGACTCTTAGATGCTATCATGCTCTGATAGCTCTCTGGTCGAAACCGGAAATCCGAAGAACGATAGAGAACGGGAGAGACGCAGCATTGAATGAGACTGTCCCATAGTAAGGCTCTGGTCCTGAAAGTCTATATATGGAAGAAGTTGCTGAATTTACTAGCCTAATGGAGAATATCGATTTTCTGTTCTATGAAAGAACCATGCCGGACGAACTCTTACTGAGAGGCTGCTACAGGACTACAGGCATTCACGATACCAAACTCGACATCGAAGGTCGCTCATGTCACCTCTACGACGTCGATGGTAGGAGATCAGAGCGCAAGAAGTGGCTAAATTACTTTCAAGATGTCGACACTATTATCTTCGTAGTTTCTCTAACCGGCTACTGCCAGGCTCTCCCGGAGAACGTGAACGCGGTAAGCGTTGACCGCAAATGTTTTGGTCCTTTTGAGAGACTGACCGCTTTATTGCAGAATCAAATGCTGGAGTCTCTAGCGCTGTTTGAATCTATAATCAAGCTCGAGGGTTTTGGGACTGTTCCAATAATTCTCATGCTCAACAAGTTCGACCTTCTAGAGCACCGGATGAGGAATAACCCGATAGTGGACTACTATCCTGAATACTCTGGAGACTCGAATCCTTTGCATGCTTGCCGGTTCATTGCGACTAAGTTCTCACAGCTCGACCACCGCCCACACGGAAGCCTAAGGATGATGGTGACCAGTGTGGTAGAAGACGATGATTTCAAATCTACCATTGATGAGCTGTGGCCCGATCTGTTTCGACAGGGATTGGCGATTATCCCTGAGGCACCCAAGTAGTCAGCGTCGATGGAATATCCTCCTTCGGCCCTGGCTAAATTCAGTAGCGAGAGAGGGGCTTTCAATGCACCCTAGGCTAACCTGATGAGACTACAAACTCCGTAGCAAATGTGGCCGACGCACAGTGGCAGATGCATGAAGGACATCGTCGTTAGCTGCGGTTATATCGCCAACTTCTATGATCTGAAGCATGTATCTCACGCGAATTTCAAGCCAAGTCGTTGCTGCTGGTAGTCGCCTGACGCGCTACGGACGCGGCGTTGACGGTATCGCACCAATATATCGGCTCTACAGCCACACGCTGGGGAAGCTTATAACAAACAGTCTGTGCGCAGCGCAAGACTTCATGTCTACAGCAAATCTATGGTAAAATGCTCGAATCTCAGTACCCTCATCAGTAGCAGCTGTCTGCTGAACGACCCTGACTCTTGGAGTAGCTTTGCTATGTTGTATTTACTGGAGTGTTCGGAAGCTCGTTGGACCTCCGCTTTGGTTCCACTTTTGGCGGCTACTAATGGGGCCGCTCGACCTTCCTCTTCCGGAGCTGCGTATCCATGATTGAACGCCAGAGACTAGCATCGGAAGAAGGCACTGGGGCGTTTGTGAACTTGCAAGATTGCTCGTGACCGAAGTCACTGGCTTTGTTCATGGAAATCAATCTACACTAAGCGAGATAAATCGCGGTGTTTCTACAGATTGAGATAGCTTATTCTTTACGAGGAACCAACTCGATCTGCGCTTCTGCACATATGCAAATATTACTCTCTTAATGTCTTGTTGCGAAGGAGAGAAAGGATACAAAACTTCAAGTTTCGCCACTCCTCGGTCAGACTAGACTCCACCGTTGGCCTTGCCACAACAGGGACTGTCTACTTGCCGCTTACGATAACGGCCAACATCGTGGCTTGACTAAAGTACCAGCTATATGCATGCTATTGGCAACTCCCACTCCAACAAACCATCGCTCCGAATTAGCTAAGCCTGGCAGATATCCAGCATCTTTGTCATGGGCCACTTTTACTGTGCTAGTCGCCTGCTTTGTTCGACTCGCGGCGTCAGATTGTATTCAAAGAACAAGCCGCGTGCACAATTGCGAGCCAACAAGGAACAAAGGCGAAGAAAGCAGCCTACAATGTTGAAAGGAACCAGAGTACAATGGAATGGAATTCGACTTGTGGCGTTGAATGTTACTCGAAGAACAATCCGCGACTTGCGATTTCACGAGTAACAAAGGTGGAGAAAGCAGCCCACAATGTCGAAAGATACCATACAATGAAATGACAAAGCTTTTCTGCTGATCATCTACTCATTTATATAAACTGCCAAGTCAAATAATTTTCTTTTTCTCTTCACGCAACTTTTCGAGTACTTACAACCTTTCGTTCAACAAGCACATCACAATTCGAATATTTCGCCGACCGCATTGAGAGGCCGTCAGACCGCTTCCAATGGCAGAGCAATTCCTCCACCAGCTTCTCCGCAAGGAGAATAGCGTGCAATCAGACGAGAGTCAGCAATGTCATATTTGTCTGTCGGAATTTGGCACATTGTAAGTCATCGTCCCTCGTTTTTTACCCCTCATACACATGTCCCAAGGCGCATCTCATCCCAATGGGAAGAAAGCTGACTCTACCATCGTTTAGATCCTCGGACACTGGTGTCATCGAGTGCCAAATTCGTCTCCCTTGCAACCATACACTTGGCTCTGCATGCATCGCAACATGGTTAAAATCCAACAACACTTGCCCTGTCTGCCGACATGTCTTGTTTCCGCGGCCAGCAGATGACGATGATGATGACGTTGACGATGACGACGACGAGAGCCAGATTGTACGATCGGGTAGAACTTCACCTGTCTATATTGACACGGACGATGAGGAATATGATGAACACCTGAGCACTCGGGTGGCTAGAGCTGCCCGTATCTCAGAACTTACCTTTAGCTACTCCGCCGCCCTCCACCTCAATGCATCGATCACTATATGTTCCCACGGCATTGCGGAGAAATGTGGCAGCCTTAACTCACTTCCTGGTCGCTCCGAAGCTTCTATTGCGGCAGCCTCCGTTTACATGGCCTCTCACATTGGGCTTCAACCCAAAACTCTGAGAGAGATTTCTCAGCTGGCGGACAACACTGAAGGCACTATCCAGACGGTCTATCGACGCATCTACGCCTACTTTCACACTATGCCTGAAGGAACGTGGACACAGATCTGTCGCGGTCTACCTTGGCATTCTGACGACGTAAGTAGTATTTCTGCATTAATCTTGCAATTTCCCTACCCCATTCTTGAGCCGCTAGACATTTCAGGGGGTACAAGGAGAAGTCGAACTACCCAAAAATATCCTAGCACTCAGCGCTGTGTCTAAGAGAAGAAACGCTGACTTTGAATTCATGTAGTGGCCTCCTCTTGAGCACGAATTCGTGGACGGTGAAACCGGTGAGGATGAAGAATACATGGAAGACATCTGGTCCCATTTCTCCACTGAGCTTCATCTCCAGCCCACCGTCGTCACAATAGCAAAACGAATGGCGATCAAATTGGAAGCTTGGCCTGCACTCGCATCTTACGAACCGATATCTCTCGCGGCCATATGCATCTATATCGCTTCATACATGGCCGGGTCCCCCGAATCTCACGTCGAGGTGGCCAGAGTGGCAGGAGATAGTTTGTCCTTCCTGCTATCAGCATACGAGCAGGTATACGCAGATCGCGAACAACTTCTCGACAGCACCATGACTACCGTTGATCTGCCTTGCCCTCCTAGCAACGGGAATCCTCCATTTTGATAGCACCGTTGATGGCGGAGAGTAGTCTGCCTCGGGACAGTTCCCCTCCTACAGCAGCCCTTCAGCCTCCGATCTTTACCAATCTTGCGGCAGTAATGATTGAGATTTTTTGTGCGGCATTGAATATGTTCCCGATAAATAGACTACTATTTTGTATCGCGAAAATATAATTACTGAACTTCTTGTTGAATCCTTGCAGTGTTTTCCGTACATGTGACGCAAATCATTACACAAAAGTGTGCGAGTCCCTTGGCCAGTAATGCTTACTTCACCCTCATCATATATGCATTGAAATACCAATCATTTTTCAAGAAACCTTTCGATAGAAAATTATAAATCCTACTGAGGATTCATAAACATGTCTCGAGATGTTCGATTGAGGCCCTTTCGTCTCAGCTCTCCCTGTACCATCACGATCACTCTCACCAATCTCTTTGCAGCCTTTGATCGAGCGAAACATCAAACCGAAAGATCGACAAGTCCGAGCACAAACCCGCCAGCAGCATCGAAAAAACAAGAGAAAATCCAGTGGCTCCAACTGCAGAATGGTGCGCCGACTGCTTCGACCCCGCATAACTAGCTACATCTTTACACCGCACGAATTATCCACCACTGTGCAGGAAATGCCAGTTAATACCCATACCCCGAGCTTTCAAACACACCAAAGACAGAACCCAGCTCGCGAGCGCTACGGGGACAGGAAGGGATGTGAACCATCCATGCGCCCCTCGTATGCTCGATTAAACAGCCCAACATGTCAACCCTCCAAAAGCCGACGCACCGCAACTTACCAAGAAATTTATTATATAGATCCCTCAACGCTTCCCAAACCCATACAGATCCAACAACAAGAACCGACAGCAGAGCTCAGCATGGCCACCCCGTATCCAGCTCCTGTGAGATACAGATACGAGTGCCCTTGTAGGCACTTCGTTGCTCGGCGTTATATCGTAAATGCAATGGTTGTGATAATCCGCCCCTGGCTCCGTCGATGCCGTAGCGCTATGATGCAACATGTGCCAGTCTCGTTATCGAGAGACCACAGCCAGGGAGTCTACTCGCGGTTCAAGAGGAAGTTGCCAACCAATGAGGGATGGCTGAGAAGCCACGGAGTACGGAGTGGGGGGGGGTTTAGATCAGGCTTGCGGCTCGGATGGACGGGGGGCGGTGGGGGCTATGCTACACGGACGTAAGCAATGCTATAAGGGGGGGTGTTCTGTCGCCTGCGTTACCAGAGTACCGTTCGAGAGGGCTATTTGCTGGCTTACGGGCTGCTGGGTAGGTCTCGGGTCTCTGTTGACATGTTGAGGCGAGTAGATGGAGATGGGTGGGTAGACATAGGGGGGTTGAGAGCTGGATGCATAGGAGGAGATGAGGTCACATGAGGTGGCATGTTATGAGCGAGGAGGCTCCGGAGAGTGTGTTTGTGAGGATGGAGATTCTTGTTAAGGTGTCTTATGCTTCAGAGATGCAGACATTCATTTATTTCCCTTACTCAGATAGCTTCAAACGTTTCAACGATTCTTCTGCCATAGGATCTCCCTCGTTGGCCTTCTTCTCCGCTTCCTCCTTCTCCGCTGCCTCCTTCTCCGCTGCCTCCTTCTCCGCTGCCTCCTTCTCCGCTGCCTCCTTCTCCGCTGCCTCCTTCTCCGCTGCCTTCTTCTGCTGACTCATGGCCTCACATACATCTAAAACGAAATGAGTGACTCATCGATCTTTGAGATTGGTTTGGAGGAACACACTGCAATTGAATCTATTGTTCTGCTTGCGACTGCAGATTGCTAGTGTTAGTCCTCAGACCCCACCAAAGAAGCCTGGGAGGCTCGGTGGCTTACCGGGTATTAGGATTTGAGCAATCCTGGCCTCTGGAAAACACTCAGCACGCGAATTAAGCTGGAGAGACACAAACACATACTGCATGACAGGGATACACGGATCGCGGGATCCTGGAGCGGTGCAGCCGCAATCCCACTCAGTCTCTTGGTGTAGATTCAGACACATCTTGTACTGAGAGCATGTCAATCCTAGGGCAACGAGGTGTATGTAACAGTGTACTCTACCTTGCGAGCTGGAAGGTGTGCGTGTTTGTGTGAATCGGTCTTTGCGTCCTGAATTGCTTGGTGCGTTGGAGGGCGTGAAGGTTAAGTGATAGAGGCCTATGATGTATGTGATTGTAAAATAGTGTGTGTGATCGTGTTGAAGAGACTGAGGTCCTGGGGAATGTGGCGGTTGATCTGATATACTGATGCCAGGGGTAGAGATGCTCTTTACATAGACTGCGCACTTGCTGCCTGCTCCGATGTCATGCTATTCTTCGTTTGAGATGTGAATCATCTGGTTTCCAGCGGGCGGCGACATTGTTTCAGCAGCGCCACACATTTTACGCAAAGTGCCAAACGACCGGATGATACATTCGCTCGCTTCTTGACAGCCGGCCCTGATGTTTGGGAATTGTGGGTACGACATGGCTATTGGTGTTCTTGCCACGAACGTCTCGGTTTCTTACTTGCTGAAAGGCTGCCTGGGGGGCTAGCAAGTACCAAGCACGGTTTTAACAACGGATGCAGGAACACTGATACCAACGTCATACACAACTTGGGCTGTTGAGCTTCAGAAAGGCGTCGCTGAAGGGTACGGCGCTTAAGAGCCGAGTCTTCCGGACTTCTCCCTGTATCAGAATTCGCGCGCTTTCAGTTTCAGTTGAGGAGAGATGTCAAAGCGACGTCCCGAGAGAATCAACAATATGCTCAGCCTCAGTCTTGGCTTTGCGTTTCAGTCTTTAGGGTCGGGCGAAGATGGTCATACTGAGACCAAGTTTTGGAGTTCGCGCGCATCCAGGCAGGTGGTCAAGGGCAGGGAGTCAGGTCATTCAGTTGGTCGAACCCTTTGCTGCATGGGAGTTGCTACATGGGATCCTTCAAACGTTGTTACCCAAACTTGTGCGATACCTGAATCATCAGGACCACTCATGCAAGTGGTTGAGGTAGGGCAAGCCAGATTTTCTTGGTTGCGGGAGTCCACAAGTGACGCCTCTCATACTCTCACTGAAACCATATCTGGAGCCTGTAGACCACGGAAACAGGGTGTCAAGGGCTGAGCAGCCAGGACAAGGAGTCATCTGAGAGTCTGTCTCGCATCTGTTCCATGCATCGACATCCGTATTGATGCCAAACTCACCGTAAATGGGGAGAAAAAGGTGGGAGAAGAGACGGCAAAGGTATGAAACGCCAGGATGCCGCCCCCTCAGCTCCTCGACTTGATATGGTCGGTTAATGCGGAAGCCAAGAGAAAGCTGACTAAGCGGCGGGGATCTTCGGAAGTCCACGTCGAATGTCTTTTCCTCCCTTCACCCGAAGAGGCAAGATCAACAACATTACGGTAAACCATTCCTTGACCAGCATGTACCTCCTCGTCCAAAGATGGCAGCAGACGTTCATGCGGGGACCCCATCTCCGGCATCACGGCAATCTCGAGTCTAGACCTCCCTAAATGACCCCACGTACCCTAACCATGGGCCCCTCATCTTCATCCAACCACAGATACATCTTCTACCCTTCCGACCATCCTTTCAAACTTCCCTTGTTTCCCTGGCAGCATTAAGCAAGAAGCCGCCCAGCTCAACGTTACAGTATGGACATTTCAAACAAAGGCGAAGACCAGGCCGCCATGGCCAACAGGAAGTACATTCATTGGCAGGACGAGGGCGTTGAGAAGATTCCCCCGAACGAAGCAGAGGATATCCAAGCAGTGGCGGACCAGATCAATGCCATGCAGAAGGCACAATACAATAGCCATCGCCATTGTTACACAGGCGAGTGAGGTCCACTGTTACCAACGGGCTTTGCTGACAGGGCGTGCAGGAACACATGCTAGGACCCAAGGCATCGTCAAAGGCATGCTCATCGTCAAAGATGACCTGCCAAAGCATCTGAAGCAAAGCATGTTTGAGCATGGAGGGCAACATGCAGTAGTATGCCGCTACAGTAGCGAGCCCGGAGACCCAGGTTTGGATGTACGCCCGCGCCCCTACCTCTTCTCAAGGACACGTGCTAAAACATGCTAGGATCGCATCCCCCAACCCCGCGGCTTCGCCATGAAAGTTTTTAATGTTCCTGGCGAGAAGTTCGATCCTACAAAGACCGCCCAAGACATCGAGTTCAACTCCACTCCCGCCCTCGACCTCGCAGATGCCAAGACCACCAGAGAGATCATAGATCTGCGCATCAAATACGGCGGCGACAAGCCTGAGTTATATAAGAAGCTGGAAGCACGCCCAGACACCGATCTACAAAAGTTCCGCGACTCCGTGCGCAACACACACTTGGAGTCCACGCGCCAATACTCGCAGACTGCGTACCGCTTCGGTGACTATGTGGCGAAGTACTGCCTGGTCCCTTCCAGCGAGACGCAAAAGAAGCTGTACGAAGAAACGGTCAAGCCCGATGAACACGAGCCAGACATTCTCAGCCAGTGGCTCCAGAACTTCCACGAAGCGCATGACGCCGAATACCTGCTACAGTTCCAGCTGTGCGAGAACCTCGAAGACCAGCCTGTCGAATATGCAGGTAAGGTGTGGGACCCGGAGAAATACCCTTGGCAGACGGTGGCTACACTAGTGATACCAAAGCAGGACTCATTCAACTACGAGTTGAAGTCTTTCTGGGAGGATCACATGAGGATTGATCCTTGGCTAGGGTTGAAGAGTCTGCAACCATTGGGATCGCCGAATAGGCTAAGGCGTGTTGGTGCGTTAGATCTAGACTTTTCAAAGTGATCTGAATGCTAACAGAATGGTGCAGTCTACCCTGCGAGTAGCAAGCTGCGGCGAATGATGAATGGTAAGAAGGAAGTTCATGTCCACGAAATGGACCAGATTCCGTAGGCCCGCATCCGATCACATCCTCTTGATTTAGCTGACTTGTTTACAGTGGCCCTTCGCCTGCTGTGGGCGGCAACTTCTTGAAGGTCAATTAAGCAGGATATTGCCTGACCCGGTTAGGCCTTGGTGGTATGATGTTTCCATTCATTCATTCACTCAGCTTCTTGATATTCCTCGTGTATTTGAGCTTGCTTTTGTTTTAGTATGACCTTGTGGGCTAAAATTTTACACAGCTTCCCAGAACGTACCATTTAGGTGCACGATCCGGATCGCCCCGGGGAGGGGTGCATACTAGCCCATGAGGCGATACACTGCATTGCGGATATTGCACCCGTTTTTCCAAAGTAATTTCATTGATCATTGATCGAGCAAGCATTGTCTACAGTGGTCGCTTCATCGTCTCCCGTCTTATACATGCTATCGCTTACAGTCACACAGAAGGGTCCTCCAGTCCTTTATCCCGTCCCATTTCCTTTGCTCCGTCCTAGTCCCAAGTCATGAAGGTATCCGGTCAGAGATTCTCACCCTGCCTAATGACAGCATTTATGTCCAGCCAATCCTCCAGATTCTGCTCCAGTCCCTCTTTTGCTCCATCCTCAAACGCAACCCATGACAGGATCCTTCTGACAATCCATTCGTCAATCCAACTGACGAGGCGAGACTGGGCGTCGCGGCGACCTTGGTTGCGGGCTATATATTGGCGGCGGCAAAGTGATCTCAAGCGTCTCGTTGATGCCACCCACAGGCTCTGAACTGAGCGCCGCTGCATCCCCTAGCGCTCCCAGGGCGAGAGCCTCGACGTCAATCCCAATCGCGTCCTCTGCTCCAGCCTCTGAATGCGCTTAGTCAAGATGTCCTTCCAACAGCAATGTGCCGGCGCGCGAGACTTACCAGCAGCACCCGCGTTAGCACCGGCTGATCTCATTCTCTGAAAAAGCTGACAGACACTTCTGATGAGAAAGGTCAATCCGAGGGCCATGAGGACGCGTGTTGTGCTGACGACATAGATGTTGTTGTCCCAGTTGTCCTGCTGGGGAGCGTTGACTGTGTTCATTGCTGCTGCTAGTTATGAGGGGAGATATAGGGTAAGGCTGCGTTTGGAGGAGTGGGTTGGGATTGAAGGAAGAAAAACGGGGGGGACGTCGAGATGGACATATAATGGGCGGAGCCTGAGCAGAGGGAAATAGGTGGGGGGTTTAAATGACATAGTAGAGTCGCAGACCTACATCAAATGCAGGCGTAGAGTGAGGATCGTGAGGTAGTGAGGCCAAAACGGCTGATGCATTCATTGATCATTGATGGATCCCAAGCCGTTTGGACGCGTATATCGCATAACAGTATTGAGACTAACGATAAAATACACAGTTGGCACCGCCAAGAAAAGGCTTTGGCCGTTGCTGGGCATCGGCCAAAGTACACTTAGACCGTAGCCGTTATATTTCCCTCTACGTAAGGTAGAAGACCTGGAGTCTAAGTATAAGAAAACGCTAAAAAACAAGGCGCGAGTGGGTGGGAAAAGACCAAAAACCTCTTCTTGCGACGAGAGGAACAAGAATGAAGAGCAAGAAAGGGGGGGACACCGCCTATTCAAGGCTCTTCCAACATGGCAATCTCGGCTATCCTGCCATAAGTGTGTGCTGTGCCTCTCCCTCACTAGCCCCCAGTCAAGCTGTGGCGAGATGACGAATGGAAACCCGTCTTGAATAAACCTTCGTTAGGCACGTCTCGACACCATCCGACTGGCTGACAAGTGATTGTGTGCGTCAGCAATCAGGGTCAATCCACCACACCGCCGATGGCTGTACTGCTGTGTTTCGCCCCTCGTCGTCTGCCAGCTCATGATCACTCAGGCGTACTCAGCTTGACACGCTTTTGCTCCTCGAAAGAAAAAAGCGCAGGACTCTCGTGCATTAGCGCCCGCGACCTCTTCCACTCATCGACGTTCGCTTCAAAGTGGCGTCCGCGGCCCTCCTTCCTCCTTCCCATCCCCGCCCCTCATTATCTACCCTGGGATTTGTGGCTTGAAAACTTCAGCGTGCACGTTTTGTTCACCGGTTGGTACAAGGGAGGCAGAGACAGAGACAAGAAAAGCCTCTGGGCGGCTTGTGTACCGCCTGTCTGGTCTGCAGGACCTTGGAGGTCTTGGGACCCATCTTCCGGTTCTTATCGCCACAAAAGAAAGCATTCTGCTCACATGGATGGACCGCATGTACCGAGATCGGGGGAGAGAAATTGCACCCGGAGCCTTAAGGCTGCGGCGAGGACAAGATTAGTGGCAGCATTTTTCGCGAGAGCGTTGAGCTATGAGATCCTCTATTCCCCGATCTAAAGAAAGAGCCCGCTAAGATTGTGTGATAGATTTCCCTCCTGTCGATACATTATATCTCTGAGCGACGCTTTTCCATGCACTTTTCCTTCTTATTATAGTATCTTACCTGAATCCTAACTTAGCATCCTCCTTCTCTGACCTTTATTTGTACCTCTCTTCGCTTTCACAATAATTTTCCTTATGACTTCAACCATAGCCTCGCTGCCAAGTCCATGCTATTTCACTCGAGAAGCCATCAAATACGTCCTAAAATCCAGACTACTCATCAGGTAGGCCGGGCGACCCTGGTCGGCGAACGTCAGGCCTGTATATAGGCTGCGGTAGGTGGACCTCGACTACCTCGTCGACGCTAGTCATGGCTTCTAGACTAGACTCGGCTAGGTCTTGAGAGAAGAGACCTTCGAGGTTGAGCTCGAGGCCCACGGTCCCTTCCTCTGCTTCGATCACTGGGTTTGGTCAGCAATTGGTTATTCCTCATAACGAAAACACGACGAATGAAGACACACTCCTTTCTAGAACGTCTAGACTGCCAATGAATGTCCCAAGTCTCTGGTAGAGCTTGTAGGAGCTTTTGATCAGGTATGCCAGTCCAAACACAACAAGAATTCGTGTCGTGGTGAGGACATAGAGATTGTTCTCCCAATGAAAGTGTTGAGAAGTCATTATCAGAAAGCTTTTCAGAATGTCAGAGGATCAGACTGAGTCGCATTTGAAAGTGCAGAGGAAGAGAATGGGGGATACTGAGATCAACGATCAACCACTCGTTCAGCGCGCCGAGTATCGCTAGAAAGTGCTCACACGCTAAAACCAACCAGCATCACTTCAAAAGTCTGCAAGGACCCACCCTCCTTTGCATCGTGGGGCCAGCTTCTGCGGACGGTTAGCGTCTCTGCCTAGTCCTCCTCATTAGCAGAGACCGACGGAAACAGAGCGGCGAGGAACGCAAAAGTCATCAAGACTGGAGCAGCGACAGGAACATACTGCTCCCATTAAACTATCGTGCAACTGTAGCCCGACATTGAAAAAAAGTGATAGGCCGATGCGACCTGCGGGAAGCCTAAAACAAGCTGGTCGCGGCTGTGCATGACAAGCACCTGTCAGTCCCTATGCAGCCCGCCATCTCCGTTCAGCCTAGCTTCCTTTCCTCACCAGCGATTCGCTCATTCTTCCAATCTTTGAGCGTGTACATCCACGAGTGACACGCACCATCGCATCTGATTTAGCGGTGTATACGCATGGCTTCTCTGCGTGGATTGCAGCAGCGGCGATCTGCGAAAGACTAAGAAACAACAGTTACGGGCTCTGGTTGCCGGGGGCCTTACTCCGCAGTATGGAGGTTGCAAAGTCACGTGATGTGGAAGTATCAGGGTTCACATTTGATGCGATCTCCTCATTTATTAGACCCTCGAGATACTTGATCGATGCACTCTCACGTTCAGCCCCGCAATGAAGTTCTGTTTCTGGACATTGTCAGGGGGAGACCCTCCTGGAACCCCTTTCCTTGTAAAGTGCTCTTCTTTCGAACATTTCTCCAAGGAGAAGAGACATGGATCCTTAGCGTCAATATCCTCGAGATCGTAGGATTCACATTTCCACACTACTTCATGCTTTTGAGTATCTCAACTCTTGGGCAGTGAGAAAGTAACCCTTTCAACAAGGACAATAGAACAATCATCTTTACCCCGGGATGGTAATTTCTCCTTACTCAAACCCACCTTCCCACGCTGCCTCTTCTTCAAACGTGCCCATTGTAGAGACAGCCAAACAAAAATCCCTTGGATCCTTGGACAAGCTTGTGATGGTAAAAATGCGCAAGACAAGATGAGAAATCGGAGCGAAGGAGAAAAAAACCCCCCCATTCGGAACCAATCAGATCTACAGCATTTCCAGCAACACCCTCAGCGCCCCGGCATCGAAAGTCGTCGACTTTCAAACAATGACCCCGCCCCAGCGTCCCACGCACCACGGTCCTGTCCCGAGCCTATACATGCGGATCGTATGGGCAGAAGAACGCGATTCCCAAAGATGGGTGAATCGAGCAAATATCACCGTAGGCTGATTGTCCAAGAGAATCGACAAGACCCGGCACGAACCGAGCCTCGGAGAGTGCAAGCGCTAGAAAGAAGAGGGCCGCGGGGACACGCATCAGGCAGGGAGGGGCGAACGAAGGGGGTGCATTTGGTGGCTTGGGAGGGATTGCCAGTCTGGGCCAGTCTGGGGTTCGAGGCGCTGGAACGGAGATCGAGAGGGAGAAGAGGTGGGGTGAGAGGACGGTGGAGGAGAAGGGGAAGGGGAAGGGGGAATGGGGCATCGGCGGGTGATGTGGCGGAGACATCTGTTAATCAGGGGGGAAAATGGGTCGAGGCTGAGGATGCGGGTCTAGAAGACGACGACGGCGACGACGTTGCGGGCGCTAGGGGCAGTGGGACCATCGGCGAAGAGGACGATAGCGCTTTCGGGACCTGGAGGGCGAATGCAAAAAGAAAGAGGGCAAGAAGCCGAAGAAAGAGAGAACGCCGCGAGCAATTCCCAGAGCCGACACCTCGACTCGCAGGATCCGTGTACGGGCACGTTGGAACGGGGAGATGGCCTCGAAGTGGCCAAAAGGGGCCGGAAAAATCGGCGGGTCTACGGGCAACGGTCGAGCGTGGGGCGGACAAAGTGTGCGGATCCCGCGGGGCTAAAGGCAAGGGGGGTCTCCGTCTTCGCAATTGGAAGTGTCGAGCAAGGGAGCATGATCATGTGCGAGGAAGGATTGCGCCAACCGCCAAAGGACGCATCTCTAGAGGGTTCATGCGGCGACCGGACATTATACATGGAGCCGGGTGATGGGGTGACTTTAGGTCGGCAAGCGGCGTGGAAGAACGCAATCGACACAACGATCCGCACGGTCGGCGCGCGTTAATGGTGCTGGGATCTTTACAGCTCGGGACTGTTCAAAATCCTCGCGATGCGGCAGATTAAGGGGTTCAAGGTTGGTGGAGGTGGCGATGCGGTCTTCCGGGGTATTTCGCGGATCATTCGTTCCTGCTTCCTAATGCGCATCTCCATTGGAATGAGATATTGGGGAGAATGGTGGTACATGTGACGAGGGATGTTGTGGCAGGCGAGGAGATTATAGCAAAGTATCTTAATGATGTCGAGGCGTGCTTGGACCGTGAAGCGTGGAGTCAGAAGTCTGAAAATGGGTGAACATAACGGCGTTCAGTATTGCGAGCGAGAGAAGAAGGGTCGATGCAGCTCGCCCCGTGGAGAAGTTTCAGAATATGCAAGAGCAGGTGGAGGCGATGGAGAATGCATTATGAAAAATGAATAATCCAGATACCGCGGTGGTCTCAGGTGGTATCCAGCATAGAGGAGAAAGATTGGATCAGAAGCGGCTAAATATGTTCGATGTTGTGCGGGGGCCGGCGGGTTTGCTTGAAGAGCAAGGGCTGCTGAGTAGTGAACTTGTTCGGAAGTCTGTTACCCCAGTCTTCTTTCGGAAACCTTCACTTCAATCTGATAGAGCTGACGGCGATACACGCAGTTACCGGGAAATCGCAACGCTAGCTGCTGAGACTGGAAATCTTGGGGAAGCACGTGAATGGATTGAGTCAGCTGCTCCGTTGGCGTTGATATGTGGACAGATGGATTATGAGATATTTCCAATTAGCGAACAGGAGTTCCAGTGGTACACGAACTGTGAGTGGCCGAGAAACTTGTGCGGCAGGAAGCGGAAGACGCCAAGATGTGTGGGCGTATGGAAAAGAAAGGGGTTCTTCCCCAAACTCACTCGTGAGTACCCTTCGTCCCACCACGGAAGAGGAGCTGGCCAAGAAGAAGGAGAAGAGGCTTGCCAAAGAGAAGGAAGAGAGACTCGCCAATGACACGGAAGGGCAAGAGATGGCGCAAGATGATGGCCGGCAAAGTGGACCTTGGGCATTTGTTGGTAAGAGTGAATCTTGGGCATTCGCTGGCATTTCCATGCAATCTCAGAGCGGAGGGTGGACTCACGTACCCCAAGCCGTAAGCTGCTGGTATGGTAAAAGTGGCTATCGTAGCTCAGGACTAGTCTCGACACTCGATAATCACCCGGTCCGTCTGCACACTCAACGCTCGTGGCCTTTTCCTCCTCATTATGTCAATAACATTGATTGACGAGCGCAATCGGAGAGGAGGACAACGTGGGCTTGTAGCCAGGTATTTCGAGATGGCATATTCACCAACGTGGCTTCTCGTGGGTAGTGCAAGACCTTTCAAAGCTCCCCGTCAATATACACCGAAATAGAGGCCGGAGCTTTCTCCACTATCCCAAGAACGCCGCGCCACTTCACCTGCCTCTGCAGAACACATGATGTTGGAGCCCCAAGATATTGCCTTTGTACTGAATATTTATTTCTTCCACGAATCATTCCTGACAGTCTGTCGCCCGGTCATGTGCAGCGCACGGAGAGTAGTGGCCTATCTGTGGGCGGCACTCCCATCCCTTCCGGGATTTCCCCTTCTGAAGTAGGAGAATGATTCAGTATGGATTGTTGAACAGGCCAAGATCTGGTCGCAGATGTGCAAGGTGTAGTTCCTTCCGCTCCTTTGTTTGTCCACTGTCAGGATGATTACTCTCTCGTAGCGGTTTTCCAGGTGGAGATTCTAGGTAATGGCGTCCAATCTTTCATACCCGTCGACGCACTCTGGGCTATGGACTTGGCAGCGTCCATGTCATCATCACTCCACGCTATGAAGCTCATAAGGGACAAAGAGAATTCCAAATCATTGACTATTATAATCAATCATAATAATAACATTGATAATACGAAGAGAAGATATTGGAGAAGAGACCGAGTAATAATAGACCTCAAGGCTGAGACCATACTAGTCTCAAAGAGGGAACGCCCAACATCACCGACCGAAGCTTGCCTTATCTTTGTCCGCTCCTTATCAGTTGGCTGCGCCGCGTCTTCCCTGTTTCCTTTTTCCTTTTCCTTATTTTCTATTTACCCCCTGCCACCCTTCACCTTGTATGGCCATCTTCTCAATCCTTTAGGCTTCACGCTTCCTTCATATCTCATCTCACAGTAATTCCAGCTGGAATACTCCAACACAAGTCTGACACGAGACGGACATCTCGCCCTTCGACCCGGCACAGATGCGGTACCGTATGAGATCCAGCAAAGCTAGAGGCTAAACTTTCCCCAGATCTCCCTATCAGCCTTTCTTCATCTTCCCACTGTATCTTACTTTATATACTTTCGACTATGCCCGGTCTCCCCCGCAGAAATCTAGACCAATCCATTTCGTCATGAGAAGCGAGACATGCATGCGGCGTTTAACGCTTATCATCTCACGCTGATTGGACGCCCCCCCCCCAACCCGCTGAGACCGTTCTCGCCGTTGATCCCAGGCCACACACTCATGTTACTGCGTAATATATAACCATGATATAAACCCTGATAAGACACCAAGATCCTATTGGCCCATTTAATCACTTGCACAAGACCAATTACCCCGAACAATGACACCAAGAGGAATACGATAAATGATTCATCCCGTATCATTATTGACCCGTCGAGAATGCCATAGCATGATATCGGTCCTTTGTCATTGAGCCATGTGGTCATGTATTTCCCCGGGATTGATCCTCCTCCCTTCCTACCATTGATTTTGATGCCGGCCATGGGACTGCGCTAAAAGGCTGCTTATCTGTAAGGTACAGTCAAAGGTGTGATGCATGCCTTGAGCCCACCTTATCAAGCTCTCCCCCCCACCGGCCCCAAATCTGCATGATGCATCTCCGTGAAGCTCTATCCAGCTAAGCTAATCTAGACCAAAGCTCGTACCACCGAAGTGCAGCCTCACGCCAGCTGCTTAGTCTATTTACCTACATGACTGACATTACTTTTCGCGTCGAGATCCGCGGTGACATGGAGCTCAGATCAATATATAGATCTGCTCCCCCCGGTCTCGGAGTCTTCCTTCTCTCATCTCTCCATTCCACCTTTGCTTCACCCATTATTGGCCTTCCTGGCCAAGGATTCCTCGCCTTCTCCCATTCTCACCGCCCACCGCCAAGATGACGTCCACCTCCGCCTCGGTAGTAGCTGGGGCAGCCATCAAAACCGCTCAGGCAACTGCCGCAATCGCGAGCGCATCATCCTCGAGCAATCCAGTAGCACCACCATGGCTGGATCCAGGTCACAATGCTTGGCAAATCACCGCGGGCACTTTGGTCGCGCTTCAATCAATTCCCGGTCTCGTCGTCCTCTACGCGGGATGGGTCAAGCACAAATGGTCCATTAACTCCGCCTTTATGGCTTTCTACGCCTTCGCCGCCGTTCTCATTTGCTGGGTCATTTGGGGGTATCAGATGTCTTTTGGCACTCAAATGTTACCACTGGTTGGTTATCCAGCAATATCGGTGGACCTGGGCTTCGAACTCGAGGATTCCAATCTGCCCACGGCCGATCTGACCCAGCAATTCCCCCAAGCGTCCATGGTGTACTTCCAATTTGTCTTCGCGGCCATTACACTCGTGCTGATTGCGGGATCATATCTTTGCCGGATGAATTTCGTGGCATGGATGATCTTCGTCCCGCTGTGGCTGACATTCTCCTACACTATCGGCGCTTTCAGCATTTGGGGCGGAGGATTCCTCTTCAAATACGGCGTTATCGACTACTCCGGTGGATATGTCATCCACTTATCATCCGGAACGGCTGGCTTTGTAGGAGCCTGGTGGATAGGACCTCGTTTAGCTTCGGACCGTGTGGACGCCAAGCCCAGCAACGTCACACTCATGTTGGTCGGAGCAGGTATTCTATGGACGGGATGGAACGGCTTCAACGGAGGAGATCCGTATGCCGCCAGCCCCGACGCTGGTGTTGCCGTGCTCAATACCAACATCTGTACCGCGATGAGCCTTCTGACTTGGGTTATTATGGATATCATTTTCTTCAAGAAGCCGTCCGTAATAGGCGCTGTGCAAGGCATGATTACAGGCTTGGTCGCCATCACTCCTGCAGCTGGTGTGGTCGCTGGATGGGGTGCTATACTTCTTGGCCTGGGCTCAGGAACCGTTCCCTGGATTTCCATGAACATTCTCGGCAGAACGAAGATCATGCGCAAAGTCGATGATACCCTAGAGGTCTTCCACACGCATTTCGTAGGCGCCATTGTCGGCGGCGTCGGCACCGGTAAGTCAATCTCCGGCATCCCTCACCACTCCTCGTACTGACCCTCATCGTCCAGGACTCTGGGCAACCAAGAAAGGCTGCGCCGCCTTCGGACTCACGAACCCCGGCGGGGCCGTCGCCGGCAACGGCCGCCAAATCGGCCTGCAAATCGTCGGCGCCCTCTTCATCATCGGCTGGAACATCGTCTGGACCTCGCTCATCATGTGCTTCATCAAATACGTCTGCCGCGTCCCCCTCCGCATGACGGACGAGATGTGCGAAATCGGCGACTACGCCATCCACGGCGAGGAACCCTACACCTTTGAATACTACAACCGGAACTACCGGCGGCTCGCCGGCTTCGAGCACCAGGGGCCCACGGACGCGGAGAAGGCGATCCGGGAGGTGCGGAAGAGTCACGACATCGAGCGGCAGCACGATTTCGGCATGGGCAATGGTGCGGGGGACGGCGTCGTCATCAAGGGGACGGATCCGGATGCCTCGAGGAACAGTACGAGCGAGGAGATTACGCCGACGAAGGAGAGCAAGCAGGAGTGAGGCGGGGAGAATGTGTGTGTGTTGCGGGTGCGAAGTGTGATTTAGGTAGCTTGGGTTGGCGAGCCGATCCGATCTTGGGGAATCCGGTCGCTAAAGCTGTTTGCATAGAGTGCTGTGATATCCCGTGGGTTGTATGTTTACCGACTCATGGGTCGAGTGATGGTTCGTGTACAATGTCAAGATTTATTACCGTCACGTTTTCGGCCCGCCGTCCATTCCCGAATCCAGGACCAATTTCTCAGCCTATCCCATTCGCCATGGCGCTTTCATTGATCCACGACATATCCGGTGTATGCGAACCTAATCCTCTTCTTGCGGGACAAATATTCATATTCCAAGAGGTATCGACATCTGAAGACCGTTTGATCCCTCTCATCCATCTGCCTTATTTAAATCCCATCGTCGACCTTATTTCTGTTCATCTCATACCCAATCAACACCCTCCACAGTTCAGTCCAGAGCAAACCAAAGCAAACCAGACCAGACCAAACCAGACCAAACCGGACCGGACCAAACCAGACCAGACCAGACCAGACCAGACCAGACCAGACCAGACCAGACCAGACCAGACCAAACCAAACCAAACCAAACCAAACCAAACCAAATCAGACCAGACCAACCCAACCCAATCCAATCCAATCCAAACCAAACCACACCAAACCAAACCAAACCCCCCTCCCCTCCCCTCCCCTCCCCTCCCCAACCCCCATCTACGCCTTCCCCGTACTCCCCAACATATCCATACACTCCTCAATCGCCTCCTGCATAACCCTCGTCCCCCTCTCCATCGTCTCACTGACCCCCAACCCCCCCTCCCGCTGCACCTCCAAATAGCGCCGATTCAACACGCCATTGATATTCACCTTCGTGATCCCCGCCTCGACGCACTCCCTGTAGATCCCGCCATCGAACCCGTCCGTACCATGCAGCACCAACCTGACCTCCCCCCCCACCGCCTCCCTCACCGCCCGCAAGCGTTCATACTCGAGCCGGATCCCCCTACGGCCGTAACTCCCATGCACGTTCCCAAACGCCGGCGCGAGCCAATCGATACCCGTGTCGACGAACCGCCTCGCCTCGGCCGCACTCGTCATGACGGCCTCCAGATCGACCGTGTCCGCCACCCCGTCCTCGCCGCCCATGATGCGGCCCGGTTCGGCCTCGCACGCGATGCCCCTGGCGTGGCAGTACCGCACCAGCTCCGCCGTCCGGGCCAGGTTCTCCGCTTTGTCGTAGTGGCTCATGTCGAGCATGATGGAGTCGTAGCAGGCGGTGTCGGCGGCGGCGTGGACGGCGGCGGGGGACTGCGCGTGGTCCAGGTGCAGGGTGATGGGGACCGGGGCGGCGCGGGCGGCGGCGGCGGCGGCTTGGGCGAGGAGGGCGCCCGAGTAGGTTTGCGCCCAGGGGAAGAGGAGGAGCATGGCCGGGGAGCGTTTGGCGGTGGCGGCGCGGACGGTGGCGAGGATGCCTTCGAGGTTGTACTGGGGGGGTTTGGTTGGTCAGTTGTTCGCTGAGGGAGGGTGTTGGAGGCTCCGTGGGGTGATGGGGATGAGCAATGGCTGCAGAGGGCTGGGTTGGAGGTGGTATGTAGGTATGGAAGGAAGGCTCATGGGCAGGAATGCGAAGGAGATACAAACTCACGACGCAGACGCCAGCGATGCCGTATTTGCCCTCGGCGGCCTTTCGCAGCATGACATTGGCTTTGTTGTGGGACAGGTCGAGTTTGGGCTTCTCGGCTTCTGGTTCTGCCATTGCGGAGTCCGGAGTCGGAGATGCTGATACTGCGTGAAGGGATGGCAATGCTGGTATCAGTGATTTGGCGAGGCTTCAATCAGATCAATGTCGACATGTACTATGTAGCGAGTTCTTGATTACGGAAGAGTGTGTCGCTGTACGCATCTTGTTTGTTGCGGAGATAATGACGATGGCTTGGCATTCCATTTGCCGAAGTGGTGCCGAGATTTTCTGATCGGCGGCCTCAGCACCTCCCGTTTACCCTTTCTCTGCCGGCCTTACTTTCGAAAATCGAGATACAACTCGCAATGGATCAGGCTGTCTCATTCGACAATGGAGCCATCACACTCGAGCATCTCAAGGATTGTGACCTAAAACATCTACCTTTCGAGACCCCAGCGGAAATAGAGCGGTACTGGACCCTTGCTGCGGAATGCATCAAGTCGGACTTCGTTATTGAGGGCGGAACACCTCGTGTGGATATTGACATGGAAGATAATCCGACCTGCAAACTCCCAGCGGAGATTATCCAGATGGAACAGGCAAGTTGCGCGGGAGACGTCGCAGCCGCTGAAGATGTCTACCACGAATGGCTTGCCAAGCCACAGGACAGCGAACGAGCTCACATCAACCATTTCGCAAGCTCCTTTGCGATTGCCATGGCACACGGCCATGTATCCATTGCTTCATACCTCTTAAGAGTCGGAGTACCCATGAATTACCGGCACTTCGAACTAGCGATAGAACACAAGTCTTATGCATTCCTACAACTGTACTTAGACTACGGCTATAACATCAACGAATCACCCGACTGGGCCACTCCACCGCCGCTCTTGTAAGTAGTCAATTGTCTGCCAAAGCTTATTTGTACTAAGTCTCTCTCAGCCAAGCCTTCCAAGATGATGCACTTACGCGATGGCTACTTGACCATGACGCAGATCCAAATGCCCAATGTGTCTTGGATCTGACTCCACTTTCCATAGCGATGTGTTACGCACCATTCCCAACCATCGAAATGCTCTTCCGTTACGGCGGATCTATCGAGCATGGGCAGCTTCTACATCATGCCGTGCGGCGGGTTCTTGCCGATCGCGTCAAGGTAGTCAATTATATCCTCGATATGGGTCCCCCAATCAACGATATCATGTACCAAAACCAGCCGTATAATTACAGCCTACAAGAAGATTTCGGTATTGGGACTGCATTACACGGAGCCGCTGAGCACGGCTACTTGGACGTAGTCGAGCTGTTGTTAGCCAGAGGCGCAGACCCCTTGGCTAAAGATGCAAAAGGAAAACTCCCGATTGAAAGGGCTCGGCGCGAAGGTCGGAAAGAGATTGTAAATTTTCTCCTTCCTCTCTCTTCTTAGTTGTTGTTTGCCTCTCTGGGTTCCGGACAAGCGGTGCACCGCTAGGTCTTGGAATACTTGCGCGGATCGGCCTTTTTACTGTAAGTCCCAGGTGGAGCAGGCTTCAATTACACATTCTATCTACGATCATTCCCCACACTCGGTCCTCGACAGCATCGTCGTGCGCACCCACCGTTACAGCGGCAGTGCACCATCTCGGCTGGCAAAGCGGCGCAGGTACGGCGTAAAAACGTCAAGCTGTCGAGCTACTATAAGATCCTCCGCCGAGAGCTTGCGGCGAAAGGGCGGATTTCTCCAACGCAGACTGATAACGTCAAGGGAACCGCAACATCATTCCTCAAGAAGTCGAATACGTCAGTCACACGTTTCCTGGCCCTCCACAATTGCCCAAGAGGCTCATGAGATACAATCAGAGCTTGGTCTGAGTTTTACGAATCGCCCATCCCAGTACACTATTGCGAAGTATCCGTCATCATTACCGTGGCTGTGTCATGTGGCTGGGTATCCTGGAATTTGATAAAGATGGTCCGTACCTGTTCACTGCCTACCATGAGTATCTGGTGCTGCGGCAGAATTGTAGGAGCATCGCCTCCGTCGCTCTCAAAGAGCGTGCCAGAGCAGAACTGAGAGTGCTGACAAACAAATGCCTACATTGAACCTCGTACGTATTGGCAGACTAAAGCGTATATTCGATAGGGTACCACGTGCAAATGCCTTCGTATCGGACTCGACTAGAACATAGAATTCATGTCAAAGACATCGGTAAGGAGTTTCTCATGTATTATGAGCGTCAACCTCCATATCCATAGCACTGAGGATCCAGCTGAACACACAGAGGGAGCCTTGGACCGTTTATAGCGCAGTACGGAACCGCAATCATATGACCAGTCCCTCCACATGATACCGTAACCACGAATGGTTGTGTCATTTTCACATAGCTTAGTTTACAACGCGCCTTGTTTTCAAAGACTCTTACCTCTCTCTCTCTCTCTTCCTTTTTTCAAAGTTTCAAAAACGAAAACAAAACAGAAGATCAGATCCAACTAGCAGTATACTGGGTTACTTCAATATTTCCTCGGAGTAGGAGGACTACCGCCCACACCGGCAACCTTGTTCGGGAAGAACCCAATTCTCAGGCAAAGAGTATCTGAGTAGCCTCCGATGCCATGATTACCAGTACCTAAATAGACATCAGCCAACGATACCTAGACATCGGTTCAAGCGACAATAAACGACTCACAGTCGTTATAGGTCTGCCATAGGATATCCCTTGTTGCAATGGACTGATCGCTCGCGATAGGATTAGCGGGGTCTTGTGAGTTTACCGCAACACATCCGGGAATCCAGCCAATATTCATAAAGTAATTCAACCCCTTCACCGTCACGACCTCAGTGCTATTCGGAGTCAGCGGCGTCATTGGCCCATTCGGAAGTTGGGTTCCAATCATCGCATCGGCGGTCGAATTGACTGTATTGGGGTCGATGGCGGTCCAGCAGTGGCTATAGCTGGTCTGGTATGTGTTGCAGATCATCGGTCCAACGGTAGCCGACGCGGCTGCTGTAGTGCTAGTTGTGAAAGTCGGACTTGCCTGTCCTAGGCTGTATTCCGCCATCGAGCTTCACTGTCCATAACATCTATGCTGGGGGCTGAGCTCCAGTACTAGCATCATCATTGTAAACCAAATTGTCTTTTCATCTATTCAAGAGTTTCGAGTTTTCTCTAGTCTTGTTTTCAATTATTGCGAGAAAAGAGGGAGGCTCGGAAAAGGCAGCAAGCATGCATAGATCGTCACCAAGACAAAATATTATACCAAGTATTTAGAAATGATATTTTCTCCATCGCTATTAGCAAAAGCACCCGGCGTGCAAGAACTTCGCATCCATATTACCTTCCCACTCCAGTACGATCGTTTTCTCCCTAAACTTATCGACGCCTGTCTAGCTGTTCTCTTCTCCGAGTGTAGCAATCAAAATGCTAAACAGCTTCTCCAGCAATCCTGCTTCTTCTCTCTTCCTTTTGTCCCTCTGCATCTTCCAATGCAACACTTTTCTAATCCACACGCTATCTGCCCAGTGTAAGCCCTCTAGACTCGTCCACGAGTGCTGAGTATCGAGGCTGACCTTCTGCTAGCATATATGACCCGCCTGCAAGATGCGTTGACTGCAACCAAAGACATGGCCGAGATAGGCGCCACCGGATCCTCCTCAGTCGATGGCCCAAGCCCGATCGTCTTGCCCTCCCAGTACCTCACAAATGTGCAGGACTGGATGTTTGGCGTCTCCGATACCACCAACAATGTCAAACGTGTGTCCCTGCCTTGGCTTTTCCTTCCACGTCGGTTCCTCATTCCTTTTTCCAAATTGCGAATGCGACGCACCTCTGTTGTGTCATACATGAGCCGGAGTCTCCTCAAGAATGCTGATCCCTAGATTCTGATTATAGAGGGACTGCATGGCTTAGTAGACAATGTAAACTGAGCGATGGATACCGACCCTGAGAGTCAAGACCTTATCATGATTACCATCGGAGCGGACTACTTGCAGCAAAAAGTGGGTCACGATGGCGTACTGCGCTGGTACGATCCTTGGTACGACATATACGAAAGCGCGGCCGACGACACCGAACATCCACTCTTCAAAAGCGTCTCAAAGTGGATCGTCGCTGTCAATAGATGAGCCGCCAGCCTCGCCACCAGCCTGACGGGAAAGCCCGTCTCTCCATATCTTCCCTGGTAAGAGACGCTCCGGTCCTCGGGACGATTGTCTCCAAACCGGCGCCCGGGGAGCGAATGTGGCTACGCTTGCACCGCAGAGGCTTTTCGGGACCTGCAAATCTGTCGATACTGCCGCTCTTCATGGAAGTTGTATCTAGGATCTCCTGAAAGAACGCTCTTTCGAGGCGGCTTTTCCGGATATCGCGCTGGGGACGAGGTTTGCGGAGGCGGTACGCGTCGTTGCTTTATTCAGCCTTGGCAATGCGACGTTCGAGCTCAACGCATTTCTTGCGGTAGGCCTCTTCTACCGCCGGACGTAGAGCAAGCGAAAACTGTCCCGGTTAATCCTCATCTGTGTACGACACTACTCTCCCAAAGACCTCCCCAAGACCGCTGGGAAAGATGATAAAGGTGGTGAAGTAGTAGTAAATCGAAAGTCCTGAGACGCTTGACCTCGTACAAGTAAGAAAGCACAGCTATGAACGAAAACGCAATGTTGACGTGTCGGCTGTCAGGTCAAATGATCTTTAACATCGCTGCGTCTGAAGAAGGCAACTCAGAGTAAGGCTACAAGGCTGACTGCAGGAGCGCGAACTGTTCCCCCAGCCAAGCCTTGGCGCCAACACTCCTCACGTGACTAGATGATATGAAGTCCTTTTTCAAAGAGGACGGTGCCAAAATTCCATTTTCTCGTGGCTGCAGAGAGAGCTCGGGCCGTTCTACTATAGGTCAAGTCATCGAGACGCTGCGGCGGATTATCACCTCATGAAGGTGTACCGCACGGTGCAAAGGGATCAAGGACTGCAGGCAAAGAGACTAGCGGGAGGTCAGAACCACTTGACTATCCGAGAGCAAAGAGTGACGCTCACCTTAGGCCTGATACCCCTGGCATGGTCACCAAGAAATGTACGGAACATGGTTCTTGTGGGTAGAAGGGATGATTAGTCTATGGAGAAGCCTGCTGCAAGATCTTATCTATCCCACCAAGCCACCATACTACATATGGCCTAGCTGTAGGAGACTGGCCACTGATACTTTGAAGTATTCCTTCCGTCTTGGCGGTTCTTTTGCCGAAGAGGTGCCGAGTAATCTACCGAGCTCTGTCCACTTTCACGCATGAACTCTCATGCATCTAATATGCACGAGTCGAAGATCCTCATTATACTCTGAAGCAGTAGCTTCCTGCTATTATATCTTAGCGATCTCTTTATAAAGATTCATCTGGAGGCTGATGAGCTTAGAGAGGTCCGCTTAAATGGTCATCCTGATCCTAAGACACAGCCCTCTGCAGCAGCGTTTCTGACAATCCCAGTCTGTTAAGTCCAGAAAATGTATCATCCACTTCACTCATCTGAGGCGTAGGTCAGTTGAATGTCTGGTTGACGTCTGATCAAGTAACCCTCATGATGTCTTGGTCACTTCAAATCGATATACCACAGCCTAGATACAAAGCCGGCGACACCGTGTCTGGGTCCGTTTATCTCGTCAGCCAGCTTACTAAGGGTCAATATGTAGATGTTGGGTCTGTCACGATTGAACTTACAGGCAGTAGCACGACTGCGAAGCTGTGGCCTCGCATTCCCAATCCTATACGACTGTTCACCTTTAAAAAGACCCTGTTCACTGGCCCAAAAAGGCTTTATGCTCCATACGGCCAAACAGGAAATAATGACCGAAACAAATGGCCTATCAGCTTTACCCTCCCGCTCGATTGCAGCGCGTCTCAGGGGGAACCGTTTACTTCATCGACATACTTCAACACTGATCCCAACCAACCTCTTCCCATCTCTTTTGTGGATGACAACGTCCAAGGTGGATCTTGTTCGGTTGTTTATGAGCTACAAGCCACACTCATGTCGCCGCCCAAGGACGGCTACTACACGAACGAAGGCTGCGTCAAAAAAGTAGAGATATCCGTCTACAGGCCCAGGAGCGTAGAGCAGCCGAACTTCAATTTCAACACTAAGAGCATAAGATTCACACACCGAAGCTTACTCCTTCTACCCATAGAGGAACGCAAGCTCGCCCACCGCCCTCTTACCCTGAAGGAAAAATTGAAGCTGAAACCACCATCAACCGAGCACTTGCCCAGAGCGGTCTTCGAGATAAGGGTGCAAACACCATCAACTGCTGTTATTGGCCAAGCATTACCGCTAATGCTTCACGTTGATTACGATTCGGACGCTTCTACGGTGCCACCACCCATCTTCCATCTGAAGAAAGTGACCATCCATCTGAAGAAAGTGACCATCCATCTTTGCGAAGAAACATCCATCTGGGGCTCCAAACGCGCTGGTGGACATGAGTCCACGCGATGGACCAAGGAAATCACACTTCAGGAAAAGGAATTCGATACCAGGAAACCTCGAGTGGAGGAGCATCTAGATTTGAAGAAAGTGATGAACACCGTTGTCCATAATGACTTGACACCTACTTTCAAAACTTTTAACATTGCGCGCACCTATTCATTGAAGGTATTTGTCAGGCTGGAATGCGCCGGAAAGGAGCATTTTGTCTTTGGCGATTACAAGCGTTGCACACTGTTGGCGGAACAGTATGACCCACAAACGGTAGCATACAACGAGCCAGCGCCTGTCATGGATGGCGAAGATACTGACCCTCCACCTCCGTACCATTTCGCCACACAGGAAGCGGTGCCGGAGTATTCGACTCAGGCTCATTGTACGGGGCACCATGGACAAAGTCATGCTGGACAGAACGGAGCCGCAGTGTTAGATATAGCTGAATCCTCCACGGCTGCCGCCTTAAACTCTGCGGCCCCGGCATCCTCTGCTGCCACTCCTTAGCTCAAATAGCGGCAGTGGAACTGGAGGTGGTGGTGATTGCCAAAGTCGATCTCTCGATGCACCACCGCATTCGGCCCAATATCTTGCTGTTCTGTCAACCTGGAGCCTGGACAGCCAACCGTGCCACGCACTTAGCTCGTTCCTTGCAAATGATCGCCGTCAACTGACCCGAGACGTGGTCGATATGAATTCCTATGCTCGTTAGTTCATCGAGGTACAATCTTCGGTAAATTCCGAAGCGGACGGCTTTATCCTTAATGTCCGAGCGGCAAAGGGGTTAAGGTAACTGCGGGATAAAATGACATCATGAAAATCCTACTTTACTGTTCCCCAACAAGCGAGCAAGTCGGACATGGATAATTATTATTGTTATCATTGATGCCGGCACATTGCTGCACTTTCCTTCATCCACCTTTCATTCTTCCAATTCTTATATAATCCAGCTCCCCGAGGTTGTAAATATACGGAGGCAGATCCATCCACCAAAAGACATTTACCCTCACAAGCAAACTTTTCATTCTATCGCTAAGACCACCACCGCAACCATGGCCGGTCTCTTGAACTTCTTCTACACGCAACTTTTCGTGAAGCTGCCATATCCTACCCACTCCTTCTCTGGCCAAACCATAATCGTCACCGGGTCCAACACGGGTCTCGGCCTCGAAGCAGCGCGACATTTCACGCGCCTCGGTGCCGCCAAAGTGATCCTCGCAGTCCGCTCCCTCTCCAAAGGCGAGGCTGCCAAAGAGTCAATCGAAAATTCCACCGACCGAAAGGGCGTTGTGGAGGTATGGCACCTCGATCTCGGAAACTACGAGTCTGTGAAGGAGTTTGCGAAGAAAGCGGAGGGCCTAGCTAGGTTAGATATTCTGGTTGAGAATGCCGGGATTGCGCGAGAGGTGTGGTCTGTTTTGGAGGACAACGAGGCGACCATCACGACCAATGTGGTCAGCACCTTCCTGCTGGGCCTGCTGCTGCTGCCGAAGCTGCGGGAGAGTGGGCAGAAGTTCGATGTCACGCCTCGTGTGGTTGTTACCTGCTCCGAGGTTCATGCTTGGTCATCTTTCACCGAGAGAAAAAGCGAGAATATATTCGACGCTCTGAACGACAAAGAGAGTGCGAACATGGCCGATAGGTAATTTTGCTTGCCCGTTTTCCATCGGATTCCAACGGAGAAATCCAGCTAATTAGCCGCAGATATCAGGTTTCGAAACTTCTCCAGGTCTACCCTTGCCGCGAACTCGCCACTCGCGCCAGAAAAAGCGGCAAGTCCGACGTCATTATCAACTACCTCAACCCTGGCCTCTGCCATTCTGAGCTAGCTCGGGATTCCGGCTTCGGGCTTGCCGTTTTGAAGTTCTTGTTTGCAAGAAGCACGGAGCATGGGAGTCGCAGTCTGGTCAATGCGGCGGAGGCGGGCGAGGAGACGAATGGGGAGTATTTGAGTGATTGTCACATCGCGCAGTACGTTTGATCATTCCAATCGTCTTGTGCGACGAATCTGCAGGGTTGAGATGGCTGATTGTGCTGCTACAGGCCAGGGCCGTTGGTGACGAGCGAGGAGGGACCCGAGATTCAGAAGAAAGTGTGGGATGAGCTTTCGGCGAAATTGGAGAAGATACAGCCTGGGATTATGGGTAATGTGTGATTATGTTCAGCGAATACCCATGGTTCCGACGTCTGGGGAAAGAAGTCTTCCGCGTACGCTCACTCATGAGTGTAAAACGGAGAAAGGCGGGCTTATTCTGCACGAGGAATAGCGCTCACTAGGGCCGAAGGAATCACAGCCGAGTCAGGAATGAAATAATGATTCCTGCGCAAACCGAGATAAGGTAGATACAACGCTGTAATGGAATCAAATTCTCACCTCCCTCTTCCAACTAGCACGCACCTCATCCCTCCCATGCCCATCAAGTCCTAAACTCAACAGAACCCATCTCCTCATCCAAACATTCCCAACTCTGAATCGCCAATGAACAGCATGCCGTAAACCCTTAACCGCCAACACCCCAACAACCGCACCGATCTCCAGTCCCAACCCAATCCAACCCAACCCAACCCAACCCCTTCCACTCCAATCCAACCATTCCCACCCAACGACCCGGTAGCGCCAACCCCAAACCCCCCTTCGACCCCAGCGAGGCGGATCGAACCCCAAAGACCCAACCGAACAGAGGCGTACAACAACTGACAGCCGACGCGCGCAGCACAGCAGCGCATGGCCCCTTGGCCGACCGAGTGACGAAAGCGCGGGTCCGACAGCGATTCGTACGGCTACTAACAAGTGCAGAGACGGACAAAGCGCGCAGGCAGGTGCGGGATGCGGAGGATGGAAAGGAAGGTGGCGCCGGGGCTGGTCACGAAATCAGTGCCAATGATGAATACGTCATCAGATGCAGCTCAGGCGTCAAAAGACGACGGCGTGCCGTAGCTGGTCTTCACGAGATCCGGTCCAGCTTGGTCGGCAAATTCGGTGGTTGGGTGCCTGATCGTGCGGTGCGGGTGCCGCTGCTTGGGGGGTGTTGTGGTGGTTATGATGGAAGGTGGAGGTAATGGGACATGTGGAGTCTATGGGAGATGTAGTTTGATCAAGTCGCATTCATTTGAGAGATGATTATGGTGAAGGTTTGAAGGGGCGTAGAAGGTGAATTCCTCGCAGGGTTCATCTTGTCATAAAGGGGGAGAAGAAGTTTGCGAGGACGCGGTCTTCTGGTGGACTCGGGAGTCGAAGAGCTAATGAGGTCCTCAAAGGACGCAAATACCATCCAGGTTATACAAACCCCGGTGCTAAATCTACATGTCCTGGTCCTAGGAGAGGCTTGTCTATCCTCCTTTCCGACTGCAGACAGCAATGCTCCCTTGCAGTATGACCGGACGGTTTCCGGTGTGAAGGGTTTTTCGCCACGGTAGCGCGACTGTTACGATATTGCATCAGCAACGTCTCTTAGCCAAACTCTATCGACTGTTGAGACTTTGAGTATCGGGCCAAAAAGATAATTGAAGCTCTGTATAGGATAAGTTGGACATGTGAAGACTTATATCTGTGGCATTTGCGCCGTCTCAACTATGTCGGTTGGCTAGGTTGCCTGGATCCCAAAGACAGGTGGTGATAATGAGCAGAGGGCGGTCTCGGTCACGCTATCCAACCAATGCTGCGCGGAAGTGCATGGCACATTTTCTTCCGTATCAACCACTCCCCCATACCCAAAACGCGCAACATGGCCTGTGTTCTATGCAAGATCGATGACCTTCACGCTCCTTTTCCCCTCGTTCGGCCGACTCTCCTCGCTTTCCTGTGGAATCCACTCCCCTCTTATTACCGACGGTATCATGACCTAAACCTCGAATGTGTCAGCCTACGGCAAAGCCAGTCCCTGTGCACGCCGGATGTTCCGAAGCATCTCCAGCGCTTCCTTACAGAACAAATCTTCAAAAGCCGTCTTGCTTAATTCGACTTTTTCTTCATCTCGGGCAGTCACCGCAGTGTTCAGTTGTCTTGACGCTCGTTTAGCTGCCGCGCATCGTGTTACTGAGCCGTTGCAGAGCCGTCCGAAACAAACATAGGATGGCCACGATCTTTGGTACGTAGATCGAGATTCCATGCAGCCAGTATGGAACATCGTAGATGACATTCAACATGCCCACGTATATGTTGCATCTCATTAATAAAACCCACCTCTCATGGATGATAAACTGGTGCATGGGGAGGACAGTCGTTCATGGTACCATGTCACTCATCTGATGGAACAAGTCTCCATTAATAGCACATACCAGCCATGAATAACGCCGTCACCCATGAATACTATACCTTATTGATAGGTATAGTAAACCAATTGCTGTTGGAAGGTTATACCTCCAGTATAGATATAGGCTGAACGAGAATAATTGAATATAACTTCGAATATTGCTACACTGATGCTGTGCTACTATATCAAAGATGGGTTCCATAGCCGACGAAGTCATACATGGACGACACATGCTGTTGACGAAGATTTGTTCCTTAAGATAAGCGATACGGTTTTACAACCACACGATTGACGATTGTACTCGCCAAGTGAAAGGATATACTGCCAATGACAAACAACAAATACAAGCACCAAAAGAGCTGTGCGAAAAACTGCTGGCTTTCGGAGTATGCTGTGTGGGCTGTCAGTTCAACGACTCGTGCTCGGCACATCGGACAGCTATTTCTACCTCCGTTGTCGGATAATGGCAAAATCCATTTCAAAATGCACCCTTCGCCAAAATGTGGCCGCAGGGGAGCATCACTGGCCGCTCGGGGTGGCTGCCCGAAAGAAGGGTTCACGACAGATATGACACTCTGCGGTGCCCGGAGTTTAGCAGAAGGTGTATGTCGTATGCTTTGATGAAGGCGGTCGATCAGCGTATCTATCGGTAGCAACGGAGTCCTAATAACGGCCATGGTAAGTCGCTGTTTATGCGTTCTCAAGAGTATAGCGGTGATTTCGCTACGGTGCGATGGTGTAGGATGCTGAATTTCCACAATGCTGATATGGAAACAGTATGGCAATGAGTGCAAGAAAAGTGGAACCTAAATCGATGGCTCTGGCAAAGAGACAAAGAGCGGCTGAGACAATCAGCTTTGTTCAATCTTAAAATGACAAAAACACAACCGAGACATCATCTGCCGTGTGTCGTGCACACATGGAAGAGAATTCTTTGTCCACTCTAACTTCAGTGTCTCCGTGGATAGAATTATGTGTTCGAGATTCGGGGCAAGTGCTTCACTGAGAAATTGCTCTGATGGAAGGGAATACAGATCACTGCGCCATCTTGGGCCGTTGCAAGCGGACCATATCCATCGATTTCTGGTTCGGAGCGCTCTCATAGAAGCCAGAACCACGCTACAAGAAGTAACCAGCCCAGTACCTCTCCAACTTCGACACGTTTTCATGGGACCGCTGGAATTGTTTGCACCGGGAAATGGAAACCCAACTAGCACATAGATCAGACACGCCTCGTATGGCTGCACTTTCAAGACTCCACGATGGGAGTTGGTGAGAATTGCATCCCTACGCGACTCTGGTCAGGAACGTCGGGAAAAACAACTCTTATCAAAGTCTGGTGTAGGGAGAATTGATCGAGATCGCAGCCGATTCGAGTTTCATGGTCAACGCAGTGATGCGGGCATATCCTGACAATCTCCGGCTCTCAACCTATCGATGCGGATCTGGCGCATCTGGTGCAGGCTCATAGACTACATGACGTTTGCGTCACGGGCCAGTTGGTCAGTGACAATGGGCAATGTTGAATTCACGCCGTGATAAAACCTGTGAAGCTATTAGGGTTCAGGCCTACTCCAATCGTGGCTTTCAAGGCAAAAGACTTGCTCACGCTGCGACTCTATCTGTGGGTCGCATACATTCCCATCAGCGGCAGGGTTGTTGGCATTCGAGACTTTATGGCGGAGATCCAAATCTCGACCCTATTGCAGATGCCGAGGTTAGATCCGATCGACATCGTTGTTCTCGTCAATGCTAGATGCTTTTCGATTCATCGAGAGCGTCTGGTACAAAGAATCCGGACTCTCTATACCTTTGCTTGATAAGACTTGAACAATGGCATTGTTCTAGGTCTGCGGAAACACAAAGATAACTTCTCAGTCGGGTTTCAACACGTTCTGCTCTTTGGGTGTCAAGAGGAACAATCAAACATGATACATAATTTGCTCCATCGCCATCTAAACCCTTATTCCAGCTCCCGCATAACTCTTCGAAACCGTCATTCACCAAAGAATATAAAACATCCTTTAATCATACTACAGCCTATACCGTTGACAGTATGGCGCGTACAAGCCGATCGAGAAGTCCGAATGCCCGTAACACGACCTTAGCCATACGTACTCGAGATCCCCTGAGACAAATCGACATCACCACACCAGACGCACGTAAGTTCATCTCAACCCAAGCCGACCGGTGCCCATTTCCCGGCTACAGGAACAGCTCCCCTCACCAACACTCCACAGCTAAGGGTAAAATAGCCCCATCGGTCGAAACATTCCGCGAAGCAGGCGCAGCTATCCGGGAGCGGTGGACACAGGAGCAGAGACGTCGAATAGCCGAGAATGAAGCAGCGTTGCGTCAGCTTGCTGAGGTCGAGCAGAAAGTAGGTAGTCTTTCGATCAAGACGCATCTGCCGCGTGGAAATGACCTGACGGTTCCGGAGCAGATCGCCATCATCCACGGCGGAGGGACACCAGCGCAGCGCGCGAATGTTCGCGGGACGCTCTTGGAGCGACAACGTCAGAATACCGTGGACAACAAGAGTCTCATCCCCCCAGTCTCCCCGGCTCGCCCGGGCGTTTCACAGAACAATGATGAATTCCGAACTCAAACAGAGCAGACACATAGCATCCGGTACGATGACTTTCCCGAGCTCGATGCTAGGTACGGATCCCCGCCTAAAGCTAAGGCCTCCGAAACCCTGAATCTGACGATCAAATCACCACCGAAGTCCCCTGCCGAAGCCTCCAGCGACAACGGCAAGAGCACAGGTCTCGCGCGCGGTATCACCAACGAACCCCTTTCACGATACCGGAACACAGACTTCCTCAACACCAATCCGCAATGCACAGGTCCCTGCCCAATCCAATTTCCGCACAACCAGGGCGCGTATCTGCAGCAGGGTCAGATACCACGTGTGTGGAATGCGCGATGGGGCTATTCAGACCCACCGAGGGGTATCTGGGAGGCGTGGGTGAGGATCGAGCAGGGACGTGGTAGGAGTTGGGATCACGTGGAAGTGGACGGGTTTGCGCAGTCTCATAGGTGGGCTGGACCGTAGCGGCGAGATGGTGGGGATGATGGGTTCTGAGCGGAAGAATGATGGGAAAAGACAAGGGATGGTGGGTTGGTGAATGGTTTGCACAGCGTTGCCGTGCTCCCTGAGACTTATCTAGAGTAGGGGGGATCTTGGAGCTGGTGTTAGATATTGGATAGATTCGTTCAGGATCATCGACCGCACAGTCTAACGTTCTCGTTCTACATCTCCTATAGGCCATGATCACGAAAAGGAGACATCTTTCGGTAGACAATGTCAACAGCGTCTCTTTGAAAGAATAAATCACAAACTTGCCATATTTCATTCCTGTTGCTCTTCGTCGGAGAAAGGGCAGCGATGGTGATAGTGGCGTTGGACTATGTATCTTGACAGTACGCAAGGATCAACGAACGTGCGCTGTTTGCAATACAAGGGATTCTGGAGGGGGAATGATATCTTTTAGAGCTGAAGACACAATCTCAACAAAAATGGTTGCAAAATAGAAGCTCATTATCGCATTTGATAGAGATGTTATATCAGCACTAAGCTAGGAGAGACTAGAGAGAAGAGACTGTCCCACTCACAGATAACTTCACAGTTGCTCGGATGCAGGTTCGAGTCCTACTATGACACTGGCATGGAAGAACCCAGCAATCAAACCACCAAACCCACCCACCGAGAATGATGAATGACCGCCTCTTTGATTCCAGCCTCCTTTTCGTATCCAAGTTTGCCGTCTCCCTACTGTATTAGCTGCGATGTGACGTCCTCGATCTCAGCAGTGAGTTCCTCGTACTCGTTCCACATTTCTTCGGCCCGGTCGCGATGATCCTTGGTCTCTCTCTCATTAAAGTCATACAGACACTTACTCTTTCTTACTTCCTCTTTCATCCTCTCCATCTGATCCAACCTTTTGTCCAGCTCCTCGGTCTCGCTAGAAAGCTGGACCACCAGAGCGAAGCGTTGCGCCCACCAGCCATGACTGGGAAATGTCCCTGTTCGAGGCTCGCTCATATCCATGATCTGGCGAGAGAGAGAAATGACAAGCATGCGTTGAACGGCATATCTGTCGGTCGCCCAGGTCATACCGGTTTTGGCTCGGTGATAATGGTCTCTCGACTCCTCGCATCGTTTGAGATGGTCGTGATGCTCGTTTTGAGCTTCGATGAGAGCGTTTTGGAAATACTTGAGAGAGCCCCGGAGATGGTCGGCTTCGGTTTCATGGCATTCCGATGGTCTTTTTTGGAGAGACTTTCGGAGGTAGTTGGCGTCTTGACGGACCATATTGCCGGCAGGAGACATTGTGGTGTGTTTCGCTAACTGTTGGAGTTGTAGGTGTGGAAAAGGTTGACAGAGTGTCTAAGAGCTTTGCAAAGTCTGGAGACTGTGAAGGCGTTCAAGCGAGTGGAAGAAAATGGTTTCAATTATATCGACACTGGAGCCCGGCCATGCACAACAAAGCCATCACAATGACTTTGTTGCCAGATTTGAATAAAGGAACAGCCTACAAATTTGGCAGGTTGTCTAACAATGGCAGATAGACAACAAAGAAACATTGAGCAAATCCGGTACAAGATTGTGTTTGTATATCGGCAGAACACTTCGCTGGCTGCGATGTTGCTAAACAGAGAGACGTCCGTTGAGTGTACTGGGAAGGCATTAGTATTGAGACACGGGATATGGTAGCAACTCTGTCTTACAGAATCACCAGTCGAGACTGTCTTAAGAAAAGGATATCCTGCCGCCTCATTTCTCCTGGAAGATTCCTGTGAAACGTGTATTGCAGGCTCACAGAAACCCCAACAACGTGAGAGATTGTTCATGAAATGATGACGATGTGCCGATGCCCCTGCAAAAGCCGTGATTTATGATGCGAGAATTTGGAGCAGCCATCTGCCATTAGACGGCTACCTGAAGGCCTTTAGAAGATTCCCGACAGAGCAGATAGTAGCATACAACAGACAATCTTTGAGGTTATTAGTTTAGGCATTCCTAAAAATAGCAGCCATCTCATTTGATTGGTCGAAGTCAGTCTTGGCAGCTGGTATGCTTGGCGCTCGTATTCCAGTGGGGCGGAGCCTTCGTACTCCATGGAGTACGGATCCCTACCTATATAAGATGAACCGCTGAAACCCCCTCCAATCTTGTTCGTGGACGTCCTGCGTCTGCGACCTGCGAAATGGCAGACTACGAGGTCATGGGTAAGAACAAGCAAGGTCGGAAAATCTACAGCGACATCAACCCGTCGTTACCAATCCACGACAGCCGTGAGAGCGAAGGAGATTATTGCGAGTCGCCCGATCTCCTCAGCAAGCAGCGACTCCTTGGACCTATTCCCAAGGGTAGGAAGCACATCATCTTCGCACCTTGGACTTTCGTGTCTATAGTCATCATATGCGCCGTCACTGCATACGCCCTTTTCGTCCTCAATCTCAGGCATCAAGATCAACGTTGGAAAATGCAATCGTCAGCTGGAACGGACACCTCGATATTCAATTTCGGTCCTTCGCCTCCAATATCTGGACTCAACTTTCCACAAGAATACCCCAAACTTGACATCGATCATTCCACGCTGGATTGCAGGAACGCGTGGCACAGACTCGTTTCTGTTCCCTGCCATGAGCAGATTTGGACCAGAAGTTGGGACTATGGCAATTACGATTTCCGTGAACCTGACCTGAACCGCTTCCTTCCGTTGATCTGTAAAGAAGATTGCACCACCGCCCTCAACGAGGCTCAAAACAGGATCAGCAATTCATGCAGTGCGCAAGATCATTTCAAACTTCTTGGCTATGAGGGCAGGTTCAATACTACTCTCTTGGAGCCAAATCCAGTGGCTGTGATGGACATGTTGGTGGCACGTCAGACTCACGACTGCCGGACGAGCCCAATTGGTGACGCGGAGCGTGGATATTGCATGACCGATCTGCAGGAGCGATGGTCTATCCTTGATGGGTTGATGGTTGAACCTCTGCACGGCATCGACCAATTCTTACTTGAGACCAATCGATACAGGATCGAGTCCGGAAAGCGGATGGCTGGCATTTTTGGCGGAAGAGACTGGCTCGACGAATACAATTACATGCGCGAGGAAAGGAGATTTGGGCCTGGGCGAGGTGAAACATTGTGCAGCTATTGTACACTGGACTGGCTCGGCAGGAAAATGAAAAGTTGGAAGCCAGACTTGATTTACGACGAAGATGGGTTACCTATGGAGCTGCCAGTTTACGTGGCGAGGATATCAAAGGCAGGCCGGAGGTGTGCAGGCGAGAACTTCACGATGATGTGGGCAGACGCCGTAGATCATTACGAGGAGCAAGGCTTACTTGATCGTGAGGGCCAATGGTTACGTAAGCCGTCAGGCAACAAGTTGTATCTCTTCCAGCATGGTCCTTCTGCTGGAGATACTCCTCTTCCGGAAATCCGAGACTACCTCGAGGAGATGGGAGACTGGCAAAGTAGCCATCCATATCTATCCGACAACGAAGGTGAGGAGCTTGACAATCATACTTCGTGCCTTCAAGGGTTGCACGAAGAAATACTCTCGATGACATGTTACCCTTTCTTATCGATCGAAGATCTTGCGTCTAACATCCTGGACAAGCCCGAACATTTCCGCAGCAGCTGCACAAGCCATTGCCAGGCTTCGATTCAGAGACTAAGACTTATGACATTCAAGGCATGTCCGGAGTTGGTAGCAGACCAGGAACGCGTTCGGACACTCAAGGGGGGTATTCCTTTCTCACTGTACGAATGGAGAGAACTTATCTTCTCGGACACTGGGTCTCTTGCGTTGGCCGAAAATGCTTGTGGTTGGTACTAGAGGAACACGGCTTGCGGTCTGGTCTTTGCGTATTTCAAAACCCCATCCTAAGTACATCAAGGCGAAGAGCACAAAGAAGGCCAACGACCGTATACCGATCCGCGCGGTAGATTGGGCTAGATACTGTTACAATGGTCTTTTATATTCCATGCAGCCCCCGGTGCTGCCTAGTCCTTTGTCACAATTGTGGTTATCTAGCCACAGATCTGCACATTTTAGTAGCCACGTATCGCACTCTTCACTTCCGTTCCGCAAGAGTCCGGCTACTATATATATACAAGAATGACAATAGTGGAATCCAGGCCCTTTAGTGGCTTACGATCGCAACACATCGAGTGTTGATGACGAGGGGAGGAGCCACCTGCTGGAGTGAAGAACAAAGCGAGAACACAATGTGCTCATCACTTTGACTAGTTGAAAGTCACAACACTCTCTGCACACACTTCTTCGACTATATAAGCCCAGCGAACTGCTCTCCTAACCTCAACAACTCCACATCCTCTCACCATTCTTCAAATCATCAAAATTCTCTACAAAGTCCAACAACTCGAAATAAAGCCACCACAACAGAATACCATGCCTTCTCTTTTCAAGATCATGATCGCCGTCGTGTTTTACCTCCTCTGCACCGTCGCCGCTCTATCGCCAACACTCGAGCCCCACATGCGCGACCTCAGCATCGGATACCACGCTCTTATCACGAATCTCCGCCATCACGAGTCCCAGACAACAGGACCTTATACCAAGGCCCTACTGGAGCAGATGGTAGACGTCAAAACACAAATCAGTCACATGGTTCGTGAGATGGGATGTCTCGACGAGATGAAGCCTGCCCTGTTGTGTATGGTGATGGCAGTGGAGGTCAAGCGATTGGAAGCCGAGATCGTGACCAAGGCGCTGGAATGGTACGATTTTGAGAAGGAAAAGGACGCAAAGGCAAAAGCAAAGGCTTAGAAGGGGAAAGGAGGGGGGTGGGTTGTTGTCAAGGAGGCAGACGTGGAGGATGATGGGCCCGTTCTCTTATCAGTAATAAAATCATTAGCCTTGCACATCTTTTACAAAGTTGCGTTATAGACGCTTGACCTCACCATCTTCTTGAATACATACCCTATGATCTCATCGAGTTCTCATAATCATCAATAGGATATTCAGACAGTCAGTCGTTTTAGTCTACTCGTTTTCATCATGACGTTCGAAAAAACATTTGACCTCTGCTTAGACTTAATCGTACCGACGTATTCATCTAATTGACCAAGAGGAATCCTCTGCCTATCCCAAACAACCAAGACCAAGCTAAGATGATCTTTCAGGAAGAATGCATTCAGAAGCAGGGACAACGATGCCAGACTTATGCCACTAAATGCCGCCCTTCTATTATGCGTTTCGGTCGTGAACACTTCAAACAAGCTTCTGCCTTGCTGCCTTAATCCCCGTATTCTATAGTCGAAAAGTAACATACAAATTTTGGTTAGCTATATAACAAACTCACTCGCAGAGCAGTCGGGGCGCCAGAGGGAAAATGAGGAAAATGAGTGCATAGCTCGAAGTAAGCACGGGAATGGCAAGAGGAGGCGCTGTGAAGGAGATATGAGACTGAAGGGTGTTGACTAGGATCAGACAGATGGGATAGCGCAGAGGGTGCTGCAATAAAACATTTCTATTGTAAGAAGGATAAACCCGAGTAGTAGAGGAGAAACGAAACGTCAAAAGTCAACCTTATGCTATGGAAGAGAGCCTTGGATTTTATCAAAGATACAGAAGCACAGGATTTATTTGCCGCTGAGAACCCTATTTGGCTTGTGCCTTGCTCATCATGCAAAGCACTGCGTCGACGCTCCATTCGACTCACTTACGAGGGCCTCGTAATGTTTCCATATCGACCTCCCACACCACAACTCAGTGCAATCTTCGACACACTTTCCTGCTCTCCCCATTTCAATGAACCGGCAGACATTATCATTCTCACTAACATACCCAATCTCACTCTCGAGCATCTGAGCCAGAATCAGCTTCGCATACACCGTAGCTCTTGGGACGACTCTGAATCTTAGGCAACACCGTAGAAGAGTTCAACTAGAAGTTCATAATGGGTGGGGCGAGGGAGTGATTGAACAAATAGCGGAGAGGCTTGGAAGAGACTTCGGGCGCATCGGGAAACAGAAGCGGAAAAGGAGGCTCTGGGGTTACGGTAGATGAGATACTGTTCTAGACAATTTGGAGAGTACATTCTATCCACAGTGATTGGTGGAAGTATCACCGTCGCCGCACATGGATTTCTCGTGTCTTTGTGATCTTCCCACGCCGTTCGAATGACAACAAGCAGCAGAAATTGACACATTCTTTCCAAGATTTCCATTTCCCGTCCCAGCCCTTCTCCAACTCCGTTGAAGTGGTGACACAAGAGGCGCAAACATCCGCCTATCAACTCGCCTCCTCCCGATTCCGATCTCTAATGATGTAACCAATCAGTTCCGCATTCCAATCAGCAAACCCAGACTCTTGTCCTGGCCGATTCCGTGCGACATTCTCGATCGACCTGGCAAGCTGAAGCGCTTGCTCGTAGTTCCCGGCATCGTGGTGACAGGCAGCGAGAACATAAACGGAGTTCACACGATCCACGTGGTCTTTGCTTAGCGTTCTTACCTCTATTTCCACCACGGGTTCTAGCAGGGCTATGGCTTTAGCTGTTTGTCCTATATCCAGATATGCTCCAGCAAGTGAATGTTGTGACACCAAAAGATCTAGATGCTCTGGTCCTAGCGTTCTTGCCCTTATTTCCACCACTGATTCTAGCAGAGCTATGGCTTTAGCTGTTTCTTCTACCTTCAGATATGCTCTAGCAAGTACGTGTTGTGACGCCAAACGATTTGAATGCTCTGGTCTTAGCGTTCTTGCCTCTATCTCCACCACTAGCTCTAGTAAAGCCATGGCTTTAGCTGTTTCTCCTACCCGAAAATATGCTCTAGCAAGTTCGTGCTGTGACGCTAAACGATGTGGATGCTCTGGTCTTAGCGTTCTTGCCCCTATTTCCTCCACTGGTTCTAGCAGAGCTATGGCTTTAGCTGTTTCTCCTACCTCCAGATATGCTATAGCAAGTATATGTTGTGATGCTAAATTATTGCTATGCTCTGGGCCCAAAGTTTCATTCTCAACATGAGCTATCCGCTCGAACAACTCTATTGCTTTGGTTGTTTCTTCTGTTTTGAGGTACGCGCTTGCGAGTGCGTGTTGCGAACATGAGAACATCGGGTCTTCTGCAGCGAGAGTCTGTTCCTGTGCTTCACTCAATTTTTCTAGCAGAACCACCGCCTTACCGGCGTCACCATATCCGAGCATTGAAATACCATGAAGATAATGAATCTCTTGGCCATTTTCAGTTCTGATCCAAGTTTCATCTGCCTGGATTGGGATCATCTGGAGCAGTTCAAAGAGCGCCGAGCTAGAGCTCGAAAGGTACATAGCATAGCTAAGTCGGCATATGGACTGCTGGAAATGGAAGTTGCATTTTTGCGAGTCCCACTCACTCAGACTGTATGCAATGGACTCTATATGAGGCTGAAGCTGGCTCACCAATACGCCTATGTCGGTAGCGCGAGGATATTCGATGGACAGCGAAAGCACAGAAAGACCGTTCAGCCTAGCGGTCATGGAGTCCTCCGGCATTTGCAGCCGGTCTCTGGACCAAAAGTGGCTCACAGGATGCATGCGCGTCGTACCTCTGGCCGGGTCAAAGTCCACGAGAGAAAGAGATGTGAGCAGCGACCTGGCTTTGCGAAGGCGCATCTTGTCCAAGTTGATGTCATTCAGATTCGGTCGCAGAAACGTTGGAAGGTGAGAGACGTGCCACGGAGCAAGTCTCCAGATGTCCTCTTCATCATCCGAATTCAAGCAAGAGGAAACTACATCTTCATCCATCGAATTCTTCCAGGCCTCCTCGAAAGCTGCTTCCGGAAAGTCTGTGAAATGCATGAAAGCATAGAAGTTGAGTAGCTGAAGCGCATCATTGGCGATCTGATCATCGCGGTCTTTGAGGTAAGTGGCGGACACTTCGAAGGTGGCATAAACCCCTCCATACTCTGACCTTTCTTGTTTCGGAAAGCATTCGAAAAGCGCTCGTCGCTGGCGCACAAAGGTATCCCCGTACTCCACCAGACCACACAAGTTTTGAGAGATGGCTGCTCCGGCTTGTATGATAGCAAGGGCATGGCAGCCTAAAAGTTCAGCAACTGCGCGAGCATTGTCTTCATGAGCCCTTCGCGAGCTCATTTCAATGCCGCAAGCTTTGAGAAGAAGCTCGATAGCCGTTTCCTGACCCAGTCCCTCATAATTGTCCTGTCCTACTGTTTGATGCTTTCTACACTCAAGGAGGCGTGTAGTGATTAAGATACTTCCGTTTTTTCCGGCTGGGAGAAACTGGGCGTAATCTAGGTCCTTATTGTCCGCGTTGTCTAGGATAAGCAGCCAGGAGTGAGATGTGTTCTGAAGCCAAGACATTACACCTTCAAGGCTTTCATCGTGATGGCCACAGCTTCGGGCGGTAGTCGCAAAGCCTGTTTTGATCGAGCTCTCACTCCGCCCATCTATCCAAAAAATTCCCCAGAATCTGAAGTATGTCAGTCAGAGTGTATGCGTCGTGCATGTTTATTCCTACTTTAGCCGGTTGTCATGTGCAAGTTTCAGAGCAACCTCGCTTTTGCCAGCGCCGCCCATGCCAACTATAACATATATCTTCGGTATTGCGGTGTGTGCTTTTGTCGAGAGTGAAGTGCATAACGCTTGCTCGAGTTCTCCAAGTTCTTTCTCTCGGCCAGTGAACAAAGTGTTCGGTCTACGAGGGACCATGAAATGTTCACTGTGAAGGTGGAGTGCTAGGTGAATGTAAGCATTACCCCAGCATATACTCGGGTCTTTTGCTAGCGAAGACCAATAAATACCTTCTCCCCGTCCGACAGCGATTGTCTTTGCTTCCTCCACCATCTTTTTAATAGCACTAGTGACAAGAACAAAGCTTGCATCATTAGGGCCAGAGAATTTGCTCATCATGGAGTGAGGTGCATCGAGCATCGTCTTTGGGTGTCCAAACAGGCACGCAGAGTCTTCTTCCACTAACTGTATCGCGAGTCTTGATTAGCCCCAAGTCGCAGCTATGAAATGATGGCTTACAATCATCTCAACGCTGCGGCGAAGCGACAAGGTCCATGCTGGAAGTACGCCTTTAAGGACTTGGGTTTTCTTTGATTCCCAGAAGCACATCGTCATTGTCTGTATCGGAAGGGTCGTCACCATTGTGACAAACTTTTCCGAGCTTTCTCTCAGTGCCCTGGTACTACCATCGAGGCCTTGAAGAAGTGTCTTAGAGGGTGCTTTATTGAGAATGCCGCCTAGCATAGCGTGCCATTGTGCAGCTTTGCTAGCCTTGGTGCCTTGTAACGGAGATCCAAGAAAGACAACGCCGGAGTTAGCAACGACCAAGTTTCGGTACTGACTACCATGTATGTTTGCAATTTCTAGTGCCTTCAAAAGACTTTAGTACGCTCTCGTATATTCTCGATAGGACCACAGCCTCACCTTTGTGACAACAAGACCACCAAAGCACGAAGCCACAAAGATTAGAGGCCTTGATTGCATATCGTCCTTCAATTGAAATCAGAGCGTGCGTGGGCATTACTGTTGGGGTTTCACCTTATCACGCTGGCTTTGGAGGTTGCTCAACAACACCCCTGCGACACTGTCTATACGTGCAACAGACGCGTCCGCATAGTACTTTGCATTCCAGCTGAACGTGTAGATGCTCGCAGAGGGTACAATGTTCGGCAGCATATCCGGGTCACTGAGCCAGTTGACGGTTTTCGTCTTCGTGTTATACTCCCAGGTGTGAGGAGTCGTAGTTCCCAGGCCATGTATCGCAATGACACTGAATTTTTGTTAAATACCATCCATACGAATCGGAGTATTCTGCGTACTCGACGGATGTGTCATCTTTAGCGCCTTCCGGGGGATACACCTTGAGCAAGCGACCTTCGGGAGGGTTTGTAGAGTCCTGGATCGCAAGTATGAGAAAGGGTATGAAGCTCGCTAGTGTGATTTTCTGTGCTTACTTCCATGACGTCTAAAGGTGCAATGGCACAGGCCTATCGCAAGTATGGAATCTTGTGCTCGGAATCCTGAGTGCGAAAATGAAGGCTGGGCAGCAAATGAGGCTTCGACCCCGCAACTCGGCGGCTGTGCACCAAGGTTTTTGATACGCCAAGTGTTCGAAGCGATGGCCAGGAGGAGAACACTATTTGCTATTCAGATATGAGATGAGAATAGATGAGTATGATAAGATTCAGGATGGCAACTAGCTTTGCAAACGTCTTACGCTGTCGCCTAGAGCAGGTCTCTGTCTCGACGAGGCTGACAATCCGACGTCTCGGCCAATGCTAATTTTAGGTGCGCGGCGGCTTAGAGAACTGGGAAGGAATAGACTATCTCAGCTACCAAAATAGCTTGTCTTGTGGAAGAAGTGGGTCAGCAGGTATTGTGCATGCAGGGGCGCTGTTTCTGGGAGATGGTTGGCCAGAAGGGATCCTTGGCATGATGAAATTGTGCATTGGATCCGCCTCGCTGATCTCAGCTCTTGAAACAAGGCACACTCACAACAAAAGAAGATGCACGCTGCTTCGGGACATGTTCCGATCCAAGCGATGACACATGTACTCAGAAGAGGGCGCGGTCCGTCGATGAGATGCGAAGGATGCAGGCAATACGGATGAGAGGAGGCGACAGGTACAATCAAGGTACATCCATCTTTTACCACCGCCTCGCACACGGGCATAGGATTATATGTTTAATCGCTTTCCCAATGTACCACTTGTCCAGATCCATTTACTTTGGTCTAGATAGTCTGCTCAGAGCGTAACGGTATATCTGGCGCCTGAACAGGAGGCGGGTTCAGACCCGCTATCCAGTCGACGTGGTAGTAGGTATATGTAGCAATGTAAAATGTACAACCTATCATGGCCTTGACATTCACTCTACAAGATAGAGTAAGACAAAGGGCAAAAGTAATTGGATTGGGTCAATGAACATTATAATAAACAAATACGAGTACAGTGAAAAGTTGTTTTCCTCGATCGTAATGATAAGATTCTTTTCTCTCTGTAGATACAAAAAAAGAACGTGTAAAAGTTTTCGGGTATACAAAGAATTTCAGCAAAGAACAGATTTTCTTATGTCTCGTCAGATGCGCTCCTTTCTGTCCTCATACTATTTTGCCAAGCACCGTCCTCAGAGTCACATCTTTAAAACTGTCAAGGTTACCCTCCTCAACCCTCAGCACTGCACTGGGCTCATAGCGCTACTAGCGGCCGAAATCGGCGACCTTTGCAACCTTTACATCGATGACGCAAAGCGAAACATGCAGTACAACGCGCGTTAGATACAAGTCCATACGAATGCAGACTTCGACCCCGCGACGAAGGAGCCCCACAAATTTGCAGAAACGTCAGTCGCAGCTAGCTGGCAGAGCAGGCCAGTGTGGACACAGGATGACCTAAAGGTTTTCCAGAGTCAAAAAAGGCGTCGGTGGTCGTAGCTGGTCGAAGGCTGTTCAAAAAGAGTATATAAAGTAGAGAGATGCTTGAGCGGGGAATAGAAGCCAATGCTATGAGGGACGGGGAGAGGTTCGGTATCTTGGTGAAAAGGACGATGGGGTGCATGGGACAAGTCTCGAGGCTGCTTGCTTACGTAGCATTTCAAAGACATGACGTAAACTTTCTCTCATGGTGGTCTGGTAGGAGGAAGACATTATCCATTTCTCTCACCAAATGCGAAACCAAATTCCAAGGTTTTCTCTGTTTCGCTAGCGTATCAGCGGTGTTCGATAACAGAAAGGTGAGAGTCTGCGCGTAGACCATCACCAATGTTGTTGGAGAAAGACCGAATGTAATTCTCTAAAGGTTGTTCAGACGTGTATTGTTGACAGCACATAGGCTATCCCGCTAACACTCGGCTCAACAGTATCGCAAACATGGCCTAAAGGGTTGTAGTCTAGACCTACCTTAATTGTTCCCGCAAGCCTAAAAAGCACCGCAACACCATTGTACCAGCGCCATTAGGAATCGAACCTAATACGAACTAAATACCTCCAACCACACGACCACAACCAACAGGTGTCCGCCCCCGGACTATAACTAACGGGGAACATTTCGCTTCACAAATCAATGCGTCGCACGGGTTTCGAACCTAAGCCCTCGCCAACACCGCTCGACGGAACTTTAAAACCTGTGGCTAATGGCGCTGCCAGAAATAAAAAGCACCGCAACACCATTGTACCAGCGCCATTAGGAATCGAACCTAATACGAACTAAATACCTCCAACCACAGTCTAGACCTACCTTACAACAGTAATTGTTCCCGCAAGCCTAGCCTAATTAGTGTGTTTCGGATTAGCGGTAAGATGATTTTCTTAGGGCGACACCTCCCGCGAACTTCAAATCTGGAGTCCCGCGCAGAAAATAAAAAGCACCGCAACACCATAGTACCAGCGCCATTAGGAATCGAACCTAATACGAACTAAATACCTCTAACAACACCGCGTTCAGAGGGTATTTAGTTCGTAATAGGTTCGATTCCTATTGGCGCTGGTACAACGGTGTTGCGGTGCTTTTTCTTTTCTTCCCGTGAAGCTTGAGTTGAATAAACCCTTGCTATCATTATGGGTTCTCATTGCAGCACAACGTTTGCACTCATTGGCCATTCGATTCACGGCTGGACGTAGTCGTATGCGCTCAGACCAACGATGAGGCGCAAGAATGTACCAGGTTTCACTAAGCACTCCGTGCCATCGTTCCTTCTGACACCCCATTATCCTTGCACAAGCACATGGTATTTGGTAGGACCGAGTTCTTATTGAAATCCTGCAGCGTTGCGGCAACTAGTCATTCTGTGCAGAACGGAGCCAATTTGCAAGCTTTCCCGAAACATGGGGATTTGATCCCTGTTTGGTGGGATCTACTATCTTCGGCTCTTCTTTTGATGAGACCAGTAAGTTCGTTCCTTGGAGATATTTCCAGCACCCTTGTAGGATGATCACGAGAACAGTCAGAGCAAGCCATGGACGTATAGTGAACTATCTAGATCCTGATCAAAACCGCGGCTTTAAGTATCTCATCTTTGTACCGATCCAAGATAAGAAGAGTTCAACCAGACCGGTTCAGTTCTGTTCGCTCTTTTCGTTTTGGCTTTCTTGGTCTTTGTGCGAGTCTGAAAATTCAACCGTGGAACGAAAGCGATTCAGTAATTGCGGCGGTCTTTTCCTGGCCATGGCACTCCTCCACATGCTGGCCTGAGGTGATACCTTCGCTATTGGTGCGATCAATACTAACACCTGAGGGCGGCAAAATAGCTCCGTCACGATACTCTGGAGAATCAATTCCGAGCACGACGATTACTGGATGCCTGATCTACCATATGCCTCCTCCACTTCCTGAAACCACCATCAGGCGAATTCTTGGTAAGCCTCATATCCAAAAAAAAACCACTACCCACTGGAACACCCCTCCTTTCAAGACCGTAATCTTCAAAGTCGATCTCAACATGGTGAAGTTCTGATGCCAGATCCCGTCTCCATCTTCGCCTCCTCCTGACCCAACGATCAGATCAGGCGGACTCGATGTTAGCCTTTGAGTGGAGAGCATCACTGGGGATGACAGCACCACTCCTTCAAAACTAAGCCTCAAATATGGCCCCTACGATGACGTGCGTTTTGCGCTAGACGTCGGTATGACCTTTTTGTTGCTCCTGAAACTTTGCATCGATGGACTTCTTCGTTTCACGACCTCACGGCTGACCCCAAATATCACGAGTTCTTGGTCTTAGCTATTCCCCTTTCCCCTTCCATCCTGCTGAAACGATGATCAGGCTGGGGCGCTGTGAGCCTTGCCATGCGATGGCGGAGTTGTAATGAGAAAGCGTCACCACGAGTCAATGATGAGAAGATTGTGATTGTACACAGTCATAAAGTGATGGGACTCCTGACACACGACGGACTGGGAGTCAGGCCTCGTTCCTCAATTCAGAAGGACAACGGCAGGCGCCCGGGTATAAAAAGCGGTGTTTCCCACCCTCAGTCCTGCTCTGCACGCAACCTCCTCTTTATTCTCCTTGGTCGAAGCTCAAGTGGACGCTGCGCGACCTATTCTCCGAACAATTTCTGTCTTGAGGTCTTCTCAGTCTTGAACTTGTCTTCTTTTTCTGGCGTTCAGAAGCTTCTCCAGAGTGTACTCCGCCTTACATTCCCAATAATCTGCCCATTGTTCGGTCAACCCAAGGACATCAAACATATACACGATCCTTGCCTCTTCTACGTTGACCACTCATTCAGCAACACAATATCCAACATGCGTTGCACCGCAGCAGCATTGCTCCTGGCCCTGAGCATCTTCACCCCAGCCCTAGCGGCAGACAACACAACCTAAACCGTGACCTTCTACAAATCCTCCGGCTGCAACGACCAAGGCGCCGGGCCCTTCACCAACCCCATCGAAGACGTTCTCTGCGTCAACGTGCCCAACGCTGTCAGCGTGTACATGGACTTCACCAAAAACTACGGCAACGGCGTCGGAGAGTTAATCCCGCTCGAAGACGACACGACCTGTCAGTCCTCGCTTCCGAGCTACGACGGTACTCAGTGCAGGGCCCCGTCCGCTACGGGGTGCTACGGCATCGACAAGAATGATTACTGGGTGTTTACCGGTGGGGAGTTGGAGGGTTCTTGCCTGACGCCCAGCGGACCGAGTCCCGGTCCGTTGCCCGGTGGGAGCGGCGGAGGGGACAAGTTGAAGAGGAGCCTGAAGAGGGGAATCCGATTTGGATGATCTTTTGCTGACCATCCGGCGCGCAAGGACTTGGTCCACAAGCTGAGGTGGAGGTAGCAGGAGTAGCAAGTAATAGAGGAATGTTTGCCTCATGTCATTGCGATCTGGAATGAGAGGAGGGGGAAACCGGCAGGAGAACGAGTGTTTTTTTTCTTTCTTTCTTCCTTTTCAGTATTCCATTTTAGCTTTTGTCATTTTCGTGTCGGGACCTAATAGCGTATGCAGAAAATGTTACAAATTTTGGCACTGAGAGAGTCCCACACACCCTAACCAGATCCACAAATATATATTTTGCTAAGGAATACTGTACTTATAGACTTGTAGTATCGACATTATGATATTAACGCAGCTAAAATGTCTTGAAACACCCCGTATTGATGGTAATATAAAGGGTTCAAGGACTGAAGCGGAGATTTTTATAGCGGAGATTCTTATATTCTGTGTAAATCAATAACCTTCCAACACCCAGCTGAGTTATACTTTCGATTACTTCTGCTGCAACACCTCGTTACTTCATCTTTCATCTTGAATATATGGTTGGTCGCTGGGTCGAAGCAGGAAACGAGAATGGAGAGTAGCATGGACAGCTCTCTCTTGCGTCACCTGTCGAAATGAGGATCCCAGCCACTTGTTCGAACAACCACCTAATTTGCATGGGGTACAAATACTTGCCCAGGGGAGTCCGCAGATAGAACAAATGATGCAACCTACACATCACATACCTGAATTTTGACATCACCTGAGTCCTCGTGAGCTTGCTCTACGCCTCCGGCACGCGTCTAAGGAGCAATCCGCAAAGAGGGTCTCAACCCAGCTACTCGAGGCCATCAAGCAGGAACTCTGCCACCAACGGTCTTTGATAGTTTTCTGACCTCCGGCGACTCGCCATGTCCATTGAAGGACGCGCTCTGGCAACGACATTCTAAGCACGTCAGATACGCGGCCATTCGGCGATTTGGCAAAGACTTGAAGAGTAGGGATTCGGAAGATGCTTGGCAAGAAGTTGGTGGCACGGACGAATGGTTGCAGAGAATGCTGTAGTGGCAGTAAAATCGGGTCTCGCGCTAGACCGCAAACACGTTGATTAGATAAGATTGAAGGTCATTAGCTTGCCAAGCTTGACAGAACTCGGGCACCGGAGCAGTAGTGGAATACTCACATCCATCGCTCTGCGCAACCTTCTTCTCTTCCCTCCAACCTCCCTGGGAAGTCTCAGGCATATGGTATCACCCGGGGCACATCATCTCCGCGACTACCTTAGAGTAAGTACGCCGTGCATGATACTTGAGCCAAAAGGTTTGTGCACTCATGGCCATGGCTGCTGACGCTGATGATCTCGACCCTAGTGGCGTCAATTTCATTCCACACTCTATGCATATGGCGTTCAAGAAGCGAAACCCGGTCACTATGAAGCGATGGCTGCTCTGGATTAGACATACTTGAGATACCTTTTTGATCTTGTTGAGTCTAGGGTACGCACGCCTCTCCACTAACTGTGCGAGCCGCAAGCCGATCGTCCACTGGAACGAGAGACTGATTTTGGCAAGAAGTGGGAGAATGGGCGATGTAACATATGCAAGGCGTGAAGGATTTAACGGGGTTGAAAACGGTCTCGTACACTGTCTACGTGAACAGCTAGCGAGAAGGTGCAGTCGTCAAGAAACAAGTAACAAGAGACGAGGGCGTGCTCCGTGCGCAGAGATCATTGGAGGAGGCCATACGTCTCACGTCAGCCAGGTTTTGCGGCATCCGGATTGAGCAAAAGGATTGCGGGGATCGCGGGAGCGTAGACCCTCGACCTGCATTAAAATTTGTCATAGTATACCATGAAAGACGAGATGACCAATCATAGGACCTCAGCCTGTGGAAACATCATAGCGCTGAAAACGGAGATTTTATGCGATTTCTGTCGAAAACCTATATCTAGTTGCAGCGGTAAGGGGGGGGGTTTTGGCTATTGTTTTGTTCTCAAAAAGCACGAATCGATCCTGCCTACTTCATCTTCCTGAGGAAAAACACAAGAAACAACAAGCTCGAACCCCAACTCCCGCTTTTCAGGATGTACAAGTTGTCCAAGACTTGCCTGGCCTTGAAGTATGCTCGACATCCCAACTCTGCAACCAAGATCGCATTCAACCATCCAGCCAGCCTGAAGGCTCAATGGCTAATTTATTGACATTCCAGCCTGCTCGCTCTGCTCTCAGGTACAACCGCCCTCTTCACAACCTCCCTTGCCACCTGCACGCCCACACCAACAACCTACACCACCACCAGCCTCAGCACCATCACCACCGTCAGCACCGTAGAAATCACTACAACCACATCAGCGCAACCATACTGTCCGACAATAACCTCCACTAAATCGCAAAACTGCCCTCCAGCACCATCCACCTGCATCGTGCCGGACTGTATCATCCAAACCATGACGACGCTGTCTTGTCCTGCGGCGTGCTGCCCCGCAGTGACGGCGACGACCGTGGTGAAGGAGAGCTGCGTGACGACGTAAGTTGAGCTTTCTCCTCTAAAGATGCATTGCTGACTTTGAGAGCTGCAGGTGTCAGCAGGGGTGTGGGGTTCGTACTTTGACTGTGACGCAATCATGTTGATTGCATCAGCCGAGTTGGTTTACCAAGGAGATCGAAATTTGATGCGTCTCTGGTATTATTGACAGATGGACCTGTGTCCTCCACCCATTTTCTAGTTGAAGCCTTGTTTCCTTAGTACCATGCTTCGCCGCTGTGTTTCTATTTCTTGAAAAAGCAATATCCATCCTGTCTTCTCCAATTGAAATCATTCTACTCCTTCGCAGCTCTTCCGTTACGCAAAGTCCGACAACGCGGCAGATCTCCCCATCAACGTCTCACGAAAGTACCAAAGACTATGTAATTGATGCCATTGAGATGAACGCATGCCCTCCTAAGCCGTAACAAGGCCATGGCGCGGAGAGGAGAACAGCTTCGCATTTGTAATTGTGATGCCAAGTCGTTCGATGCGCCTTCTGTCTCTAAATCCGTATGTAAAAGTATATGCCCCCTCGGCCACTTAATGAACAGCATTGACAGATTAAGATCATATGGTGTGACTGTGTTGAGATGGAAAATAGACTGAACACCAGCTGAAGCCACCAACACTCCATGCCTTCGACAATTCTGTCACTCTGCTCCCAACCAAGGTCAAAACTCTACACTTGCACTTTCCCATTCACACCCACCAAAATCCCACATCATTTATCCGCAAGGGGAAGGTACGGTCAGACCAACGAGCCAAATCTTCACACCAACTAACAACCGCCAGAACCCACACATCACTTTCGCAGAACCCACCTCCCAGCCATGTCGCGTACCAAACCCCACTCCACACACTGCACGCACCATCCCGTCCTCCTACGACACCAAGCCGTCTACCTCATCAGCCTGCTCATAAAACACGCCCAACAAATCCAGTTTGACATCACACGACACAATATAAACGACTGGAACAGAGTCACCGATGAATTCAACGCGAGATTCGAGGGGAAACCGTGCACCACTGGCAGTGGAGAAGCGCAGATGAAGAAAACGGTCGCGATGCTGTACTGTGCGCTTATGGAGAACGAGGAAGAGTATAAAAGACTGTTCGCTGAAGCGGAGCAAGCGTTCCGGGCGGAGAAGAGGGGGGCGAAGAAAGCGAGAGTGGGTTGAGAGGCTGTAGATAGGGAGTGGGTAGGTTGCTGGGGGAAGCGGTCGGAGGTGAGTGGTGGTGGATGTTACAGCATGCTTGTGTGACTAGGGCAGGAAGCAGAGTGGCAAGATCAGATATCTTCAAACTCAATCACTGGAATTACTGATGCTAGAAAGTGTTCCTGCATGCATTTCCATAATTGTCGCCATCTCTGCTAATAACATTCCCTCATCCTGGGCAGACAAGCAGTAAAGTAGAAGGCATTGTTGAGAAGAAGGGGATTGCAGACAAAGCCACAATTACCAGAGTTAGTATATGACCAAGTTTCTGGTCGGGCAACCCATTCAACAGGCCTGAGCTTTTCGAGTTCGCAGAGATGTAAGCGATCGTACGCGAGCAGCAGTGTGTGCTGGCAGCACATCAGTGTTGCGCAGATCTCCGTTACCAGATCAATCGAACATCAAGCCCAAGAATCAATCCTCAGCCCTTTTCTTTCAAACCACCCAGTCCGCAATCCCAATTTCCAAGTCTCAAGCTCGGTCAAAGTTAATTCAGATCTCCTCCAACAGCCCACCCAACACCAACTGAGAGGGACACAGGACTGCCTCTCTACAGCCATGGCTCCTTCAACCCCTAACCGAAAGGCACACTGCGCCGACCACCCAATTCCCTCACAGCGCGAAATCGACCGCATCATCAAGTCCGTGATAAAAGCCGCCAAACGACACAAGTTCGATGCCACCAAAGACTGGAGGAGGCGTTTTTACAAAGCGATTGGGAAAAAGGAGGACGCAGAGTTTGCTCGTCGACCTGAGCTTACATTTTGGATGGCCTGCTGTGCTATGAATTACGATGAGGGTATGGGAGTGGCATTATTGATGAGTGTGAGAAAGAGAAGATGGGAAAGCCTGAGGGGCAGAAAGAGCATAAAGTGCGTAACAAGTTGGAGGGTAATACTCCGGAGACGGATGAGAGCTCTTAAGGAAACGGAGAAAAGAATATGGTGGGACTACGAAGAAAAGGGATTTCAGGGCTAGCATCAAAGGTCACAAATGATTGTTTCCGAGCTGGTCTTTTAAAGACCCGGGTAGTCGTAGGCACTGGTCTCTTTCCGTTACTGCACTGCCACAGATCATACATAAGCAGTTGGCTATTCATGACCAGAAAGACTAAACAGAGTGGTTGATGGAGACAAACATGCTTCTTGGTGCCGGAGTTCTCGCATTGCAATTTCGAGAGCCGTATTCTCACAACCAAGACCGCTATCTGATAAGCCACTTTTGGTAACACGTTCTTCCATTTACTCACAAGACCTTGAAAGTCATGCACCTGTACTTATCCCCAAAGCAGTAGTTCCATCCCCCCACTCGTCCAAAGCCATGTCCGTCACGGTCTTCCGTGAATAAGGCAATGCTCAAGCTGCTCAGCCGTCAACGACCCATAGATCCCGGCGTTGTCTGCCCCTTCATGCGCCTCCCGGCATCGCTCACGCAAGAGGGCAATCCTGACTTTCTGGTAGTTCCCCCGCATTGCGCACTTCAGAACCGTCACTTTCCGCGGCTCGCATCTCCGAGCCATGTCATCCGCCGAAAATCTCGCGTTGAACTTATCCGCAACGTCATCCCAGTCGAGATGAGAGTAGCCTTTATAGCGCTCTCGGCCACCCTGTGCTTTTGCAACAGAGGCCAAGAGATTGACGAGGTAGTCCATCTCGACGGGCAGGAGGGCCGGCTGCTGAACACAGTGATTACGGACATATTCCCAGGGAGACTTTGCTTTGCCAACATTAGCGAAGTGGTCACAGACACGTTGTATTTGCTCTTCTGACATGCACCATGGGTTTGGCTGAGTCCCCGATCCCTGGTAGCCGTTGGAGTTACTTCCCTTGGGCGTTCCAAGCTTGATGTTTCGATGGCTATCCCTGACTTTTGGAATTGTAGCGACATTCTGGAGCGCCATCGATCGTGTTTTCGGAGCCATATCCACTTCGCGGAGGTCTGTCCTGATGTGGAAGATGGAAGTGGTATGTAAATCTGCTACGGCGAGGCAGGAATTCCTTTGAACTTAAGGACTTTTCGGAGTCAGAGTGAGCTAGCGAGAAGTGTTGAGAAGAAGGAATAAGTGTTGAGTGCTTTCCACATCACCTAAGGCTGTGATCACAAAATACACCAGAGGATACGTGCACGCATCCTTCCCCTTCCGTGAGGCTGCCGAGTGCCCTTCTTTCTCGAACAAATCTACCTGGCTACTACATTCTTCGAGATCACTGCTACCACTCGCTAGAGAAATTAGAAAACGCAAAACTAGATGTTGGAGAATGACTAACAAATGAAGATTTCTTGCACTAACGTGTTGATCTTGAAGAGGTGTTGAGCACTAGCAACACGAAGTCTTTGACGACAGACAGTTGAACACGTTGTAGTCCAGGTCCCGCAGCCAGATCATGATTGCATTTCACTCTCAAAAACCCTCGTGATCAGGTCTTCCGGCGGTACGCAAAACATCAGACTACGCAGGCCTCATGAGGCTGATATACCAAGAACACCAACCTAACTCGCCGAGCTGTTAGGGGCGCTGAGACGATCTCCAGCTGGCAGTCTACAACCGTCCTCAGTCGCCATCCATCGGCCATATCTTAAAAATGTGTTAAACGGACTGCGAAGTTTAATGCTTGCGATGTTAAAAACCTCGATCCGATTTAGTGTTTGTGGAAGAAAGTGTTAAAGAAACGAGACGTACAAATCATTGTGGATTTGACACGGTGCTTTAAGATAAATGTGTTAAATAAAAACACGACTTTCAACCTTGACATGGCTCAACCCGCGAAGGGAAATGTATTCAATATTCCAAGAGTCAATCTGATTACGAGCATAGAGGGAGATGGGATGAAAGGAAACACGAAGTTCAAAGGCGACGGTGCTCAAAACCGACTGTGTTGAGAATGTCAAGGTGATTTTGTGTCAACGAAAAAATTTGATCGGAAGGTGAAGATGCTTGAGCGCCAGAAACCAAAGATGAGGTGAAAGGAAAACTTGAAAAAAGAGTTAAAAAAGTGATTAGCGATTTTGAATGAGGTGAAAGGAAAACACGGAGTTCAAGAGTGGCGGTGCTTCAAGACCGAAAAAGCCCCGATTGGGCTTCATGCTCGACGAGAAAAGTGTTAAGGAATCCACGTGTGAGCAGAGCAACACATCTGCTCTCGGGGACCCCACCAGGCAGACTTCGACCCGCCTCAAAGAACATCTTCAAGGGTCAGACGTGGCTAAAGGGGGAACTTTGAAATTTCAAAATCCCTTGTGTTGAGTTAAAAGTGCATTCAACACCCTGATGCGGTCAATACTCAATACTTCTGCCATCTTCTCTGCCATCTTCTCAGCAAAACACTTCACCTAACACCAAGCTCTCGACACCCAATCTACCAAATCTATCTTCCAACACAACCTAAGATGTAAACAGTACACCTACACATCAACTCAATCGGCCGACTCACCTCTTCTCACGCCCCACGAGCAAGATCAAAGACAAACTTACCACAAAAAAAGGTCGACAGCAGCATCCCCCCTAAACCCCCCCGTTAGCAACAACCTCACCAAAAGCCAGAAAAAGGACACCACCCCACACCACCCATCACCCCCCCACAAGCACCAAGCCAGCAAGCACCGACCTGCGACGATGCCAGCTCGCAAAGCGCGCACACTGCGCCCTACCCCTGCTCGCACTCCGAGAACGGGACCTGCTCGTGGACGTGATACTCGACGTCGTCACACGGAACGGGTCCATATACGATAGGCACTTCGTGGCGCGGAAGTACTGGAACGAGATCAGAGCGCGGTTCGACGCGCAGGTGGCGGGGGATGTGGTGCACACGATGGGGATGCTGGAGTGCGCGTTTGACGAGAACGTCGAGGGGATCGTTTGTGCGGTTTCGGATGAGAGGGGGAGGCTTGATGGTCTGGGGTCGCAGACGTGAGGGGTGGACGGGATGAGGAGTTCGTTGAGGAGGACTGGGTAGTGTTGAGGAGAATTGGGCGTATGGACTTCCTAGGATGGCTGGGATTGCACTATTGTCAACTTCACTTGGACCTAGCTCTTATTTCAAGCTATGGTAACATTGTCTGCGCTGTGTCAAAGCTGCTTGAAAGTTTGTAATATTACACGTCATTTCCGGAACCGTCTTATACAACCCTCTTGACCTATGATTACTCACACGTCAGCCTATGTTCTTCGTTTTCTTCCAGCGCCTCGTCTCCGGCAAGATCAGTATACACATACCTCAAAGAACCTCTTCAGCCACCAGACTTGAAATATGCCCTCCCCAATCAAAACTCCCAGCTGAAATATGCTCCACCACTTGACCCTGCCGTTTGTACTTTCGGCTGTATTGCGGTGTGTTCGCTCGCGGACAACGATGTAGGATTGTTCGTCTTTGACTTGGTTTAGGAGCTCGGTGAGTTGTTTGACTGTGATTCAAGCCACCGAAGTCAGCAAAGGCTGTCTTCAAAGCCGGACCCGTCGTCCAGCCATTCCCACCAGATTGGCCTCCCCGACAGAAGCACCCAGGCTCCGGTAGACCCATGGCTATCCCCGCTTCCTTCCTCCTGCACCAGATACCACCTCCTTCACATATCTCTATACCCTGAGCCGGCGTGAAATAAGTAGAACGCACCTTCAGCCTCCAACGGATCGCTCGGCGCCTCGCTCTCGGGCACATAGACAATCCCATGCACATTGAAGCTGACCTCCTTCGTGCTCGCAGACCAAGCTTCATTGCTGAAGCAGTATAAGTGCTTGCCATCGTCCCTCGCGTCGAAAGAATAATCGCCGGAGGAGACGGCTTTTTGGTTGGCTACGTATTCGTTCGTTGGGCCGACGATCTAGACAGCACGCGGGGACGTGTCAGCACGAGCGCGCAGGAAACTACATTACACAGGCCTGTAGCAATATGATGGGAGAGAGTCCACAGAGCTTTGAAATGGCGTCGTATGTCTTTTCCTTGGACAATGCGGTCTCCGCTTCGCCGCCTAAAGCACGCGACAGGGGAGCACCCACCCAGAAGTCAATCTCCAGATTCCCCGCACCGCCAAATTCTCTGTCTCCAACCTGAAATGTGACTGTCATCTTATCATCCTTATGCAGGACCTCGTGGAAGCATTCTCGTTGATGCGCGCCCATTTGGATGTTGTGCGCGAGGGAGGTGGTGAGGAAGCCCAGGAGGGCGGCAAAGAACGGGAGGCGCATCGTCAGCGATAGAGAAGATGGAGGGGGTCTGGAGGATGTATCTGGTGTCGCGCTGGGTGTATCAATTACGTGGATAGGATGTGTATAGGTGGGAGATAAGTAAAGGGAGAGGGAAACATTTTGAAAGCTGGCATCGGCATGTCGCGGTTTCCAAAAGTTGATACGGCTATGACGCGTTGGTAAATCCATGACAAGGCCAATCTTGAGCAGCACCAGCAGATAAAGATCTGAGTAGGTCCACGTCAGCGAGCATACACATATACATTGTATTGGATACTGTCCGATGAACATTAATAATCAAAGCTCTATGCTATGGTCTATCGGGGCGCTACTTTGCTTTTTTAAGCAAAGCCAAATGCATATACGAAGGACCTAATGTAGACAATGTCTACTCCAACTTAGTAGGTACGCACGGTACGGAAAATTCATTCACGCAATATGACCGAAAAAGACCACAAAATAAATCCATCTGCAGTAGCGGCGGGCTAGACCGTGATTCCGTGGTTTCCCTCGGAAGTCTTAATCACATCAACACTATCAAACACCCACCGTCAGGCCCACCGTTGACCGCTTCAGCCAACACCCAGAACCATTCAGTCATCCATATCTCCGCCAGCATGCCACCCCTCTTCGATGCAAACGGTCAGCCGGTCAAGTTGAGCTTTTTCGACCTCTTCTTACATAGCACAACATCTCGTAGCGGCAAAGGAACCCCGGTAATTGAAAGGAAGAAGGTGAGCAAGACCCTGATCTTACATCCCACTCTGCCATTGTATCCATCATCCATTTGAAGACTTTGAATGCCTGGTCCCGAAGTGAAATATTCTCTGACTCGAGAGTAGCCCCAAAAAGCAGAGTCTCCCTCCACCGAGACCTCTCCCAAATCAACCCAGACCACCGAGTCTGGATCTGCAGAATGGACGAAAATCGAAGAGATGGGGCTTCTCGGAATGAAGGCTCTGAACAAGAGCTGGAAGGAAATTAGTGAAGTGCTGGCTGGCAAGGATGAGGACGACATTAAGAAGAAGTACAGAGAGCTGTATGTTGATGCGCCTGCAAGTATCAAACCGAAGAAGGCAGAGGCCAAGAAAAAAGAGGCAAAAAAGGAGACTGAGGACAAGAAGGAGGAGAAAAAAGAGGAGGAAAAGGAGGAGAAAAAAGAGGAGAAAAAAGAGGAGGAAAAGGAGGAGGAGAAAGAGGAGAAAAAGGATGAGGCGAAAGAGGAGAAAAAGGATGAGGCGAAAAATGACGAAGCAAAGGCCGGAGACGAACGCAAGAAGATAACCGAAGGTGGCAAGAAAGGTGGTAAAGAGGGAAAGCAGGGCAAGAAGGGTCAGAGGGGTCAGAAGGGCCAGCAGGGCAAAGAGAAAGCCGAAGAGGCAAAGCCGGAAGAGGTAAAAGTGGAAGAAGTCAAACCCGAGGAGAACGACGGGATCTTGAAGGCGAAGGTGACGGCAGGAGAAAAGGGTAAGGGGGGAGAGCTGAAGTCGATCAATGGGCATCCGGTCATTTTCGTGGACGACGATGAAGAGCTGGAGTTCGAAGAGGTGAGCATGAGAGTGAAACAGCCTTCGGTGGGGTTGAGGCTAATGTTTGCGATAGCTGCTGTATCTCTATGGCCTCAACGCGCGCTTTGATGAGCAAAAGTGGATCACGGTGGACTCGAAATTCTTCGACAGGTTTGGAAAAAGGGTCGGAGCTGAGAAGTTGAAGGAGAAGCTGGCGGGTAGTTGGTAGAGGCTTGGACCATGAATTGCTTTGTTTGCTGGTCGCGCAGCCATCAACAACATGCGGTGACAGGTTGATTTCTCACGATCACAATGATAGCTTACTTACTGGTCTACTATCACGTTTCAAGTCACAGCACATCTGCTAAGATACCCCTTTCTTACCAAACACCGGCCGCAGACCCTATGATAGCTCACCATGTCGGACAGAACAGCGGACCAGGTAATCCGTATTGAGGACTCACAAGAGCACAGTCAGCAAGTGATTATGATACCTGGCACGGATGAACAGACCAGTGGGTCTTCAGACAGCGAGGAATTTATTCAGGAGTCCAACACCGAAGAAGCGATCATCATGAGCCCGGAGAGCGAGGAAAAGATGCACGGCGCAGGCCGCGACGAGAAAGTTGTCATGATTCCAGACGGTGAGGAAGAGGTGGACAGTATACGAGAGGCCATCGTTGACTTCGGTAGAGACTCAGAAGGCAGAGTGTCTACATCTAGCCCCGAAAGCACGATGGCTGATTACATCCTCAAGACGTCCCAACTCCAAAGCCCACTCCATCTTCGACTACCCTTGGCTCGGCCCACCTACCAACAATGTATGGCGCCCATGGGAAGACCAGTCCCGAATCAATTCAACCCTCGGAGGCATTCCCCATGCAGTGACAGCCGCCTACCTCGGCGAGCGGCAAGTCAAAAGAAGCAAGACAGACTGCCGCCATCGGGTCAGGCTCCACACTGATCGCGCAGCTGGAGGTAAGATACTTCCAACATGCTGGACAGGTCATGGAAGAAAGATCAGCCTGAAGGATCTTGGAGGTGATGAGTGGGACGAGTTGGCGTTATTCAGATGGAATCAACGTGGTTTGAGCCCACGAGTGTTCTGTGATGAGAGGACTTCGTGGGGGTTGGAGGATTGTCTGAAGCAGATGGGTGCATTCGATCGAGACGTGCTCAAGTTTGCTGTTGAGAGGATCATGAAGAAGAGGGTTCAGCGGAAGAGGGAAGCGAAGGCGAGGATGAGGATGAGGCACAGTCAAGGTAGGGGCTCATTCCCTCTGTTGCTACGCCCGAGCATGATACTAATAGATCCAAGCGCATTCGGACGGCTCTACTCCCCTACTGTGATCGAAGAGTGTCGCGCACTGAAGGGGACATGGTAGTCCATAAGCGCCATTGGGAATGCACCACTGTCCCATGAAAGTTGAAGCCGACGTTCCCTTTCTCTGTTGGTCTAGGCTGGTACATAAGCGATGCTGGGGATCCTTCACCGCTCCTTTCTCCGGTAGCGAAACGGTGAGTCCTAGACATGAACTCTGCGTTAGCTAGATGAAAGTCAAACATATTGTGCCGTGATCTAATATAGGGAATTGATGATAGAGGCTGGGTGATGAGTTGTCAATATGGCAAAGTCGTAGAGTCAAGGCTCAGAGAAGATGATAAAAGTTGGCAAAAGGGATGTCGTTGGGGAAGAGAGACCACTGGCTAGGTTGTGGCCAGCGCCTAATCGTGCTACGGCACCTACCTTACCTTACTTTTAGCTCCTGGCTCGCTAAATTTCTTTAAGCCGCTAAGCGTACCAGGGAAAGCTGAGAAAGCCGTCACAGAAAGAAGGCCCGCGATTCGCTACCAAGGAAACTTGGTCCACAAGGCCTAACTCTATGCCCTATGGATTGACGCTTGCTTCAACTTGACATCCTACATCCTTCACATCCCGAATGACAGCAGACGATGAATCTCAATCCAATACTCTTCTTCAGGCATCGCTGCCGCACTTGGGCCCCTTTGTCCCCTAGCATTGGGCTCCGTCCCTTTGCCCTGGGAAACCTGCGGCAGGGATCTACCGGCTGCGAAATGAACGCTCCGTTTGACACGTATGCAAGCACCACAAGCTTCATGCAGGACCAACTCAATCGCTATCCCGCTACACCACTATGACCAGCATGAGCGCCTGCATAGATACCGTACAATGTTCAATCTCATGCGCATTGCATCGTTAGCAGTCCTGTTCCTTCCTTTTCCTTTGTCTTGTCCTTTTCCATTGCTCTTCAAGCTTCCTGTCGCTCATTGACCCATTTTCCCACTCCAAACGCTGCGAACTTCCAGATCCTGCAAAAGGCGGTCACCAAAGTCAATCGCGGCACGACGGCTCTGTCCGTCCTTCCATTGATGATCTCCGACTAGGGATCGCGAGACAAACGAGGCGCAATTGACCGCACAAAGATTTTTCTTCCTCGAGGAATCCAAGTCTCCAGACACCTCTTCCTCGACCAATTGAAGGCTCAATGCCTCTTCCCTTACCGACCTGTACAGCAACCATCATTGTGCGCGATGACGAGCTCCACGGCCAGTGTATGATAAGGAATTGAGGCCTGTGCTAAACTTCTTTTGTTGTGTTCTTGTAGGTCACCGCTCACCCCGAACGGTGCGTCCGCAGCTAACCTGGAAGTAGTGTGACATTTTAAAAGTAATTGCGCCGTTAATTAAAGCCCTCACACACTCCGCCGACTGTACAAAATAATCTGCAATCTGGGCAAGGGAAGGGAATACACATGCCAATCAGAGCTCTAGGAACATATAATTTCCTCATCTCGGAACATTCGCCAATCACTTAAGCAGAGCGGCTTGGTCGCCGCGAATCATACAAGTGAACATCCCTTCGAGCACGTGATAGGCGATACTTGGGGACGCTTCACCAGGGTTATATTCACTGCATTAACCCATAACGGAAATGATGAAGGACTTTGGCCAAGCACACATCTCAACAAACCTGGACATATCCTACCCAAGCCATCCATACGTCGAAAGCAAAAGAAGTGAGAAGATCTTCAATATTAGGGCACGTGGCAGAAGGTGAGCTTGCGTTGGTCGCGTGCTACCTGAATTCACATTCAAAGCTCATTCACTCTTGATACCCTATTGCGGTTGCAATAATCACTCTCGGCCGCAATTGGGTAACACAACACTGGGGGCAATTGCGGTGTCGCCAAACGAGTTCCCATCGCACTATTGCTGCTACGGTCCTTGCCATGAGCTCAAGCTGACCTAGTGACGCTCTTGCAGAACCCTCACATCCTCAGCTCCCACACGTTGATGGCCTCTTCGGAGGTCGATCAGAAGTTCCTAGGCAGGTTCGCCAAAGCTACCGACAGAAGCTACCCATACCTCTCTAGCAAGCTCTACAAAGTCCTGGGCCTCTCAGTCATCCTTTCCAAGAAGCTGGTCCGCGCCCGCCGACTTCGCCGACTGGATACCACCCGCGATACCAAGTCTCTACAACTCTATCATCACATCATCTTCCTCTCCCGCGAAGGTCTCTACATAATCGAAGAATATGTCCTACCGATGGTCGAAAATACCCGCACTCATGCATTAAAAGTGCTCTGCCACAAGCTTCGCGCTAGCTTCTATCACATCTACGTCCTCTTCCATAACGAGCCATCCATCACTCAGACCGCTATACCCAGCTACACCCCAAGCGCTGCGGAAAAAGGCAAAGCACCAGTCTACCGAAACTCAATGCGCCCCTCTCCTCCTCCCTTAGAAGGTGGACCCGTCCAGAACATCGGATCCCTCCCGCCCGGCCTCACCCCGGTCTCCATACCCAAACCTTCCGCTTCCTTCCTCTTGCCCGCGCTGAATTACATTCCACGGGCGTCCGAATGCTTCGAATACGCCTGCAAGCTCGCCAATACCAATCTCTCCGGCTCCCATCCGGTCCGTCTCTCAGTGAAGACGGAATACGCAGCCTATCTTTACGATTGCCTTCACGACGGTGAGGGAAGCAGAAGATTAGCGCAAGTAGCGATCAAGGACGTATACAACGCGCAAGAGGGCATGGACGATGACATGTTCGAGGACGCGGCGGAATTGGTGGGTATACTGGGGAAGATGATGAAGAGGGGGCTTGGAGCTGGGAGCCAGGGCAGTGGAAGTACTCCAAGGGCGGGCAACGAAAGTACCCCTAGCAGCACACCAAGACCTGGCAAGGTTGATAAGTTCGAGAAGGAGCTACCAGACCTGCCGAGCCCACAACAGGAGGAGATTGCAGGAGTCTGCGCATGATCTGAAGGCCGAGACCATCGCCTCCTTCAGACTTCTGGTGCGGGAAACACTCACGTAGGGCGTTCAGGCTGAGAGGGGCTTGTGCATTATTCTTATTCTACACTGTCCTGGTTATGGGCGGACAGCTTGATACCCTTGTCTTTGAGAGCGATTAGATAGACCAATTGCGTTGGACTACCAGTTATCTTCCTCAGTAACATCTAGTAACATTCCCGGCGCGTTGTCAGTAGCGGATGGATTGTAATCCGTGTGAGCATCCTACCTGTTGGCGGCTCCTCGGCTCGCTCACCCTTCAGCGATCCCTCCCCCATCTCCATCTTCGTAACAATCCTTCCCCCACCCCGCCCCAACACAGCTGGTAAAACATGGCCCTCCCCATCTTCACCCACCGGTATCGCACAGACGACGCGATACGTAGGCGGAAGAGACCAAACATCCCATCGAAGCAGCAAGCCCACACCCCACCCTGAGAGCCCTCACCCCACGTCTCCACAACGCGCCCCCAACCCTCCACAACCACAACACCAATCCATCTTCCCATCGTCTCGGCAGCCGCCTCTTCATCCCCAAACCAGCTCCCTCCTGCCAGCAGCCCTGCATCAAGAACCGCAGTCCCCAATGCCGACTCCACAGACCCCAACCGTATGCGCGCCGAATCCCACCCCGCATCCTCCATCCCCATCTCTCAAACCCTCCGAAACCACCAACCAACCAACCAACCAAAATAGGCCCATGCCACTCCGCCGCAACCCCCGCCTCCGCAAAACATACCAATACCATACAAAACCCCACCCCAAATCCTCAACCGCCCCATCGCCACCCACGCACCCAGCCTGCAGCAGGACGCATCATCAGATCTCAGCCTTCACAGTGATCAAAGCGCGCGCCGCCGCCGCGAGCGCATACAGTGCCGCAGCGGGTGCCAGTGCTACAAAGACGACGGTGGTCAAGAGTCGGGAAGTCGGCGACTGCGACGGAATTCGCACCACATGGTGTCTCGATCCATCACCCGGATACTGTGCCAGCTATTGTGCCATTGTTTCTGAAGTCTCCCGTTTTTACGCGAAGATGTCTCCTCTTGACTCTTGTTCGGCGCTGGCTGAGTTGGTGGCAAGTTCGGCGAGCTGGGACGGTCGGTGATGGGTGGGTTGATGGGGTGGGTGGGGTTTTAATCTAGGCTTGGTGGGGGGATGGGGTTCTTGTTGGGGGGAGCGGATTGAGGGGAATTTGTTGGATGTGTGGAAGGGGGGGTTGAGCGAGGAGGTGGTGGGGATGGTGAGGGGGGAGGCGTTGTAGGTCTGAGTTTTATCTGATGGAAGCATTTCCCTATGTCTCTGATGGCAAGATCATATTGGACTTCAGCATTGCCTCCAAGAAAGCTTCGACGAGAAGCTGGAATGTCAACAGTGACTACAATTCTGCGATCCTCTCCCTTTCCTTCCCGCACCTCAATCCTTCCACCCCCTCCTCCTCCCAATCTCCCGGACCACATACACCAGCCCCAAAAGCACCGGCACCTCGATCAACGGCCCCACCGTACTCGCGAGCGCCTGGTCGCTATCGGCCCCAAACGTCGCCACCGCCACCGCGATCGCCAGTTCGAAATTGTTGCTCGCGGCCGTGAAACTCTGCGTCGCCGACACCCTGTACCCGAAGCCCAGCCTGTGCATCACGAGCAGGGTGAAGAAGAACACGACGCCGAAATACACCACCAGCGGCGCGGCGACGCGGACCACGGAGACGATCTGGTGCACGACGCGATGGCCCTGGGACGCGAAGAGCACGAGGATGGTAAAGAGGAGACCGATCAGGGACCACGGGTTCAGATACTTCAGAAAGGTCCCATCGAACCAGTCCGGGCTGGCTCGCCTCCGGAGCGCCAACCTCGTCACGACGGCCGCGCCGAGCGGGATGCCCAGGAAGACGGCCACGCTCGTCGCGACCGTCGCGTACGACACCTTCTTCGCCTCGCCCGCCCCCCCGACGACGTCGACGAACAGCACGGCCAGCGGCGCATACAGCACCATCTGCAGCAGGGAATTGAGCGCCACGAGCAGGGCGCAGAACTCGGTGTCGCCGCCCGCGAGGCCCGTCCAGACGAGCACCATGGCGATGCAGCGCGCGAGCCCCACGAGCACCAGCCCCTGCCGCAGCCCCTGCTTGTCGGGCAGGAACGCCCACGCGAGCGCGAGCATGAGGAAGGGGGCGAGGATCCAGTTCAGGAGGACGGACACGGCGATCTGGGTCCAGATGGACCTGTCGGCGAAGGCGAGGTGGAGGGATTCGAAGCGCACTTTGCAGAGGATGGGGTACATCATGGCGAGGAGGCCGAGGGCGATGGGGAGGGAGACGCCGGCGAAGCTGCCCTTTTGGAGGGCGGGGCCCGTGCTGGGGACGAAGGTGCCGAGGAGGATGCCGGTGGTCATGGCGAGGAGGATCCAGAGGGCGAGGAAGCGGTCGAGGAGGCCGAGGGAGCGGAAGGCGGAGAGTTTGGGGGCGGTGGGCGCTGGTGGTTGGGGGGGTTGTTTTTCGAGGTCTGGGGGGGGGAGGTCGGGGTCGGCGGTGGGGAGGATGGGGATGGGGTGGGTGGTGCTGGTTGTGGTGTTGTTTTCCATCTTGGTCGAGCCGAGGCCTGTGGATTTCTGATCTTTGATGTTTTGCCTGAGGGCTTATATATTGCAGGAAAAGATCGCTCGGGTCAATATGTTGTCTGCGACCACGATTGAGGTAGCTAAGGATGGGAGTTGACGGTGAAATTTTCACAGACGTTTCTGGCTTTGACTGCAGTAAGCGGAAAGATGTATGTTAGCAATGAAATGTGTTTGATATATAAGAAGTAGAAAAGCATGTCATCTAAGCAGAATGTTTTAGACTGTGACATGCTTAGACATGGTGATTGGACGGCGTCAGAAAGAATGTATGATGCTGGTGGGTTCGCACCCAAACGCGGGAAACTGGTGGCAGCCAATCAGGTACAGGCAGTGACATATTCTTCGCTTAGTCATTACCCCACAAACTTTCTAGTCCGATGCGTCAAATCGAGCATAGGGATCTTGAGCGCGTATAAAACGGATGTTTCCCAGCAGCGTCATTTCCTTTTCATTGCTGCAAGGTGTGCATACTTGTAGAGCAAGTTTGTGAGGGAGTCCTTAATTTTCGAACACGAGGATGTCTGGCACCGCTGAGCTTGTCAATGACTCTTCGGAGCCAAAGATCCACGAGACACAGGCTATTGCGTTGCCATTGAGTGATTCAGACTTGGCGGTCGACCTTCCACCAGATGGTGGATATGGCTGGGTCTGCGTCGCGTCCGTCTTCATCATCAATGGCTTCACTTGGGGTGTTACTGCTGTAAGATCTCCTTTCAAAACCTTCTTGCCATCCTCTCCAAAATCGGGAGCATCAGATCGTGGCACATCTAAAATTGGGCGAATACACAGTCATACGGCGTCTACCTCGCCCATTACCTGTCCGCCAACATCTACCCAGACGCATCCAGCATCGACTTCGCTTTCATCGGCGGTCTCAATTTCTCCATGGCTATGCTTGTAGCTCCTGTCGTCACGATCCTTGCGAGGAGGTTCGGGACGCAGACACCCATGCTATTTGGAGCGGTGCTGCTAGCGGCCGGTTATATCTCTGCGTCCTTTGCTCATCGTATCTGGGAGCTTTTTCTTTCTCAAGGCGTGCTCGTCGGCTTTGGCGTTGGATTCGTATCCATCCCAAGTATTGCGATTCTATCGCAATGGTTTGAGAAGAAGCGCAGCCTAGCGAGCGGCATCGCTTCAGCTGGCTCAGGCATAGGAGGCCTGATTTTTTCATTCGCAACACAGGCTATGATCGAGAACATCTCTTTGGCATGGTCCCTCCGCATCACGGGGATCATCGCTGGCATGATGAACGTGGTAGCTGCGTTGATGATTCGAAATCGCAACAAGGCTATCAAGCCTCCCCAGCGTGGATTCGATACGAAGTTGCTGCGTAGGTACGATGTGTTCCTGTTGCTTTCCTGGGCATTCGTCAGCATGCTCGGCTATGTCACTATCCTGTTCTCGCTTTCGGATTTCGCACGCTCGATTGGGCTTTCAGCCAGCAAGGCAGCTGCTGTATCTGCGTTCCTCAACTTAGGCACTGCGGTTGGACGGCCGTTGGTTGGAGTAGCCAGCGATTACTTTGGTCGCATGGAGACAGCTGGAGTGCTGACGCTGATTTGCGGTTTCACGTGCTTCGCTATCTGGCTGCCTGCAACATCGTACGGGGTGACTATACTCTTCGTCATTGTTAGCGGAGCCTTCTTTGGCGTCTTTTGGATGACCATCGGACCCATCTGCGTCGAAGTTGCTGGTTTAGTGGAACTGGCTTCTTTGCTCTCTCTATCATGGATGTCGGTCGTATTACCCACGACTTTCGCAGAAGTCATCGCACTTGAGCTTCGTCGTCCCGGGTCCAGGCGTGATTATCTCTATCCTCAGATCTTTGCTGGTTTGGCGTATATTGTGGCCAGTGGGTGTATGTATGAGCTGCGACGGTTCAAGCAGAAGCAGAAGTGGCGGGAAGCCTGCACGTGATAGCGTGTTCGTTTCGCGTAAATAGATTCCCGAGCAATATTTCGCCATCTGTTAATCCTCTGCCACTCTTCCAACCTCTGCGTCACACTCGCAACGCGTGCTGAATCACTGCCTTGCAACAAGTACATATGTGAATAACCGCAGCAATGCCGGACGCTCCGAGAGAGATAAAAGCAAACGTGCCTTTCAAAGATTTGAACGCGGATGAACCCAAAATGCTCCACACAACCTTCGATGTACGATGAATAGTGGTGGCACGTTCGCGACTTCTGGTATATATGCCGAAGCACCCTTGCCCGGGTTGTCGTTGACCCGATTTGGAGAAATACCTCTACCTCTCACAGAACGCGACACCTGCGCCATCATCAAAAAGCAAGCACAATGTTTTCTCCAACAGGGCGATAAAGTTCATATGCTATGCCGAATACATTGTTTTGCCAGGGCAACGGCTGTTTTTGCTACGAGAACGAAAGATCGACAGGGAACCACAATGATTGTGGATGAGAAATGGTTGATGATCAAACGCAAAAGGATAGAGAAGCGAGACTAAGCTGGGTTTGTTATACCCAAGAGATATGTCGCAAAGCTAGGCCGTTGTACGTCATGGTTGGCATACTTTACTTGGAGCAACGTGATTTACGGACGTCCTGTAGGATTGAGAAAATAATGTTTGATTCCAAGGATTGAAGTTGTACGAGATTGAAAGCGACGACTGTTCCGGTGCCTTGACGTTAAACCTCAAAATCTCAGCCAGGCCAGTGCTATAATTTGTACACTTCCAGCTTTTCACTGGGCTTCTTCTCCGACGTAGTATAAAAGTTGCTGGCCTGATCCCAGAGCTACAAGGCGAAGGGCTGTCGGAAGACTAGCGCCTTTCTCGACCACAAAACCAGCGACAGGAGCTCATAGAGGTTAATGGGTCGGTTTATCATCGGTTGTCAACTTGGTTACAGCGGCTGCACATCCTGTTGTGTTTCTGATCGTCCTGCATTTCTGCACACGAAGTGATGTGCAGGCATTCGGCGCAAGGATGGACTTGGCTTGAATTCGAAGGACCTTTGCAATGGCAGATCCTGATGAGCGCTTCACCCTCTGCGATAGCGGCGTTGACGGCGTCGGCTGTCGTATCCAGGGTTTCCAAGCTTCGAGCATGTTCTCAGACGACATCGATATCTGTATGATGGCATTGAATACCGGCAATACGTGGACTTGATTGGTAGGTTTGGCGCTGACACTGGGTAAGAAACCTAAAGTGTCATGCTCAATGGAGCCCTTTTTACCCTTGGCGGCACCAGCGGGGTTCTCCACAGCCTGAAAAGTCGTGGTACCGCTCTCAACGATAAGTAGGTACAAGCGCTCCTGGTGTCAAAGACCTCGTCGTACATCTACGCCCAGGAAACTTCTGCAAGGCAATGATCGCACACATCCAGTATAAATGGGATAGGGGGTCTTTCTCTTCGAAGACAAAGGGCTTATCCTCAGCTGATCGAGGGTCTCCGCCTTATGTTTCTCCTACCTTTAGTTGCCAGTCTCGCTGCCACGATCATCAGATTGGTCCGTTCGCGCCGACTCCGCGCTCGCGGAAGAAGACCCGCATCCTCCGTCCAATAGGCACGCTTGCGCAGGGTCTGGGCGCTCGTGAGCTCGGCCACGCCTGCTTCTTCCACGATAGCCTTTGCATCCGCCTGGCATTCCGTCCACGTGGGTATATGATTATTCCGGCGGCTAGAAGTGCGATTTCGAGAGGATACTGAGGCAATGGTGAGGATATTCCAAGTGGGTAGTCCTCCGATTTCATTATGGGTCAATGCTCCCAATATGCCGCCCACAATTTCTGGACTATTAGTCGGACTGTTTATGGACTACTTTATAGTGGACTGGTCTATGGGTGGACGGACTATATATGGATCAGTCCAGATGTCTGGACGGACTAGTTCCACTATTAGTCCAGATATAAATTTGTGTAGGTGAATTTGGTTTTTAGTAGTAATAGGCTTATAATTTCAGATCAAAGAGCTAGTCTTGAGACCGAGATTATAAAGCTATTGAAGTGTCTGAATTTATGGTTTTAGTTGGGTCTCTTTACGGAGGAAGATCTATATGCTGTTGTCGGTACTTTGGGGGAAGATGCTTTGGAAGCCACGGCGAAGTAGTCAGATCAGTCTATGGACTATTTAAAACTACTGGGACGGTCAAGCATTTGGACGGATTGTGGACTGTGTAGACTTTTTGCGCTCGATCGAAGGCTAGTCCCACAGATTAAACCCAGCTCTCACAAGGCCTTCGACTTCCGATTCAATAGTCAGGTCGCGCTCGGCTGCGCCGCCAACGGAGGGAGATCCATACCAGCAGCGGAGATTCATCAAGAAGAACTTGATGCGAACGCCGAGGCACTCTGCGTGTGGAAACGGTGAGCGTGCTTTTTGATTTTTAGATCTCGAAAGGGTCACCTACCATCGTGCCAACTCAGCTATTTGGATGAAGTGTATTTGGTCCCACAAGGAACCCTTCGAGCCTTTTAAGTCACAACGCATGATGAATCCCTTTCGAACTCTTTCCGTTCCCGGTTCGTCATGTCTAGCCAGTACATCCACAGTTTCAGACCCTCGATCACCGTGACAAAGATTCCCACTCCTTGGCGGTCGTGATGTGTCACCGACATAACGTCGCTTTGACCGGGTGCATCAACATTATGACAACCACTACCGTCTGTGTCGGACTGTGCATGTATACAAGTGTGCTAGTGGTGTTTTGAGCGCGTAAGAGTGCTGCGTCTCGTGTTTGAAGGATGCCGAACCTTACCTTCGCTGAGCAAAGAGAGCACAACTACCCTTTTCCGGGATCCGCTGCCTGTTTAACTTTGAAAAGAGCCATCACGATGGTGAAATGCTGGTCAGTGTGGGCCGCATTTTTGGCTGAGAGTTGATCCCATTTTTCTTTTCACGGCTCTCCGACTGATACCTGTAGTTCTGCCGTATCTTTTCTCACCCATGCTTTTCCAAGGAAAATACAGTCCTCACCAAAAACCTCGGCAAGATGTTGGCTCTCCGATGCATCATGCACACTGGAGTTTTGATACTTAGACGGCATAGCATGAGTATCTTCACTGGCTCGATTAAGCTCTTTGGTCTCCTTCAATGTATACATCATCTCTGGCGAAGCTTTCCTCTTTAGCTCTGGATCTTGATTTCTATCTCGTGTTTCTGTGAAGAATGATACTGATGATGAAGGACATATGGTCAGTTCATGAACCCAATTTTCTGTGACCGGAGACGTTGATGATGATGAGTGATGAAGTGGAGGGGGGTTGACTACGAGCAAAAAGTCCAATACAGAAATAGAAGAAGAATCGCGTGCTTGATCCGTGAAGTTTCCGGGTGGAACGGATTGATAGAAGCAAATTTCTACTGATGAGAAACGTGTTTTGAGGCCACTGATCCGTGTCTAGAAGTTATTAGTATGTGTTGAAGTCATTGATAAGAACCTATACTGACTTTGTGATTTTCAGATTGTTCCTCCACCCGCCTTCGAAGTACTTATTGTTGTACTTGCGAAAAGCGGCAGAGCTGGCATGGCAGCTGTGGGTACATAAGTCACATCCACTGAGCTTGATGTTCTTAGTCGCCTTCGAAACTTTAACTCCTGTGTAGTAGACTCCAATACTCTCTCTCTCCTCGTACCTCCGTAAAAGCTTCGCGAACCTGTTGTCTCCACTCTTCCAGATTGGGCAACTCAAAAGCTCTTCTGGAGGTAGCAGAGGTATTTCGGGTAGCTGTAGGGTTGACACATGAGTAAGCCCGGGTAGAGATCAAGTATAAAAACACATCACAACGTGCAGCTGTCCGAACGCGCCTCTCAGGGAAAACGCCACCGTTAAAGAGCAGCCATTTTTTCGTTCATACGAAATTTGGCAATGTTAGAGGCGAATCTCCGGGCCGGAGATTCCGTGCAAGCCAATCCTTTAGAATGTGAGCCAAAACATTGGCCCGTACTTGGCTCGTCATCAGGTAGGTTCAGGCGATCGGTTGCCGTCATGATGGCCCCGATGTCCCGTTGTATCAGCGGAAGATGGTGGGCGAAATTGGACCATAGAGAGAAATTCTTTCACGCTTTTTGGTCCGTGCCGGACTAGGAAGTGAAACATCAGCAAGGAGCAGTGATTTCATTGGGGAAGGCTAAGGGCTTTTCAAGAAGCGCCTGCTCAATCAGAGGTTTTTGAAGCGATTGATAAGAGACCAGCAGGTTAGCTCATCGTCTAGAGCGCCCTGAGCACAGGACAATGATTTTTCTCCGTAGTAAAGACGTCCATCTTCTCGGGGACCTTGATGGCGGTAGTTAATCCAGAACCCGCTATGGTATTGCTAGTATATTAGGAACTTATTTGAGAGGTTGATTGTAGAAATGGATTAACAAACTGAGGAGAGAATCCAACATTTTAGGAACCGAGCGCTTTTAAGACTTTCCGATTGATGAATCCAGCCCGAAATCATTTCCATGAGTTCTCAAGAGGTAGATGAAGGACTTCTCGTTAATCTTTTCTGGATGTACTAAGAATTGCTCGCGCACATATTACAGAAAAAGGTTGAAGATTCGTAAACATTGATGTTGAACATACTCGCAGACTTGCGTGATCGGAGAAGACCCCATCACCTTGGGCATCAAAGATAAGCCTGAGATTAATTCGAATATGTATGACGGGTAGTGAGGTCTGTACTTGATGATGACTGATGGTATTCAGTTGATGGATGTGATCGCAAGGAGAGACGAGGAAATGAGGTCCGAACCAGAGTTGAAGCTGCCATCTGCTTCCCGGTTTGCGAATCTGTCTCGAGTTCGAAATTATTTTGTTCCTCAATCCAGTCGAAATCTGGTAGTCCGCCTGGACCGTGACTGATATGCCAGTGGGCCCCGTCAGCGTTTTCGTAGATCGTTCGCTGAAAGCTGTGGAGATCGACGTGGTCAAAGGCGGTACCAGATTTCGCTTGTATTGCTTCCCTGGAATACTCGGAGTCCTGGTCCGTGCTTAGGACAACGGCAGGCGGTGCCTTGTGCCGTAGCTCCAGATAGTTGTTGGGGTCCGAAAACGAAAAATCCTTGTTTCCGTTCCACAGGCCAACGTTACTCAAAGATAAACTCCGGCTGAGATGTCCGATTGCATTCGGATTTGTAAATTGGTGACCGTGGTGATAGCGTCTCCAGTGCTTGCCATGCAGTCCTGGCGTTATCCCCATTACCTCAATGATTGAGAGCCAGCTGAGACCACTGGATTTAGTCTTTGCATCATCTTCCCTATCGAGAGCTAGGAGAATGGTCTTCGCAGGGAGGTCGGGCATTGGATTTTGTACCAACAGTTCCATCTCGTACCAACACGGAGCTAGCACAAGGCATCTGTTACCTCACCAGCTTGCTCGCGCGTCTGACACACGCAAGGACGTTGATGAATGTTGAGATCAACCCTATGTCAAGGGACTTTTGAACATGAGGATCGGTTGGGTCAGATTTGTTTCCCAATAATTCTCTTGCCACATACTTGATGTGCGCTTCCGATGTAGAATAGGCGTGGCTGTCACCTTGAGTTCGTATTTATCCTTTGCAATTGAAATATCAGCAACGTCCGAAAGCTTGCTGCTCAATACTCATGAATACGAACCTTGGGAATTCAAACATCATCTTCTGACCCAAATGCTTGATCCTGACCTTATCGTTCGCTACTGGCTCACTTTGTCGGCCTGCTCCTTCCAGACAAATTTTCAACAGCTCAGTGGGCTTCACTACAGTGGATCCACAAAAACTTGCGCATTCAGCGTGAATCGACGTGTAACGCGAAGTCGATCATGTATGTCGTAGTATTGTAGGTCCTCTCATCTCTGATCGTTGTCTGCTCTTACCCAGCCTAGGAAAAGCTTGACAAGGTAGTCATCAGTACCTAAAGAGACCACGTAGGCAGCCATTTTTGAGATCAGTCCTATGTATATAGAAGGTAAGGTTTTGCATTCGTGAAGTGTAAGACATTCGACAGAGGCTGTGTTCCGGATTACCACTGACGGAAAACAATCGAGGATACTGGTATCGTGAGAAACCATGCGCAAGAGCGAGGCAAGTAGATAGAATGTAGAATGTAGAGGATGTCTAGGAGAGTCACTGTTGCAGGTGAGCTGTCGCCAGTGAATGAAGCCTTTCCATTCTTCTGGAACGAACGAGGTCCTGTGAATAATCCTTTCTGCTGATCAAGAGCCTCGTAACCCAGCCTCTGTTCACCAAGAGAAGAGAAGACTCGAATTATCTGCTTTGATTGATCCTCTACCAAGTGATCTAAAATTGTTGTTGGTGATTCTTGAGGGACATGAGAATGACCAAGGCAGAAATATGAATGGTGGTGCGGAACTTCTTGCCGTCACTCTTGATGCTTGTGGATCTTGGTATGACGATAAGAAGAAAGAAGGTTGGGCTGTGTCGGGACTCAAATGCTCGACTGAGCTGAAGTATAAATCTGCAAGCTTTAGAGGTTTGAGAACGAATATTTGGTATGTGAACTACATCAAACAGAGTACCCCCGAACGTAGGTTTTGGGCTATGTGCAGCCACCTTGGGTTAAACATTAATAGTCAAGGAGCCATAGATACCAAGTGTCCGCTTCAAAGCCCTCACTATGCCTCGCATCTGCAGAAGTGTTGAAAGGTCTCAGAGAACGCTTGTGATAGGTGTAGAATTCGGAGAGGGACACGTGGGATATCAGGGAATAGATGACTGCTAGGGATATCGGGTAGGTAGCTCAGAGGCATAGATGAAGCGGAGAAATTTGACACAGATTTCCCATTCTGTAGCGCTGGCTCCTCGTGATAGACCTCGTGCTGAAGTTGAACCCTGGAAGCTTTGACGAAAGAAATTTTGCCCGTGTCACTGTGACCGCGATAGAAAATCTGAATATGGCAGGAGAGATTCATGGATAGGACTTCTTCGGGTCATCATCAAGGCAGTCCAAAAGAAATGGCAGAGCGTCTGATCAGGGTAATTCACTGAATGAGCCTGAACTCAAAGCAGCTCTTCTGCTTTACGAACAACTTCGTGTTACTGGACCGCAGCATCCTTGAAGGGCAAGGGCTGCTGACGCCTGGCATGAGGCTTGAGTGGATGTTCAGGTTGCAGTCGATGAGTCATGAAAGATCGTGACGACCCATAGCCTACATTGGTTCGAACTCGCTGCTTCCTCGCAACAGCTAGCGATGAGATCAAGCACCACCCTTTCTTCCACCAAAGCAATGAAGGAAAGGATGTGGCACGAGCATATGGACGTCCAAGCCAACACTCTCCGCAGGTATCAATCCTGCGTTGACATTTGTGGGCTCCTCTAGATAAGGTTCCTTCAGTGAGAGCGAGGTCACTTTGTGCTCGAGGCTGTTTTCTCAAAGAGCGATCAGTACCGGTCTCACACAAGTTTTGGCAGGATCAGTGCCCTATAACTTGTCGCTACTTTTAAGCGCTGCCATCATCCCATCTGCATGAGCTTCCAGAGGTACCGACACATGAGAATTGCAAACTTGCCGTCCAGATCGCAAAGGCATGTAAAATGCTTGATCGAGGTTGTTTCTCGGTAGGGGCAAATAAGGTGCACGCGATTCTTGTTTCGACATGATTATTCGAAGAGCGTGTAGACATTGATGAGATGAAAGATTTTAGGGGCAGAGACCAGACATCAATGGTGACACGACGTACGAGTACGTAGATTACTCAGTGAACGGTTCTTTTTTGGTAATGTAAAGGCCTGGTGAGGTGTTACCACACAGCAGCGCGCTAACTTTGTTGAAGTGCATCAGGGGCGTCTTAAAGCACACAGCTTTGCCGAAATCCACGTTCACCAATGTCAGGTATGCTACGTCTTTGCGAGAAGTCTTTCGCTAGCTGAAAACTGATGCGGGAAAGATCTGTGTCACGCTGTTGACTCGGTCAATTTGGTTGGGGGTTTATTGAGTAGACCAAGTGTTGCGCAGGATAAGCTTCTACAATCTGCTCAAAATCCGCAAACCCAAACCGGTGAATTGAACTGCTTCCTTCATTAAACTGTGATACCGCCCGCCGATATACGCCTATCTCGTTTGTACAGAACTCTAGCCTTCGGATGCGATCAGATTTCCATGGTTATCGTGCGCCATTCGTAGTTCAGGAAGTCTATCAGACTAGCGTCACAACAATTCATTCGATGTCCTGAAGGTGTGCGCAAGAAGTCTTCGGCCTTAACATCCAAATGATTTCGAAGGAAAACGGATCGGAGGGCATAATGTCGTTGTTCGATCTGAACGCGGACACTCAGCAGAGCAGAGTTTCTCACACATCTAGATGGCCACGAGCATGGCGCCCATACGCGGCACTGGTGTCGGGGTTTTTTGGAATGGCGAACTGCTGGTATCTTTCCTGACATTCCCGCGGGATCATCTGCGCTGAGAACGGTTTATGCTGACCGCCGTGTTCGCAGGGGCCTGATTATGAGCTTTGGTACCTTTTTCAGGTACTATGACGAGCATCTTCTATCGGGGGCGACAGACACGAGCATCGGCCTGATCGGCGGCGTTCAAGCATTTATGGTGTTGCTGCTCTCGTTCATTGTGGGCCGGCTTCTCGACGCCAAATTCCATAGAATTATTGTGGGAGTTGGAGGGGTTTTGACATGGCTGGGGTATTTCTGTTTGAGCTTCAACAGTCCGCAAGGACCGGAGAGTCAGGGAAGTTATGGATTGATCATCTTGACTCAGAGTATTATAGCTGGGGCTGGCATGAGTTGTTTCTTTACTCACAGTTCCCATTGTGCTATTCAGGTGAGGAAACAGTCAGCTCAAACCCGTACTTTGGAGGCTGACATCCTTGTTGAGTGGTTTCCACAGCATAAATACTTCGCTGTTGGTATCACCTCCGCTGGAGCTGCCGCTGGTATGATGAAAACATCTCCAGTCGCATGCTTTGTCCACTTACCGTTTGGCAGGAGGTCTTGCTTATCCACTGGCGACCACCTATCTCATCACCGAACACGGTTTTCCTGCCGGCATCAGGCTTGTCTCCGCAATCATTGGTGGCGTCTCCGCCATATGCTTCATCTTCGGTGCTTCCAATCCAGCAGCGAAGAGGCGGCCTTTAAAATTAGTAATCAGAATGTCCACCTGGATCGACTTTGAAGCATTCAAGAATCTTCTGTTCCTAGCCTACTCTGTAGGCGTAGGCTTCATGTTCTTGGCTTTCTATCCACTCTTGTTTCATATCACCGAGTGGGCTGAACGTGAGAGATTCAAAGGTATAAAGACCGTGTGGTTCTTGACCATGGTGAACGGGTAGGTCATGAAGCCGAGAGTATCGGCGTGGAAGTTCTGTTCTTACCTGACATTCTACAGATGCAGTGTTATTGGGCGCTTGAGCAGTGCAGCGGTCGCGAGTGCAAGGTATGACTCTCTTTTACCAGGAAAAGAAATATTGATGTATCCCAGGTGGTCCAATCCTGCCATGGTACACGCTATTAGCTGCTTCGCCGCCGCTCTAGTAGTCTTTCTACTATGGCCACTCGCTCAACAAGAAAGCCACGCCATTGCATTCTGCGTCCTATTCGGAGTTCTTGGCGGTTCTTTGTTCGGCTTGCCAGCATCTGGTGTTACTTTCATCATTCCAAAAAAACTTGGTGGCTCACTGGGGGCCTGGACGGGGATTATGTGGGCCTTGAGTTCGGCATTTGCTTTGATTGGGCCACCTATCGTGGGACAACTTGTCAAACGTTATTCCATTGAGTCCGTTGGGTACTGGACAGGGGTGAACCTGCTTGTGGCTGGGATGCTGATATCGATGGCAATATGGATGAAACATTCAGAGGATAAGCGAGAGAGATCCAAAAATGCGGAGCTGAATATGAACACCGATGGCAGTGTTATCTAGCATATTAATCGTTCCTGCGGAGGAGCTCAACATCGGAGAAAATATCATCTCCCTTGCCTTGGACTCTTAGCCCGCAGTCGAGATGCGGAGTTTGATTGAGAGTGAGATGGACGCTACCTGAATCAAGATGGAGCTGTTGTTTCATAGAGGTCTTATTCAAGAAGTTTGTAACGATGAGAAAAGAAAACGCTTTTCCTAGATAGATTAATAGCCCCTTATTAAGAACCGTCCTGAGTAGAGGGGTTTCTGTATTGCATAAGGTAAGGTACGTCTTTAAATCTTAATTCTCCATCTCGGAGGATTAGTGGAGAGCGGCGCGCGGCTAGCTTGGATTGGCGTTCATTAGCGTCGGACATCCTAATGGGGCCCCAAATTCATTGATTGAAATTCATTATTGAACACCAAAACCGATTCTTACAGTGGGATGGATCTGGACCTGTGATCTCACGAGCTTTGAAGAAACTACAACACATCTGCACGTAAGCTCCACGTTGTGAGTATCGTCCTTGCGTTTGCCTAGAAAGAACATTCTTCTGAGACTGTCACTCCTGCCAACACAGGACTCATACCGTTCACACGACTGACGGAAAGCCAATTCTCTTTGAACGGAGAACTATCTCAGCCTCATTTCTTCTTCTAGAGTGAACGGTTCTTTGATTCGAGTGAACAGCATCTGACGCAGATAACAGTTGCGGTTCTTCCGCGACTCCAAACAATTGGCATTAATTCCACCAGCATACAAAACCCTTATCACCTTACACGACACCTAAACCATGGCATTTAAAGGCTCAAGCCGCACCCCTCTGGACGACTCGGAACATGGAGGTGCGCTCTTCACCCTTCCTCGTGAAATTCGAGACGAAATCTATCGACTTCTCGTCAAAGGGCGTCACTGCGTTTTTCTTCCTTCGGAACCTGTACACGGGGATACTTTTACAGACGGGATTGACAAGTTCGACAAACATGACTTGGTCATCCTTCGAATTTCAAAAGCCATCAGCCGCGAAGCACACGAAATACTTTACTCAGAAAGCATCTTCCGGTACGGCATAAACTTCTGGGCGAGCAAGGCACTGGAACCCCCGATTCGGGCAGTAAATGGCATGCAGAAAATGAAGATGTGAGTTGGCGGTCTAGCGCCGTTAAGTGGCAGCTTACCCTCAGACCAGGAGACGCACCCTACATACGAACGTCGTATGGCAGTGATCTGTGAGGCTACCATTGACGGTTTCACGGGAACCCAAATTCTTCACGACACTCTTCACATCCAATCCGGCTTTTTCGAACTGGACATGATTGGACCATTACGAAACTACATTCTCCCAAACATGAGGGCGTTCAACGGATTTCGTAGAATAGTTGTGGAAGTCTTTCTTGAAGATGAATATGACACTGGTATGCAGGAGGTCATAGCAGGGTTCGAGCGGGTCAAACAGGAAATAAAAGACGCAATGGAACCCACCTTGGGTCTGCTACGACTCGCAACATCGAATACCAAATTTACCTTGATGTCCATCCACGCGAGCACGTGCCAGCAATTCTCAGAGCCCAGGCTCAGAAATTGATGCTGGACGCTGACCGGCTGGAGCGAGGCGGTTGAGCGAAGGACACAGGCCGATGGAGTATGCGATGCGGGCGGGTCATCCCTGGCAGTATTCACAAAGAGATTTTCTAGATAGGGATTCTCAAGCCAGGCTTTCGACCAGAATAGCAAATGTAGCTCTGCCACCATGGAGCCTTTCTACCACAAACAGCAGTTGATCGAGAAAGCCATTCGAGACTCGGCCTGCATGATGGAGAACTCGCCGGCCATTTGCCTGAGACGTGAAGTAGACTGAGTAGTAAATACCATTAGGAAGTGGTGCATCGCTCCTCCAAAGAAGAGTTTCACCAATCTCGCTGCCAAGACCGGCTACCAGATTTCTGTACCCGATTGGTGTCAGTTGGACTCGGCAACCAATTTTCTCGCCTATCTTACATATCCCTATTACTTCACATATCCCGTCATGGAAGATCCATCTTTTCATCATCCAATTACTATTCTTTACACTCAAGGGAATATATTGAAGTTTCGGCTGGGTGGATCTCATAGATACACTGCTGTTTGCACTAGGAATGCTGCTTTCGCTTGCAATCGTTTGTCGTTTTGTCACGAATGACGGAAGAATGCCTCTTCGAGGTTCTTGGAAGCCCAGAATCAGCAGAATCAGCTCGACTTGATGGCGCGCCATCGAGCAAAGCTCTACTCAGCCAGCCGGTAAAGGCAGCAGACTGTATTAACTAAATCGGTGAGGATGACGAAGATCTTCGAATTATGGACTTGGGAGAGGCTTTTCTTCAAGAGGCAGTGATCAAAGAGCTCGCCAGGCCTGGCTCCTTGCAAGCGCCAGAGACAGATTTCCCAAGCACTTTTGACCATCGTCTTGATCAATGACGTGCAGGTATAGTGGTGAGAAAGCTCTGCTTAGATTGTTAGAGGAAAATACTAACATATAGCCCTGGCAGATTTATTCGCTCACTCGCGGGGATCAACTTTCAGTACCTGTGATATCTATATGTCCTGATGTAGCAAGACAATCAATTCTCAATGGAGTTAATATTTTCAGAGCTTCGATGTAAGCATAGCACTCAATGCAAAGCTAGACAGTAGAATCTTTCGTAGGGGGAAGAAGACATGTAAACAAGATTACAAGCCTTATAAAGGAGACTTCTCACTGATTGATGGTTTGAATCAAGAGTGTCTGGCAGTACGAGCTGTGTAAAAGACTGCGAATTTCAAAGTGTAGTGTGGAAAAGGGTCTTCGCGGACTCGGGGTCGTGAAATCCGCATCTAGAATCTGGCCCTGATCAAAAACAATTTTAATATAATTATGTATAGGGTAACTTTTCAAATCCAAAGACGCTTTGGCCGAGTGGTTAAGGCGATTGACTAGAATGATCCAAGACTCTAATTGGTGTTTCTGTTATCAATTCCGGTACGTGCGCTTCTTCTCACCGACGCGAATGAAAATTGACAGTGTATCCAATAGTTCGCGGGCGTAGGTTCGAGTCCTACAGGCGTCGACATCATTTATTTTTTGCGCCTTCACTTCACTATTCTTCTTGACACCAGAACTCTTAGTAATTCACATATCTAGTGCAGAATACCAGACAGCCTCTCAATGTTGTCGACAAGCATATGCAACTCCAAGCGAGTGACAAGACATCATCATTTTGTCCAGCTTTTCTACTCAAGAACAAGAAAAGTATAGATACCTGAGTTGGTATGGTCAATGCACCTACGGCTCCGATAACGACTTGCTTGACCAATAGACAAGTTGACCCAAGCACGATCTGAACCACAGCTTGGCGAGGGGTAGAGGATAATGCGGGGAAGCTTTACTTTGGCTCCGCAGGTGCGAACGAGCAGCATATTTGCACATGAATGCAGCTCTATTTCTTTTGGCAGTAGAGATCTAGATATAGGCAGAAAACACCAAGGTCTGCGCAAGCCCGCTACTTCTGAGTTTCCCAAAGAGCGCTCCAATATCTGCCAATATGTCCAATTTCCCATCCCTTCAGCCGGCGATGACCGTCCTCGTATATCTCCGTTTCACATCATCTTCCACACCCTGCTCTGTACAGAACCCCATTTAATGACAGTATCCAGGTTACCCTAGGCGACATCTCCCCAGTCGGTCTGTCTAGATCCTTGTCGATTCACCCCACGCTCTTCAACTAACATTCATGTCCAGGTTCGGCCTCTAGGGGCACCCCTCTAGCCATCGCTGTACGTCCCACTCCTCTCAATTTTGCTATTCTTAACAGCCCCAGGCGATGGTCGATGGCTCCGTCAAGTCCGAGCCCGGCTTTACCCCAGCCATTGATGCCGCTTGGGTCGGCCAAGGTGCAGATTATATCCATAACGACCCCAGCGGGAAACAGATGCGGTTGAACGCGCATGCTGTTGTCAAGTAAGGCTCCAAGTCTCTTTTCAGGAAGGACTGCCTCATCCTGATAAGCTCCGTTGCTGATGTGTCCCAGAGACAAGAGCGGTGCTCTGGTATATCTTTCTTACAGCGGCGTCGTAGATATAACGCCTGAGGTAGGATTGGTATTGGGTGGTAGCCCGGACGCGAAGACGACAGCGTTTGGTAACTCTTGTAAGTGTTGGATAAGCCCTGCACCCTAGCCATTCCCTTCTCCTAGCTTCGCCCCCTTGGTGTTGAGTTCTTTCCAATTCCAACTGAATAACCTGATCGTCAACCTAGTCATCGAGATGAAATTCGAGACCGGAGACGAGAATCTGAAAGGTCTTGAGACCGGAGTCTTTGTAGGGGCGGGCCGCTTTGTCGCTGAGAAGGGAAAGCCAATTGTAGTGGAGTACAAGATTAGTAAGGCTATAAAGGGTAATTGATGGCGATCCAAGTTGTGGATTTGGCGCAGACGATGTCCATATTCCATTCGCCAACGTCATAGATTGATGCGGTTCGAACATTTTCGTATGAATACAACCGAGACAGGCGGCGGTTCATCCAACTCGTTCGTCCACGATCTTCTGTTATCTGCCCCATCCTGCAAGGATATTCTTGAACGTCCCTCGTCTCCGCCCTCTTACCCACTGCATAATCCGTTCAGACCTCGCCCTGCTGCTCCTCGCCCATCGTCTCCACCGTGTGCTGCTCCATCCCCAAAATCTTGCAAACCCCCATCCAGCACATATCAATAACGCCGTTCCCAGCACCGCGACTACCACGCTGAGGAACGTCCTCGTACTGACTTTGCATCCCAGCTCATTCCCTCTCAGCTCCCATCTTTCATCATTCAGCGAGCAGATATCCGGATCATAGATAGGCGTGAGTAGAGGCCAGGTCGCAGGGTTGGGAACGCAGGTAGAGGACTAATTATCGAAAAACACCATTAGAAGACGCAACCAGAGTGTATTGGCAGACGTACGATAGCACACCAGCTGCAATGGTACTGCGAATGGAGGCAGGAATAGCAATCCTGAAGCCGCCAGCAGTAGGGGAGGAGATAAGCTGGATCGCGCTCTCGATCGTGGGGTATGGCGGTCTCATTCAAGATGAGGAGGGTCTTCTGGTCATCGACTGGCGTATTCATGACATGACGAACGATACGTACCTCCAGATCAGAGAAAAAGAATGCCCCGTATCCCACGCTCGAGTGAATTTGAAGGCCGCCAAGTGAGGAAGGTCAGCCGAGCGACGCCCTTCTCCCCTCCACCTCCAGTCTCTCAGCCATCAGACGTTTGTCGAAAGAAAGCCTCTCTACCTATGGACCAAGTACACGTATCAGTTGCCGTGACCCTGTTCTCGCATTTTTTTGCGATTTTCGGAAAATCCTCCTGATCGTCTGGGCGCTGCTGCAAGTGCTGCACTCACCAACACAAAGGCAGCTCCGAAAACGCACCCACCATTGTTACTGCAACTGCCCCACGAAGTCTGCCTCCGAATCTACCTCTACCTGGTCTATGCTCGCTATAGCATGTACCACTGGCACTGCGGGTTTCCGCTTTGACCAAGCAGACTCCGCCTCGTTTGTCACCAGATAGCCTTTGAAGTCGACACCTTCGCCCTGGCCCAAGAAATTGATGACTGACAGGGCTGCGAAGCCATGTTAAGAGGCAGGTTGAACATTCAGCATCACGCCACTTACTGGTCTCTTCACGAGGCTTGACCGGAAGAGCTTGTTGTACCATACTCAAGAAGGATGAAGTAATCACCCCAAAGCTCTCCGAGAGCCTATTCTATGTGGAGTACTAGATCATATGGCTACAAATATGGGGTGGTTGGGACCCCACTCTCGCTCCGGTGTTATCTGCACGATGTGCTGAGCGACTAGAAAGGAGGGGGAAGAATAGCCCATGGATACTTCGAAGCCAAATCATACTGTAAGAGGCGGATCAATTTGCGGATTCTACTATACAAGGAATGGCCCATGACATCGAAGGAGGGGAAGGCGCTCTATGAGCGGCAGGAAAGACAATGGTGAAGAGTTGTGGAAGGCTTCTCGACGAGGTTGCAATATTCACGGCCTTCGTCACACTCAACCTCCTTGTCTAATCTGCGACGTTATTCGATCTTCAGCTGTTCTCTCCTCCACTTGAATCGTTAGCACCTGGTCCTCTTGGTTCCCTTGCTGCGAGCTGCTTGGACCTGCTATCTCCCAACTACGTGTAGGTTGAAGCGCATCGTATAGCAGGCGCCATCCGACTTGCGACCCGGTCTCTGTCAACCTTTGTAAGTTTCTGACCGCTGGACCCTTATGCTCTCAAGCGCAGGGTCGCGTCGTGGGTTTTTTGACCGCATGATGTCTGCATCTAGAGTTGCATTTCTTTTTTTGCGTTGTTCATCCCTAAGAATTATTAGAAACCAAGAACATGCATGAGACGCAAAGCATGATTTCTCGTCTCCTTTCCTCCTTCGCGGTTGTATCTTCCATCTCGGCATTCGTATTGGACAACCCGCTACAGCTCCTGCAGGCATCAGCCGGTGTTAACAATACAACCATCATCACCACCACCAACAATAAGAACATCCTCCCACTCTTCTCCCTCCCTCCAAGTCCAAATCCAAGCTCGAATTTTCCCATCACCAGCCTCGTCTCCTACGTCTGCAACGGCGACGCCTTCGGCCACGACCTTAACGTCGACTCCTGCACCGACGCCATCCGTTTCCTCGGCGTCAATACAACCCAGCTCAGCTTCGGCATGCGCAATACAGGCGCCTTCGACATCGGCCTGCCGCAGAGGTACATCAGCTCAGATGGGAAATGCGCGATAGAACCGACACTGGAACCAGATAAGGAGCTTGCGAGGGCCAGCGCGGAGGATGTGGCCGTGGCGGCGTTTGTGGTGGTGAGGAATTGTGCGGCGAAGCAGGGGGGAAAAGGGGGGATTGCGAAGGATATTGGTGCGTCGGGTCTGTTTCCGTGGCTTGTTTTTTCCCTGTCTTCTGTCCTTCTCCCTCCTCCCTCCTTCCACTTCCATACATACCGTATATCTGCGACAGCAGTCTTGCAACGTGATGTGATGCGATGTGACGCCAATAGCATACTTCCGTCCACTCTCTGACACCCGAAAGCTCCAGGCGGCGACGACAACCTGCGCATCGTGGTGTCCAAATACGATCCCGCCCACGTGCGCTGCTACGGCAAGATGCGCCGACCACAGGTGCAGGTGTCGTGTCAGGGGATATTGGATTCGATGCGGACGAGTAACGAGAATGTCTATTTCGGTCCGCGGGGTGATCCGTTGACGAATGTGGGGTTGCCGTTTTCGTTGTTTTCGGGTTAGTGAGATGGCTGTTCATTTTCTGACTTCATCTTTATTCTGTTTTCATTGAGGGAGAGCCACAAACATAGAAGTCTGAACACCAACCCACCTACATCGAACAACCATCCCATCACTTATTCATTGAAGGAAGGAAGGGGGGAGGAAGGGAGTACGCACCGCTTCGCTGACACATATCCCGTGACGGCTCCAGACGACCACAAATGCAAAATGACCATCCGCACCACGGGCGAGGGCGCCGGGTTCACCGACACGTGGTCTTGGGGCAAGTTCTGGGAGGTCGGGGTCGCGTTGGCGGGCATATGTGTCAGGGAGAGCAAGGAGGGCGTGCAGACTCAACTTGGTGAGTCACGTACTCTGTGTGTGGAGTGGGGGTGTGCCGCGGGGAGGGGTTTGCATGTGTAAAATGCAGGGCTAATGCTAATTTGTCATGTGGATAGGCGATAGTGGGTATTTGTACATGGAAGTAGGAGGACCGCAGGGCGGGTTGGAGGGGAATGGGAGAGGGAGTTGAGAGCGTGACTACGCGTGTGTAGTGTTTGTGTGTGGAAGTAGCAGGAGCTGAAAGGGGGGGGGGTGTGATGTTTCGAGGCACAAGCATGCGCCATCCATTGACAGCTAGCTAGACGTACGTCTTGAAAGGAGAAAAGAGAAGGGTAAGAAGAAAGAAAGCATGCTCGAACAGCACCAATACCAATGCCCCTAAGACGAGACAATCGAGGTGTACATGCATACATACAACCTACCTACTCACCTACCAGATGTTCAACATTACATACCTACATACACACCTTCCTTCCCTTCCATCAATCGCAACAATGAAACCTCGACTCTTCACCAAGTTCAATCACACAGCGTTCCAACCCATATACATAATGCACAACATCCCCAACGCGCACCATCCATCCATCCATCCATCAACCGTCTCGCTAGTAAACATGAAAAGTGAGTGAGTAAGTAAGAGAGTGAGAGAGTGAGTAAGTAAGAAAGTGAGTGAGCAGGGGGATTCTTGAGAATCTCGAGACGAGACGGATGGACGTGTGTGGTTGGTTGCGTATGTGCACTGAACCGGACTGGACTGGGGCTACGTATGTTGCGGACGCTGGAGGCCATTGATGCTTTGGTGTTGGATGGGGATGTGATGTGATGTGATGGGATGGATGGAGGCGATTTTGGGGTGGGGAGGGGGGGGGGGTCTAGGGCTGTATTTTATGATACATAGAAGGGAGAGAGACGGAAGTGGAGAAAGGAAAGAAAGAAAGATCCGCCTAAGGTATCCCAACCACCCAACTCCCTAGTCTTTCCATCCAAACTCAAGCCTCCTTTCCAAAACGCATCCCTCACCTACTCTACTCTCCGACGCCCACTCTTCCGCAGCCCGACAACGTGAACCGCCTCCACATCTTCGAACCATCCGTGCTACATCGCCTCCCCAGGGATCCTACCGACGAATATCAGAGCTCACGACACTCACCTCTTCCGCGCCGCCCTACGATCAAGACCGATGGCGGAGCGTTGCTGCGATAAAGACAGCGATGATGATCCCATCTGCAAGTGTGTGAGAGGCGAAGGGGAGCACGTGCAGAGCTGTGGGAGCGTGACCGACGGGCTCCGGAGTTGGGGGACTGGGGAGGCAGGCGTTGTTCTGAGACGAGTGCGGCGGTGGCGCGTGCATGTTGTAGATGGGGTGGCTTTTTGCAGTAGGCGGCATTTTAGCGTGTTCATGATTCCTTTCGAATGCTTGGCGTTAGAGATGTCCAGCGCACCCCCATAGATTCGAATTATCGATTTCAGAACCACAGGTCGGATTTTGATAAATCTAGCGACGTTGGAGTCGTAAGAATGTTAAATACAATTGATGTGTATGAAATTTCTAGATTTGAACTACTACTTTGTAAGTATCTAGAAATTAAGAAAAAAGAGACATCATCGGTTACGCTGCTCGAGAAATCTTCATTTTGTCCTTGACTCTATAGATTTTATCTACATCAACGGCGTTAAGGTCGCCGCGATAAGAAGTCTGACTATTTGATAGAAAGTTTCACAATCCAGTTATGGCTGTGAAGTTGGTAATCTGAATCCATGTGGTGCGTAGGAATTTCTGATGCCAAGCATTCGAAAGGATTATGGATACGCTAAGGTTGTTGTGTTACATTTCTCTCCTTTCGATGGCAGTATGTACGGAAAAGCTTGAAAGTGGTGTTGTCGTGAGGCTTGCGTCAGGGTATCATATCACGTGTGACCTAACGGCCTTTGGTATCTGAATGGGGGAAGACATGGACGCTTTCTGCGCGGATGGAGGGGAGGAACTTCGGATGGGGCGAGTTGGGGAACTGTCTTCGATTCAAGGTGCGACAAAGCTCCCGCCTACTCACTTACCGTCCTATCGTCCCCATAGCCTCAAGGCTACTTTTAATATCATGAAGCTTCGACCTACCTCAAGATTCTCCTTTTTCAACCTCGGCGCTAAGACCCTCGCGGTTCCGGTCGTGTTTGGCGAGATAGATCAAATCGTACTCGCAGACAATGGCATGGGACGAAAGTGTTTTTCGAGAGACGACCGAGACTGCCGTTGTGGGCTTTTCTTACAGATGCCGAGGTGTGCAGCGAAGGAATGCAACCGCCAGAGACTTGGAGATAGAAAGGGGAAGGAAAGATTTTGTGGAGAAGGTGATTCTTGAATGGCGACGTCGCTCATCTGGCACAACGCTACGAATAGTAGAGGGTGCGGCAACGAGAGATGGGGCCAGGAAGCGGAATCATGTGATCAGAGAAGCTGAAGCCGGAGAGCGATTCTTGCTGAAGGGGAAAAATGTGGCTTGAAGTCATCGGTTTCGAACGCCAGCAATAGCATCACTTATTCCTGGTTTCTCAAACTCCCAATGTATCACAAGCCGCCTTGATATCAAGCCGTATGAACTCATGAACTCGGTAAGATAGCTAGACCCTCCAGATCAAGTAATGACGTTGGTAAGAATCTCGAGGGTGTACTCGTAGCTAAAAATGCCAGAATGACATCGTGTTCGAAGTATTCCAAGATGACAGCGTCTGCACGCAGCCAAGCAAATACATTTGATAGGAATGTGCAGGGTCGTTATTGGATGTATCTTTAACTTCTTGGCACCCTGTGTCTTTTGTTCGATGTATACCTTATTATCGTTGTCCTCTAAGGAGGCAGAATCTGAAACGGTATCAAAGGCGGCGCGTACTTTAAATACCCGTTTCCACCACCTTAGCGCCTGCACTAAGCCCCAATGCAGCCATGGCTGCCAACCGGCGCTGCCAATCCGTGTCGCACCTGTTGGAGCGAGTCTTTGTTGCCGGCATATGAGTGGGTGCTGCGGAGTCGAAAGGAGTGGATTCTTACGGCATGGGCATGACAATGACGGTTTCAGATGATGCCTGCAGCGGGTTAGGATTGCGAGAGAGTCATGGACGAACGCGGGCTTGGAGTTGGGTTCGTGCCACCACCAACGTGAGGAGCAGCAGTGGGTACAACTACAAGTTGGATGGACCTGCTGTGCCCATTTTGCCCCGCAAGTCATTATCACTTCTTCTGCTGGCCTGTTCCTCCGTCCTCGTTCTGATCTTGCGTCGTCAATTGCGTCCTCGGTACGGATTCACGGAGTTTCAAGCATTGCCAATATAATCCAGAATCGCAGGACGATACAACCATCACTGCCAAACCCACCCAGTCACTCATATAATATCCTCACCAGCACGACGACAGACACCCTGACCGTCACCATCACCCTCACTCTCAATCGAAGACCCCACCCAACAAACAAGCAAACAATCAACCAACCATGCGCACCGCACTCCTCACCTCCCTCCTCCTTACCCTCCTCGCACCGCTCCTCATCCTCGCCGCCCCCGCTCCCGTCGCCATCCCCGAACCCAACGACGTCCTCGTCCCCAAAGGCGCCACGCTCAACGCAAGGAGCATTCCCGAACTGCTGGCGCTCAAACGGGCGAATGAGAGGAGGCGGCTGAGTAGCAAGGAGATGGCAGGGGAGTTTCGGAGAGCGGAGACGTAATCCGTGGCGGTGGAGGGAAGGGGGGACAAGGGAGAGGGATGGGAAGGATGGGTGGAGAGCTAGTGGGGCTGGGCCGGGATGTGGTGATGAGGAGGAGATGATGTTGACGAGGTGGTGGTGGGATAAGGGACCTTGATATGATTTGGGTAATGATATATCGTTCTTTTACGGTGGAAGGTGTTTGGGGCTGGATATAACAGGTGCTTTGTATCTCTTTCTTCGGGGCGTCAAGGGTAGAGGTCAGTCGCTTGATAATGTATAAGCCGTGGCACTCTCTTAAGCAACAATCCATTGGAAGGAGAAGAAGATTTCAAAGCAAATACCGCTCGTCTGTGCTTGGATTTCCGCTGCTTGTCTGCCACTATCAAATACGCATGCGCACTCGAGACCTCGTCATAACTCTGACTTTACTCACAGCCTTCCCCATATTCGAGATAACGCCCCCCGCTCTCGGCTTCTCGAGTCGTACGCATCCATACTCTCATCAAACGTCGTGAGCAAAGAAAGTCGCCCCGTCTCGTTGACTCGTCAACGGGATCGGTACATACACATCTACAGTGCCTGCGATAATCGGGAACAAGCATCGCCAGCAACATCGGCTCCGATTAGCTTCGCCCGTCGTGGATTGCGAAAGATTGCGCTTTGAGACAGAGTACCTTTTGCCTTTGCCATTGCTACGGCTAAGAAAAGAAGCTTGGCTACGACCCAGGTGAGAGAGTTTGAGCACGTCAAACCGGAGCAGCTGGGACTGTTCCCCACAGAATGGGAGAATATATATATATATATATATATATCAAAGGGTCTGTATAGAATATTGCAAATTTCCAAATCCTTCCTATGTGACCGCTCAACCTCCTTCGTCTTCAAAACAAAACTATTTTACAATGACACTCCACATCCACATCCTCATCTCCCCCCATCGCACAACCATCCAATTCGCCTGGGACTGAACCCATCACCCGCATCATTCACACCCTACTCCCAAACCTCGGGATCCCAGCAGAAAACCAAATCCCCCATCCACGATGGACGCACCCTCGCGCCCCGCCTCCGGCAGAACCAAGCACGTACTCCTCCCCGAAGAAGAAGAAGACATAGAAGCGCAGCCCGCAGCCTCCCCCAACGACCGCTACCGTTACGGCCTCTTGGGCTTCCTGCAACGAAGGAGAGGGGGCGGTAGCGGAGGCGAGGAAGGAAGCAGACGGTCATCCTCCGGGTTCTCCCGTCCCCCGCTCGCTCCGTCCGGGTCTTCTTCGAATTCCGGTACGTAACACGAGTCGGAAAAGTCCAGCGGCCGAAGTCGCACGGCCAAGGTCACAATCTCCTCCGTCGTCTTCGTCTCCGTCGCGCAATCCCGCGGCCTTGGAGCAGCGAAGCTAAACCCCCCGAGAACCTCAATCGCTGACTCGTCTTCAGGAACGCCATCATGGTCCCGGAAGGAACCCGCGGCGCCCAAATCCGGGTCGGGGACAGGAGGCAAGACACCCAGCAAACCGCAATCGCCAGCTCCTCCCAAAGCGCCAAAGTCACCCAAGCCCCCCAAGTCCAACCCCGGACCGAAGCCACCGAAAGGTACGCCACCCCACCAAAACCCCGCCGGCCATGTCCCCCACACCGGCGGCGACCACTCCCACCCCGCCCCCACCCTCCCCTGCACCCACCCGCACGGTCTAAACCGCCTCCGGTGCGAAAAAGCCGACGCGGTCATCGGGACCCTCTTCGCCATCATCGGGCTCATGCTATCCCCCCTCCTGCTCTACCTCCTCATCACGAAGTGCCGACAACAACGACGACGACGGCGGCGAAGTAAACGGAGCGGTCACGACAACGACGCCGAAGACGGGCTGGAATTAACCCGCGACCCCACCGCGGCACGAACGCCGGACTCGTCTCCCGCCCTCGCTCCGTCCGACACCGCCCGCCCATCCCCACCCCCACCGGCCTACGGGCCCCGGTCCCGGAGCCCGGGCCGCGGGGGCAAGGCATCGCGTTCGACACGGAGCGCGAGGAGGAGCCTGTCGTCGGGTGGGGTGCGGACGGCGGTGCCGGGGCAGATGCTGCGGGATCGTGTCGCGGTTGTTGATGTGTCCGCGGGGTCGGGGTCGGGGTCGGGGTCGGGGATGGAGGGTTCTGAATCTGAATGTGAGCGGTGGTACGAGGCTGAGGAGGGAATGTCATCATCATCTGATTGTGACGCTCGTGGCGATGATGGGGATGGGGAAGGGGGAGGGGGGTACTGTATCCACAACGATGATGATGACGATGATGATGAGGGAGAGGGGGACAGCAGCACGCGTGATCAAGATCTCGACCAACAATCCTCCAACCCAACCCCTCCCCAAACCGCCTCTCCACCCCCACCCGCATCTCAAGATCCCAGCCCCGTCTCCAGCGCATCCGCTCCCACACCCAGCGACGAGGCCGACGACTACTCACACAGTTAGCCGATCCAGCCCCCCGGTATGTGACTGCGGAGTCTGAAACGGGATTGGTTGAACGGTGGCTATACATTGGCTGAAAGCCAAGCAAGCAGGGACTGGATGGAGCGAGGTCTGGCGACGAAAAAGAAAGAGAAAGGAACGCGCGATAAGGATGGATGGATGGATGGATATGCAGCGGTTTCTGCGAGGGAAGGGTTGGAGGTATCTTGACGGGAAGGGGATCGTGGGGGTTAGAGTGAATGCAATGCAATGCAATGGGAAGAATTCAGTGGTGTTTCAGAGAGATGATCGAATCGATGAGAAATTGACCGAAAAGCACCGGATGCGAGACTCTGAGAATTTCTGCGGGACGCGCAGTAGTTGGTGTCCCATCATGGAATGTCGGACGCGTGTCTCTGATGCCTTGCACTCTGAAGCACCACAGGACCGTGATTTTGAGTATCTTGCCAACCTTCTGACTTCTCTAAGAGGTTTGAAAAGCTTCCACCCATCTCGGAACGCCTACCATTATATGAACGCCGTTTCCAATGCTTGGACGATGACCCCCATGCTTTCGTCCTATGACGCCTCCTTGTATCCGACGCCAAACTCTCGCAATTGACCCTGCCATTTCATTTCCTATACCTCCTGTCCAAACTGATCATGGAGCTCGTCATCATCCCGTGTGCCAATAAAAGCACGGTTGACAAAGGTGAACCAAACCTTGTTGATGGCCTTCCGGTGCTTGTGTTTCTTGCCGTGCTTCTTATGCTTTTTCTTCGATGCAGCGAGCTCATGGTCGCCGCAAGCTACCATGTCCACGTCGGCATCCGTGGCATCTGAGTCTTCACCATCGATATCTTCAATACGATCGCTCTTTGGGGGCTTGTACTGCCCGATCCGTCCCGCCAGATTAACGTAACTCCTCACGGTCAGATCCTTCAATCCGAAGACTGAGTCATTCCGGGTATCATATTCGATCTCGTACTTGAACTTGTTGTGATGTCTCAACTTGTCCTTATGCGGTATTTTCCCACGGTGTTTGCCATTATGCCATCCTTCCTCGCCGACAACCTGATCTTGCCCAAAGTCGTCGTTGATGCGGGTGAGGTTCGCAAAGTACTGCTTGTAACCAAGCAACGATAGGGTTTGAGGGGAGTATGCAGGTCCAGGAGGCGCCGACTTGGAGGGTGGTTTGGGGATGGTGAGTTTAGGCTTCCTCGTCTTCTTTTTCTTGCCTCTTTCCTTATCGCTTTTCTTTTTCTCGATCTCTATTGAGTCCTCCTCGGCTTCATCTTCTATGAAGCAGTGAGCTTCCTCAGCTTCCTGCAGGGTCATCTTCTCATGGCAGTTTGCGCGCGCGACTGGAAGGTTCTCGAGGCCCGAAATATTATATTCAATAACCCTCAACGTAGGAAAGTAATTTGGGACAACACTCGGCGAGACTAAACTGACGCTGTAGCGTTCAGCCCACTGTCCGCCAATCTTCTCCAGATATTTCTCTTCCTTCGTCATCTTGTGCTTCTTCCTTTTGTTGATGCTTTCGAATAGGTCGTAGAAGTAGCCAGAGCCAGAGCTTGATTTTGATTTTGATTTTGATTTTGATTTTGATTTTGATCTTGATTTCGTCTTTGGGGCGTCTGGTATCTGGGACCACCCCGCGCGCAGCTCCGTCAAGTAATCGGTATTTGATTGAACAGTCAGTTCGTCATCAAGAGCGGTTCGTGAAATAGATTCCCTCTTTCCTCTCAACGCTTTGTTGCTGATGTCCTTGTAGTCCTGAAGCAAGAAGTGATCGATGTTCATGTGCCCATATAGTGACCCGACGATCACATCTCGGTATTGCTGTAGCCAAAGGGTGTATTTCTGCCAGCAAGTCTCGTCCCACAGCAGCTTTGCTTCTGTCCTTGCTGGCGGTACGTGTCCCATCAGAAGAGCCTTCATGCCTCTGTTGCGCACGAATTGTAGCTGGATCCTGAGCCACTCCATCTGCTGGTAACCTGGCTCAGATCTATCGGCGCATCCGTCCACTGCAGTGTTGTGTTCAAATAAGTACATGGTGTTGAGGCTGAAGACCGCAAGATGGTTGGGTATGACTTCGACGGAAAACCATCCTCCAGTTGAGAAACCATGTCTTTGCTCTTCTGGTATGAACTTCCTCCACACACTCAGATACTTCTGCGTCCACTTGTTGGGCCCAGGCTGCATGATGTTGTGGGGCATAATGTCGTTGTTCCCAAAGTTCGGAACGATCGGTATAGTGAGGTCGTTCTTAGGGTCCGTATCATCCTCCTTGCCAAAGACTTCCTCGAACTTGTTTACCAGCAGCTTGTTCGTTGATATAATCTCCTGCTCTGTTCTCGGTATTTCCTCGTCCGAATCATGGCGTGAAGAGTCTCCCGTCCAAATGACGAAGTCGATCGTGTCTTTCAGGTGGTCGTTTATCCATTTGAAAGTAGCGTTGACTAGGGTTGTGGGGGAGTCGCAGTCTGTAGTCTCGGCGCCGAAGACTCCAGCAGGTCCATTGCCTCGATGGCAGGCTGCGTCTGCCTCGGTGGAGGAGTGGATTTCGTAGAATGGATCCGGGTGGAAGTCTAGGCACACATCAGTACCCCGATACCTGCAGTAGACCGGACGCCGTTCTGATTTAGGAAGCTCTTGTACCTGTGATGTGTAGAAATCTTCCGTGCAGGCCCTTCTCCTTGACCAAGTCTTGCGAGGGCGCCCTTGGTATTTCGTCCAGAGACTCCGCTATCAAAGGTTGTTGTTCCGTAGGAAGTGCGATGCCATATCTCAGAAAGAGTGCAAATGCCAGCCAGTGAAGAAACATTTTAAGGAATGAAGAGCCGATTGCTCGGCGAATTGCAACTATTAAAGGAGAGACAAAGGTGGCACCATCAGAGCAGACCTATAGCCTCAGCGACACAACGGCCGTCACAGCCTCCGGCCGACGGACGAAGGATTGTGGATGACTGCTGCTGCTGACTGCTGAGTAGCAGCTAAAATCCGGACTGCTATTCTTGTAGAGTCGTAAGTCGAGGACAGACCTATTGGAGGGAGGACAGCAGGGATGATGGCGGGGAAGCAGGCTCGGCAGGTACGATTGTCCTCTGGTTCGACTTGGATCTTTTCTTCAAATGTGACGGCGAAGGAATGTTGAAGATACTCCAAAGAGAGCGAAGAAGTTATTTCGTCTGTATATCATCAGATGGAAGAGCACGCGATCAGACCTTTCCCCTTCCACGGTGACCATATTCATAAGGCTTGAAGGCATCAGCAGGCCTTTCGACCAATGCTTTCGTCCGTTCGGGCACGTGTAACCAACTTAGAAGCACAAGGCAGCATTGGCGCACCATCTACGGCTCCAACATCCAACATGGACCGAACGCATCCGAAAGTTATGCAAGAAGAAAAGTGCCATTCTACTTTAGTGATGCAGACACGCGCCTAGAGCCTGTCCACCATGTCTTGCTTTTTTCTTATACTGCTGTTCTTTCAAAGAACACCACCGGCAGCGCGACTCCTTGATACAGCGCAAACGTCATTGGGAGGTCTTTAGCGAGGAACCTGGAGGCCTACTCAGCTGCACGCGAAAAGTAAATGGAACAAAGCATTCACCGTAAGAAACGGGCTGCATGACTGCACAGACAGCTTGTAGTTTAGGATTGGAGAAAATGTACGCCATCATGTGCTTCATGACAATCAAAAGGGCTTTCGGACTCTTCTCCTGGCTCTTGATAAACATGTTCTTTTTCTATGCTTCTATCCTCTCCATCTTGCCACGTGCCTTGGTTGAGCAATTCAAGTCACTCGGCTAGCCATCTAGTCTTATTTCCTGCCACCACTTCGCAGCTCTCAACATCACTTCCGATCCTCCTTTTCTCGTGTTCTTGAGTGGTTCCGAGGAGCTTGGCAATGGTACAGTGACACTTTTGCCTGCTCATCTAAATGCAAAAATGCCTAATCTTACTATTTCCGTCCCTTCCACCCTCAAGCGTTTAGCAAGGCCACCATTAGGTTCGTCCTTCATGCAGCCTGAGAGAGTGTACTCTGTCTAAAAGGGCTCCTTATCCTTCTAGAATTGCCAAGACCGTTGCAAGAACAGAACACGGTGCAGCATGAGCCGGGAGTTGAATGTTCGGAAAGAGATAATCTTAGGCAGCGGAGAAGAAGGTACAACAAATAGTATGGAGAAGTCCTCGTGATGGACTGCCTCTGGAATGCCTTGACCTAATTGAGATTATTCCCACTTATCCTGGGGTGGGCTGGGTATCTGTCCAGTGTATTCCTGATCCGGTGCGGCTTATAACTTGGTCTTTAAGCAATTTGCATGGGAAACCAGTCTCCTCGATAACTTCAATTCACATGTATCTGTAGAATTCACATGTATCTGTAGAAGTTCAGCTCGAGGTGCTTACCTAAAGAACATCTGAAATGAATATCGAACAGGGGCAGTAACCCTAATCTGCTATTTGATCGCCAAGAGATAATCTGATACCTTAACCGATCTCGGAAAGACCGATGCAGGGTCCAGACTAAATTTAGCTAGTGCAGTGAATTATCAAGGCTTCCTTCACTTCTGTAGAACCTTAAACACCTCAGTCAGCTGAGAAGGCGAAAATATATAACTTTGTAACCATCACCGGTGACCATGGTCGACAACATCACACACACTTTCTTCCTCCTCTAAAAGAATTCGCAAGAATCTCACGAGAACATCTCAGCTCTCCATCAAGATGCCTGCAAAGAGCGTGCACCAGAATGGCCTGGCCACGACGAATGGCAGCACAGTGCCCATCTTACCCCAGGTGAAAGAGGCCATCCTCCAGCGTGTCCCTGTACCCGAACCAACCTTACCTACACGCATATTGCGTGTTGTTATCCTGCTGGTCTACTTTTGGACATCTTCGATCATGTAAGGCTTATGTACAGAATTATCTTGGCTGTCACGGCCAATGTTGAATGTTTTCAGCATAGGAACCACCCAATACATCGGGACGCCGCTCTATCTGATCAACAAAGAC